GCAGTGGGGCTCCCACTCTCGTCCTAGTTCCCCCAGGGACCGGTACCGTGGACATGTCTATTATCTCTGTGACTACCTGCGGGCTACTTCCCCCCCCCCCCCCCACACACACACACTGACAGAGCTCGACCCTTACCGGCAGTTGTCTGCTGTCTCAGGGCTACCGTATAGTATCTCGGCGTGTCTGTAACGCCTGTCCTCCCAGCATCCCTGTCCGATGTACCGCGCTGGCCAGCCACTCACCTGCCGGCGCTCTCAGCTCGACAGAGACGCCATGGGCCGCGATAGCGGTCTGCTGCCGGCGCTGCGCAGAGCCAAACACAGCCGGTCGCTATCGGAGGTCACTGGCCGCTCCAGGCCGGCGAGCAGAGCTCCGGCGCTGCTGGCAGAGCGGCTGCCAAGGCTCGGGCGGCCGGCGAGCGGCAGCTGGCGCCGTGACGGAGCACCTTCCTGGCCCCCCGGACTGCCACCTGTACACTGTACAGGGTGGGGTGACCGGCCGGAGCAATGGCCGAGGAATCCTGAGAGCGGACTACTTGCGCGTGATGTTACTGCGATCGGAACAAACAGAACTCACAGTGCTACATAAACGTTGGCTTTCAAATACCCGGAGGCTTTGTCAAAGTTCGGCACTGGATTGTTCAAGTGTAAGCCGCAAAGTTTGCTGGGAGGAAGACGAAGTCCACTGAATAAGCGGCGGATTTTCGACCGCAGCTGAGCTGGAGGCTGTTGTTTACCTCTGGTCGGCTGAGCTGCGCCACTCACCCGATCCGGGCCGACCCCAAGGTCACGTGGGCCGGCGGCTGGCACGTGACTGGGATCCACAACGTAGTCGGACTTCCTGTTAGTGTGGCGCCAACATCACAGGCTCGGGCGACGCGGGATGTTTGCTGTCAGTCATTACAGATCTGGCACGTGTGTTAAATACCATGGGCAGCGCGGTGTTGAGATCCGGGACCGGCCCGCTGTGGATACTGTATTTCCCGGTGAGGCGTGCCTGCGGCGGTGGAATATGTTCCACCTGTCCGCCCCCGCACTCTCGTCCCCGGTCCCAGGAAATTGGCCGCCAGCGCCGGAACTCACCGAGTAGCGGTGAAAGGCGCCGAGCGGCGCGGCGGCCGACATAGCGGCTTTGTGACGCGACGCCGTCATTTGCAACATCACGCAGCCTGCCGCGCGGCCGGGGGCGGCGCCGCTTCCTCCTGTTTCCCACGGAGTGAGGACAGCGCAGCGCGGCGCCGTCTCGTCTTTGTTTGCAACTGCAGCGTGTCGTGCTGGCGGAGAAAGCGCCGCTCTTGCAAAAACAGTCGCCTGTGTTGCCAGCGCTTGGGCGTGGTTATATCACTAATTACTAATCCTGTCAACGGCTGAAATTCGGCGGCGCACGCAGCTCTCTATGTCCTTTGTCCCGGCGGCTGCTAGTGACATGGTCTGACCCTGGCTGTGCACCACAGGGCAGTGATCTCTCTGGTCTGTCGTTGTTCATTTCAATGTGCTCAGCTATGCGTTAGGAGTGCGCCTTACTCGACCCGCACCGGCGTATTATTCATGCCGTGAGAGCAGCAGGAATTTTCATTACGACCTTGAGCTGCGCTAAAGCTGTGCTCTGACGTCTTTGTGACGCCACCGGTCAATGGCCTCACTAGTCAGTTCATTCTTAGTTCTCTCTGTCGCCTTGCTGGGGTTCGTTCCTGCACGAACTGAGGCTACTCGGTCGGGACATACCACCCACCATATGGCATATATTACTGTATTGAACTGACTGTCGATGGACGGGCGGGAAGGCCGACTTTGACAGCGGCGCCTCACGTGCTGGCAGCTCGTCCGGCGCCGCTCGCCCGGACGTCATCGCAGCCGGGGCTGCCAAAGGCGTCACGCGTTCCTTCTGTCCTGTGAACTCTGAAATTCCTCCGCTCCCCGGACCGGGCCCGGACTTCCTGCCGGAGCCGGAGCCGGAGCCGGGACCGGAGCCGGGCCGGTCCCGATTGCCGGCTCGCGTGCCGATGCTGCATGGTCCCGATCCGGTATTCTTTGTACCGTGTGGCTAATTGAGGTGAATTCACCCAGTGATCCGGTGCAGGCCCGGGCGCTCATTAGCCTTAGAGCTCCGATGTTCCGGGTTGCACGTTATCCACGAGCGTCGATCAGAGTACCTAAGTGCGGTCAGGGAGTCGACGGTGACGATAGGACGACTAGTCGATCCGCCGGTCTATCGGCTGTTTGGGAAAGTCAGTATTTGCGGCGCTGCGCACGGCCGAAGTGCGTGTCGACTATCTGGCGCTGGTGAGACGATAGCGACGCAGGCACGATACCGCGGCGCAGACTTTCGCCGAGAGACTGGCGCAGTGGCGGAGCGGGCTGTACTCTGCCCCCAGCGCTGGGACAATGCCGCGACGCTGGTGAAGCAACGTATCACCAAGACACGACGTGCGGCCGCAATCCTCAGCACCCAGCGTACACCTGCGCTCTCACTCCGTCCGAGATCAGGCGCGGTCCGCGGGGCTAGCTACCATACAAAACCACCGCACCTGTACTGGGGTCGAAGGCCCTTGTTCCGGCGACTGGTGACCTCGACTCTCCCCCGCCTCGCCCCGCCCCTGTCGGGGATGGCGTGTCACCACTGTGCGGCGGCTGAGCTCGTGTCGCGCTGACAGACTGCGTGTGACAGAGCCGGACTGTGACAGCTTCTCCCTGTGACAGCTCCGTGTGACAGCTCCCGTGACGGCTGGGATAGGTGTGGGATGCCTGCGCGTGGCTGCAGCGATGTCGGCCCGTGGTGTCGCCTGGAGGCTGCAGTCGACGGCGGCGACGGTAGCGGGTGTCACACTCTGGTCTGAGCTCTGAGATTGTCAACATGTGCGTGTATGTGGTGTGGCCGTCAGTCCGGACTGTGAACGTGATGGACAGCGTGTACCTCTCCCTCCTTCAGGTATGATACTTCTGTGGTCTGGACGGGCACACTTTCCTAGAACTATGGTGGTGGTCTCCCTTATCATCGATTGATGTGATCGGCTCATCTCTCATCATCACGAGTTCGGTTCATCTTCGTGATACTTAGAGTCAGCCTGCATTCCCACCCAAGTCTCCTCCCGGTCTGTTTTTCTCGAGACACGCCGGACCTCAGTCACTGAGGTGTCGGGTCTGTTGTGTCCGGCTGTCAATGCTCCACCGATCAGCTTTGTGCCTTGGCACAGACATTGGTCAGCTCGGTCTTGCTGGCTGGTTTAAATCGACCGACCGGCCGCTTTATTGCGCCACGGCAAGCTATTACTGTCATTGACTCTGTATTTTGTACAGTTTGGACGCCGCCGTTTGTTACCAGTTGCTACTGTCGACTTTGTAAAGCGTCGCCGGGCGGCGGGCCGATCAGGTAAACACATCCTTGGGCAAGTGGTTTTTCTACATTCAATGAATTTTGTATTAGCTTGGACTATTACATAGCGCACCATCTGGATGATAAATAGAAAAGCCAAACTGAAATCGTACTATCTAATCGACATTTTGAAAACCGTTATCCAGCTGCTACCCTTTTGGATACACGCACGTGCAGAAGGGGTGCGCTATCTTATCTCCTCATGAGCGTCTCGCAGATCGGTGGCCGGCCGACGCGTTGGGGGAGAGGGGTCTTTCCAGACAGCTGATAACGCTCTACTTGGTCCCGCCGTGGGGTGGCTGACCCTCTTATCAGGGGGCCGCCCCCTCCAGTAGCGTTATCGTCTACTGCATATGATTAGAAAGACGATTGGATTATTTAAAGCTTGGAAGTCGTTTGCGGCCCTTTCAGTCCCCTGTCGACTCTGCGGTGTGCGGACGTGTCGTCGGTCGGAGTGTGAAGGAGTATCGAGTGCGGCGCTGCTGAAAAGACGGCTGCGACTCCCGTGTGTGGACCGAGCGTGTGTCCTCGTAAACCCCGACAGTGCCATGACTGTGTTTCCCGTGGACATGGGCTGCAGCGCGGAGCTGCTGACGGCCAGCTCGGTCCACTACGTGGGCTCCCTGCGACTGAGCCTGCCGGTGCTGCCGGCCTCTCCGAACTGGTCGTGGCCGTCGTCACTGCCCATCGTCCCCGGCTGGCAGTGTGTGGGTGTGAGAGCCGTCTACACCTCACCACAGCCACCCAGCTGTGAGGAGTGTCTCCAGCCGGCGCTGCGCTGTGACGGCTGCGGCGCGCTCAAAGAGACGTGTTTCTACTGCGGATACGATGGGATTTGTGATGATGAGACCGCGCTGGTGTGTGCCGAGCAAGGTCCGCTCTGTAGCGGGGTAAGTAGTGCCGCTGGTCGGTCGGTCGGTCAGTGCAGTGCAGTGGTCAGGTGGGAGGTCAGGCGGTGGTTAGTCGAGCTGCGCTCAGCGGTCAGCGGCGGCTGACCTGCGGTGGCCGGTCCCGGTTGGCGGTCAGGCCACTGGCCCCTGGGCTAGCGGTGCGGCCCGGTCATATCCGCCGTCCGAACACGGTCAGGGCCGGTCTTTGTCCCACCTACCGCCGCCAGCCGCCCCCGTGGACACGCGCTGGCGTTTTTCGGCTGTTTGCTCGCCGCGGTGGACACTGGCCAGGTTTTCTCGCTGTCTGTGTGACCTCCACGGGTGATCAGACCCGTCGAGGTCGGCTCTGTCAGCGCCCGCCCCCATGTGGGAGCCGTTTCCGCCGCCTTTGGACACTTGCCAGCCCTCCCCCGATAGAGGCAGCTGGTGTGAACTTATGAGGGAGATCTGGGCCGGCCGCGCTTCTTTGTTCGTTATCGGAAATATTGATGTTGTTTTTGTCGTGCTGGTCTGTTCCTGTTTTACCAACAAGGTGTTACAGTGACCCAGTTCTGCTATCTTTGTCCCCTTCATGAAAAAGCACACTTGGGCTTGTCTTGTACTCTGTGTTTACAGGTGTTTCTATGTTCTTTTCCTCTGTTAATGTTCTCATTTGTTAACAGGTGTTTCTGTGTTCTGATCCTCTGCTGTTTTCCATCTGCCAGCTTTGTCTGACTGTGGTCTCTCTTCTGTTACAGGCTAGTGTGGCGCGCCCGAAAATCCCGGCAGACCTCGGTGGCAAGGTGCCGACCGCCATTCGGCAGCGATACCTGGACCACTTTTGTACCGAGTTGCTCAAGGTCTATCCGGGCGATGAGGCGCAAGCATATAAAAAGGTGAGCCGCTATGTCTGCCTGCAATATTGCTACCGTTTTAACTATCCTGTCTTGTCCTGTACTATGAGCCCACGCTTAATAACACGCTCGAGACTGTCCTGTTGACTCTACCTCCCTGTTGTCCTGTGGTTTCCGGGATGGCCCGCCTCTCTGGTGTCTGCGGGTATCCCCTGGCCACGGTCTGTGTCGATCGAACGCCGTCAGCCACTGTTTGCTGGGTCGCGACCTTGAACTAGACCGTCGGTACCGGTAGTGGGGGCGCCACGCGCCTGGTAGGGGTGGGGCGGGGGGATGCGGGCCCCACACGCGTGACGACGCTACCTGACATCATCGGTGGGGGCGGGGGTGACTGCTTTGTGGCGTGTCTTTGTGCTTTGTGCGTGACCTTTGCTAAGTGTGTGTGGGGGGGGGGGGTGAGGTCTCTGGAGTGAGCCACTGGGTAGGTGGGAGGAGAGAGTGACACGGGGGGTAGGCGAACCCGGCCGGGTCCCGAAGCTAACCTACCATTGCTTGGTGGGGAGAGGGAAGGGAAGTCGAACTCAGGTGAAGGATTAGTTGTAATACGTTGAGGTGTGAACCGTGGAGGGGCGTCTTACATTCACCAAAAGTGTCTGAAAGCCTACGGCTGCGTGTAGTAGAACGTAGCGCCATCCCCGGGTCCTGGGACGGATCGTTTATCCGTCACAATAGGACAGTCGTTAGCCGATCGGGGGTGACGGCCCGTGACGAATGGCGCCGTGACGCCGTCGGTCCGCGCAGTGACGGCCGCCAGTCACGCGATCTGTCCATCCGCCCGGGGTGGACAGTGATCCAGGTGGAGTGGGGATGGACGGGGGCTCCCACCACCCGGGGCCACCATGGCCTGAAACCTGTACATTCCTCTGACACCGTCCCTCAACGCTGCACTTGTTTCAAACGGAGGTCATAAATGGATATTTACTAGCCACTGTAGGTGCGGGTCCAATGATTAATGTGTGGATGCGATGGGCCAACTGTGTTTTGGATATTTAGTTCAACGTGGCCTCAGTTAATTTCGGTATACGTTTACTTCTGTCACTATTACTCATGTCGCTGTAATCACCGTGTTGCAGTGTACAAATCGATGACTAATGTTCATTCGGCCTTGTGCAATATGCAATGTGTCCCCGTTCGTCTGTCTGTTGTGTGTCTGACCCCCCCCCCCCCCCTCCCAATCCTCCCTCTCACTCTCTGTAGCTCTATTTGTCTGTAGCTCCCGTGCCGTATCTGACCCCTCTCTCCCTCCGTCCGCAGGCTCTGGAGGAGGAGCAGGTCGTGTACAGCCGCAGTCCGTCCCGTCGCGTTTACGTCAACCTGTCCGTCGGCGCCGTCAAACGACTCCGCGACGCCGCCGCGCTCAAGTCGACCTCGCAGAACGGTACATGGGTGTTGCTGCCGCGTCGCCAGCCGCTGGCCGACCTCTCCAACGTGGCAGGCTGGCCGTACGCCGTGCCGACTGTGTTGCACCCTCACCACTACATGAATAATGTCTTCAACTTCGTGCCCCACCACGAGTTCTTCTGCGGCCCGCTGGCCGCCGCCGGCTACGGTACGGTGCGCGCGCCGGGCCGCCGGCCGCGCGCGGGCGGGGCGGGGACGAGCGGCGGGGGCGCGGGCGACCAGAGGGCGTGGACAGTGCGATACGTGTTTGTGGGCTGTGGTGTGTCCCGGCGGCGTATGATGCAGGTAGAGTTGCCATTTGATCTAGCAGTTAAGGGTTACCAGGTAATGGCCGTGATGGGCCGCTGGTGTAGGAAAGGGCTTTGGTTCCTCTCCGAGCATCCCGTCCCCTTAGTTTTGGGTCTACCGTTTTTCCTATTGGCAGTTAAAGAAGGGATAAATGCAGGCTTTAATTTTAACTGAAAGGCTGCCTCAGTTGATTGTATCAGTCCAAAACTCCCCACATAAAAACATGTGTTTTGAATACGGCTACCCTGAGATGTCTCCGTGATCACAAGCGAGGTTAGGGGATGTCACTACCCCTGCGATAGATGCACAGCGGGGAGCGGCTTAGCAGGTTGAGATTTTGTTGACAATTGTCACACCTTGTGGTGACACTAATTATGGGACAAAGTCCTTGTTCCGATCTACGTCCGATTGAATCTAACTGATGCAGTATAACGTTAAAACCGCTCGCGCCCCGCCCCGCCCCGTCGCCGCCGCCGCCGCCGCCGCCGTGTGGGTTGGAGGCACCGCTGCCGCCTCCTGGGACGATTAGACGCACTGAGATCGTAGGCAAACACCGCTGCAGGAAGCAACTGCACTCTCTGCAGCCTGCGTCGATCTTTGTATTGCGAACACTCTCGGCGCCTACCTTTACTAACGGTTCTCTCTGTGTCCGTTAGGCGGCGTACCGGTGGCGAACCGAACCGTCTCCCATCTGGACGTTCTGGCCGGCCGTGGAGGCACCACCGGTTCCTGGAGCATCGAGCGGACCAAGAAGGCCGACGAGACCTGGACGGCCGCTGAGCTGTACTCGCGTATGACCAAACACGTCCTGACGGAGGAGCAGCTGGAGAAGAACGGCTTCCCGCGGCCAGACCCGCTCGGACGGCCGGGCCGCGCGCACCTGGCGCACGTGGACTCGCGCGCGCGAATCACCCGCGCTGGCGCCACCTACCGCGAGTGTATCCGGTGCGCACGAACCTACGAGGTGTCGGCAGAAGGACGCCAGGTGGTGCCCAACTCGTGCGCCTACCACTGGGGACGGCCCTACACGTTCAGAGGTGAGAACACGGGCTGAGAACAGCTGGGTGGGTGTGCGATGTGTGGTCAAATATTGTAGGTCAAATGATTTTGTCTATTTTCCACATGTGCCAGCCACATTAGTTGGCGCCATTGAAGTCGCCTCACCGGATTTGTGAACGTTTATTAGTTGGCTTCCAGCTTCGTGGACTTTGATTGAAGTGATTCGCGACCTAGTGTAGATAAAAGGCGACTTTTTTGTGTTTCCTGACTTTGTTTAACTCCGAGTCTTATGTCGGCAGGTGTGACCAAGTACCGCTGCTGCAACATGGTGGCCCCTGCCGAGCCGTGCTGTGACGCCGACTGCCATGTGTCCGACAACTTTGACCCGGACAACCTGATCGGCTACATGGCCACCATGGAGAAGCCAGGTGCGTTACACCGCGGGTTGGAGGAGTTTATGGGTCAGTAAAGCCAGGTGCCTTATACTCCCGGCTTGGCAGGCTGTTTGTTTATGTTATGTTAGTTGCATTCTTGTATTGACCTTAGATGATAGCTAAGATTAGATAATAGCTGTGCAACAACAAGCGATGAGCCTTGTTGTTTAGTTCCCTGTTACGAAATTTTGCTGACTTGGGTTCGCGCCCATCGACGGTGAAGGGTATTCTCACATATTTCAGGCTTTTGCATTTACTTTTATGTACTATCTTACGTCACCTGCACTGTCCCTGCTGCACTTCTAACCACACCTCTTCTTTCGACAGATCCGGAGGACGGCGACCACGGCGTGTTTGCCCTGGACTGTGAGATGAGCTACACCACCCAGGGCTGTGAGCTGACCCGCGTCACCGTGGTCAACGCGCAGGGCGACACCGTCTACGAGACGATCGTCAAGCCCGATAACCCCATCATCGACTTTAATACCAGGTGAGCTCAGAGAGGAAGGATTAGGGGCGTGTGTAAAGTGGGTCTGGATTTTGTTGTCCATGTAGCTATTTGTTCGTAGCGATGTGAATCACAAAGCTATTTTTGCTCTTGCCTTTGTTGTGATAAGTTTTCATGTCGTTTAGTGGTCGATAATGAAAGTTTGTTAATGAGCTGCGACCTCAAAGTGGAAATGTGTAGCGCCGAAAGCTGCCGTCAAGCATATGACACTGTTCTTGTTGTGCTCGTTGGATGGCCAATGTCTCCCTCCTGGGACTCCTACTGACGCCGTATCTCCATCCGTGTCCGCAGGTTCAGCGGGATCAAGGAGAGCGACATGGAGGGCGTCACGGTCACCATCCGGGACGTGCAGGCCGTGCTGCTCAACATGTTCAGCAGCAAGACCATCCTCATCGGACACTCACTCGAGAGCGACTTCAAGGCGCTGAAGGTAACTGTCACAAACTGTCCTTCTAATCTTGTGTTGACAGCTAACCTGCTCGTTATATTTGACATTTTAGTTGGTGTTTTTAAAATGAAGAGTTGTAGTTAAACGCCTCATCTTCCGAATGCTTCTTTGTCAATAGATGTGATGCTTGTCCATGATTAGCTTCTGCTGTTTCACCAAATTGTTTGATACACATCTTAGCAAACCCATGGTAAGTGTTTACACTTGAATAGTAGTCTAGGACTTCTCTTTTCTGTCCGTCCTGTTATCTGGTTATCTAACCGCTCTCTCCCTTGCCTCTCCAGTTGATCCACCCGACGGTGGCCGACACGAGTGTGGTCTTCCCACACAAGAACGGGCCGCCGTTCAAACGCGGCCTCAAAATGCTCTGCCAAGAGTACCTGAAACGCTTCATTCAGGATGACGGTGAGTCAGCGATCAGGCAGCCTGGGTACTAAAATAACTAGTGACGGGCTGCGTGGACTGGCATTTGGTATTAGATATGGATGCTTGTCTATGGAGTAGCCGTTGCTATTCAAAATCGTAGTTATCTAATGATCTTTGTTTAAAATACACGACTTCGATCAATCAACCTTATGATTAATTCATTGTTAATTTTTATTCAGTTTGGATAGATACGTAAAGCTACTGCGATTGCTCTTCCCCTCAGTCTGTCTGTTTGTGTTCGTACTCCCCGCAGCACAGTTTATGTCTGTGTCACACCGTGTCGCCCTGCCCTCCCATCTAACCGTTGTCTGTCTCCGTCTCCCGCAGTGGGCGGCCACGACAGTGCCGAAGACGCCATCTCCGCCATGGATCTGATGATGTGGCGTCTGCGTGAGGACGCTAAGCTGATGCGTTGAGCCGACTCGGCCCGGCCCGCCGGAGCCGCCGGCGGGACGTCCGAGCCCCGCTCACCGGCGTGAGAGTGTATTTATTGTGCGCGTGACGGCTGAGCGTTCGAAGCGTCAAACGTACAAATCATTCCATTGGCGGTGCGCGTTTTTGTATTCGGAGCGTCCGTTGATGTGTGTAGGTGTTTGTGTACGCGGCCAGACCGCGAGAACGGCTGTGCTACGCGCCCGCTCTGTTCATGTTGTTGCTACTCTCTCTGTGTGTGCTGTTTGATATATACTGTTGAAGGGTTGTTCGCATCGCGATCATTGGGCTTGCAGCCGACAGAACGGCGCAATACATTCATCTCGTAAGACGCGGAGTTTTGTTGGAGGTGGGAGGGGGCTGGGACTGACGAATTAAAGAGATTTGGAAAGCATGAACTGTTAAAGCCGAAATTGGTCATAAGGGAGAGAATACATCAGGCCAGAGGCGCAGCATAACCGAACGGAGCACATGCCAAAATGGGAGGCTAGAGTTGTTCACTCGAATGTCGCGACCAAGGAAGTATATCAGATGACACAGTTCGGACTGCCTGCATTTAATCATAAACGTTTAACGGACACATAACCGTCACTGCGTTGTACCGCACATTCCTTTCATTTAGAACTATCATCTGTTTGGTGCTCAAGGACGATATCATCAGCGTTATCGAACAGGCTGCCAATGCGGGGCGAAGGGTGAGCATCGGTCTGCATTTTAGGTCACACAAGGGGGCCTAGGTCAGCGGGCTGGCGACTGGCGCTCGCCATCGGTCGCCGATCCGCCTCCCTGTCAGCTAATCCGGGCGCGTCCCTGCGCGCTCTGCGTGCGTGCGGCGTGCGGCGGCCAACTCGGCTGCGTCAGCGGCTCTGCGGGCACTGCAACCCTGTCCCCTCCCCGCGACCTCGGCCGGGAGGAGAACAGCAACTGCACGTCAGTCCCCGCCGATCGGCCGCTCCGGTATCATCCTCCCCAACCTCCGCCACCGCCGCAGCCATGTCCTGCTGGTCAGAGAACTATCACTTCATCAAGGAAGTGTACGACTTCCGAGTGGAGGAGATGAACAAGTGGATGGACGCGCTGGAGGAGAGCAGCAAGAAGCTCATCACCAACAAGGTCTACACTTCCAGGGAGTTCCGACGCATGAGGGACCAGTTCAGGGTGAGCATCCAAGGCTTGAGGAGAGGTGAGGGAGCGGAGGCATAAGTGGTTGTGCGATAGATTGGAGACATTGGCGAATTCAATGGATTATAATTGCTGTGGGGTGTTCTGCAATGTTCAGCCATGACCACGCAATATCCGAGGTAGCCCTATATTTACGGTTTTTGATAGTGGTTATGATCAGGGTGGTCTATAATCATTATTTTGGTAATGATATTAGGGTCAGGCCATTTACCAGCCGGACATCTTTCGGCGCATTTGGTACCAGTAAAACGCCTTTTGGGCGAAGAACGAGCGAGCGAGATAGTGAGCCCTGCACGTGCGGAAGGGCGAGAGGGTACTTCCAACGGACTTGCGCAAAACACCCTTCTAACCGGTGATAGCCGTGTGCCAAATTTGAACGCAATCGGCCCAGCCGTTCTTGAGATCTGGAAGCGGCATTCTGCACGTGCGCACGTGCAAACGGGGTCCAAACTGACTTTTGCACGGCACCCTACTAACTGGTCCCCAACCGTGTACCAAATTTGAGCGCAATCGGCCCAGCCGTTCTCGAGATCTGGAAGCGCCCCCTGCACGTGCGCACGTGCAGTAGCACCTTAACCGCAACACATGGGAATGCATTGCCTGGTGGGTGCCTACCTGCATGCCAAGTTTCAGCGAAATCGCCCCAGTAATTACCGAGTTATTAAAATGGGAACAAATTTGACACCTCTTATTGTTGTATTTTGCACGTGCACTGGGGGTGACCCACATGCATCGAGAGTATCCTATTTTTGGTAGAAGGGATGCTGCTACCCTACAAAAATTACCGCAAGTCAATCGCCCAAGCGGCTGCTGAGATATGAGCCTCTCAAAATCACTACTTTTGCAAAACAGCTTGAACACCATTGACTTTTCACGTGGCACCTGCCACGACGGTCAATGAGGTGTATCACAGGTAGTCAATTACGGGGTAGAAGGGATGGGGCTACCCAGCAAAAAAGACCACAGGCCAATCGGTCCAGCGGTTGCTGAGATATAAGCCTCTCAAAAGCGTTACAGGCCGGGCCGGGCCGGGCCGGGCCGCTCATACTGAGATTTTTCCGTTATATTGAAAAGACTTCGCTTCGCTCGCTGCGCTCGCTCGCTCGTAATTAGACTTCTTCCTCAACTTATATGGCTTGACATTGAAAGATTTGACATGATAGGCTCGAAGTCGGGGCGCATAGCATGCGCCATGCAGCGACCCTTCATAGGGCTGAATCTGATATCCGGTGACCGGTTATATTGTATTGCGCTTTCCATTGTTGATTCACGATCGAAGATAAGTTTCACTATGCCCGGTGACTTGTCAGCCGTTAGGGCGTCGGTCGGTGTCCACTGTCAAGACTCCAGAGAGCAGGGACCCAGCAAAGTAATGGTTGATTAGTTTGAGGATACTATATAAGCTATACGCTTTATGAGGTTATCGGTGGAGCCAACAAATAACTAAATGCACTTACTTTTATTGACGTTTCGGTTTCAAACAACCTTCGTCAGAATAGAACTACAAGTTACGTCTCATATTTCAAAAATGCACATATTTCTGTTTTAGTTGCTCTGGTGCCGATGTAGGGAGAACTTGCTCTGCAATGCAGTCCTTTAGAAACTTGAGACGATTCATTCTACTGGAGATCTTTTTTCTTAAATTAAATTCTTTCATTACTGTACTTGGGCCGCCACCGTCACCTTCAGACAGATGCTGATTATTTAGGGACATATTTGTGTTATGAGGTTATCGGTGGAGCCAACAAATAACTAAATGCACTTACTTTTATTGACGTTTCGGTTTCAAATAACCTTCGTCAGAATAGAATTACAAGTTACCTCTCATATTTCAAAAATGCACATATTTCTGTTTTAGTTGCTCTGGTGCCGATGTAGGGAGAACTTGCTCTGCAATGCAGTCCTTTAGAAACTTGAGACGATTCATTCTACTGGAGATCTTTTTTCTTAAATTAAATTCTTTCATTACTGTACTTGGGCCGCCACCGTCACCTTCAGACAGATGCTGATTATTTAGGGACATATTTGTGTTATGAGGTTAATATGTGCATTTTTGAAATATGAGACGTAACTTGTAATTCTATTCTGACGAAGGTTGTTTGAAACCGAAACGTCAATAAAAGTAAGTGCATTTAGTTATTTGTTGGCTCCACCGATAACCTCATAACACAAATATGTCCCTAAATAATCAGCATCTGTCTGAAGGTGACGGTGGCGGCCCAAGTACAGTAATGAAAGAATTTAATTTAAGAAAAAAGATCTCCAGTAGAATGAATCGTCTCAAGTTTCTAAAGGACTGCATTGCAGAGCAAGTTCTCCCTACATCGGCACCAGAGCAACTAACACAGAAATATGTGCATTTTTGAAATATGAGACGTAACTTGTAATTCTATTCTGACGAAGGTTGTTTGAAACCGAAACGTCAATAAAAGTAAGTGCATTTAGTTATTTGTTGGCTCCACCAATAACCTCATAACACAAATATGTCCCTAAATAATCAGCATCTGTCTGAAGGTGACGGTGGCGGCCCAAGTACAGTAATGAAAGAATTTAATTTAAGAAAAAGATCTCCAGTAGAATGAATCGTCTCAAGTTTCTAAAGGACTGCATTGCAGAGCAAGTTCTCCCTACATCGGCACCAGAGCAACTAAAACAGAAATATGATAGTGCATTTAGTTATTTGTTGGCTCCACCGATAACCTCATAACACAAATATGTCCCTAAATAATCAGCATCTATACGCTTTACATAAAACTATAAGACGAGCGAAAACTACGAGAAGTAAATGCAACTGATACTCATAACCTTGTGTGTTAAAATATTTGATATGAGCAGATATTGCATAGGCATGGCTACTTAACATGGCATTCAGTGTCAAAATTCGTAAGATCAAGTCGGTGAACATGTATTTATTGTAATTCGTGAAGGTCATGACCTATCATGCGGCTCTGCATTGGGACGTCGAGCTATCAGCGACTTTACGATTACGCATCACGGCATTGTACCCAGTTGCTACTAACTTACTACGGAGTAAGTTATCGACTCATATTCAGTGACCGTGCGAGGCATTCGGCGACCTTGCCGGACCTCAGGCCGGTATTCAGTGCAGTGTGTCACCGGGGCCGGTATTCCGTGCACGTGCTGGTGGACAGGTCCTGGCCCCAGTTCGAGCGGCGTGGCACGCGTCGCCAACCCGCTGCGTGCCACTGCAAGTTACGAGCCGAGGTGTTGTTCTGCTGCGGTGCGGTGACCGCGGCAAGAGCCAATTGTTATGCGGCACAGCATACGCCAGGCGTACGACTGGTAGGGACATCTAGCGGCTGGAACAGACACTACTGAGCACTGCGGCACAGCATGCTCCAGGCGCACGACTGCTAGACATCTAGCGGCTGGAATAGAAGCTATTCAAACCTTGTAATGCGGCACAGCATGTACCAGGCGTTCGACTAGAAGGGACATCTCGCGGCTGGAATAGGAACTAAGTCAAAAATCATGCGGCACAGCATGCACCAGGCGCACAACTGGTAGGGACATCTAGCGGCTGGAACAGACACTACTGAGCACTGCGGCACAGCATGCTCCAGGCGCACGACTGCTACACAGGCACCTAGTGGCTAGAATATCAGCTACAAAGCACTGCGGCACAGCATGCATTAGGCGTCCGACTACGATAGACATCTAGCGGCTGGAATAGAAACTATTAAGCATTGCGACACAGCATGCGTCAGGCGCACGAATGGAGTAGACAATGCTGCCTTAGTATTGCGGCACAGCATGCGCCAGGCGCATGACTGCTAGACATCTAGCGGCTGGAATAGGAACTAAGTCGATAGTCATGCGGCACAGCATGCACCAGGCGCACAACTGGTAGGGACATCTAGCGGCTGGAACAGATACTGGTGAGCATTGCGGCCAGCATGCGCCAGGCGCATGACTGCCAGACATCTAGCGGCTGGAATAGGAACTAAGTCGATAGTCATGCGGCACAGCATGCACCAGGCGCACAACTGGTAGGGACATCTAGCGGCTGGAACAGATACTGGTGAGCATTGCGGCACAGCATGCGCCAGGCGCATGACTGCTAGACATCTAGCGGCTGGAATAGGGACTACAATGCTGCCTAAGTATTGCGGCACAGCATGCTCCAGGCACATGACTGCTAGACATCTAGCGGCTGGAATAGGGACTACTAAGTCATGCGGCACAGCATGCACCAGGCGCACAACTGGTAGGGACATCTAGCGGCTGGAACAGATACTGGTGAGCATTGCGGCACAGCATGCGCCAGGCGTCCGGCTATTACTGACATCACAAGGAAGGAACTGGACTGGAGTTCTGCTAAATCGAGCAGTCCAGAATGCCGGGTCCAGAACAGAATAACGTTCAATGCTGTGTCTCCTCATATAAGGCTTACTTCTCAGTACCGTCTGAACGGAAGCATTAAAACATATCTTTTTGCATTAAAACCTTTCTTTTATATTAAACAGCCCATAGTTATGCACAGTGTATATGACACGTCTCTCGTATTGGAAGCGTTTATCTTCATTGCGTTCAATGTCTCTTGCATGTTACTGCGCCTTGTTTTAGCTGCATTTAGCAGCTAAATAATCAATATTCCCTACTCCTCTCATCAACAGTACCAGTGCAAGAACCTGAAGCGTGAGGAGGTGAAGCAGTGGCTGCACGACATGCTGAAGCTGCTGAACCAGAAGTCGGACCAGAGCCTGGAGGCCGAGAAGAAGCGACTGGAGGCGCTCCACCAGCGACACATCGAGATGCTGCCAGGAATCGAGGAGAACATGCGCAAGGTTCGAGGGGAAGGGGTGGCCACTTGTTCGCCATAAAGGGTGGGACAGTGCCAGTCAGTAAGATCCTTTAAAAACGACTGAGTTATTATGTTAAGTGCGACTAAATCGTCAGTACGTCAGTGCGTGACGTCTACGGAAATCAGTCAAGGCTGTTTATATGTAGGTGTAGCCCATTGATTTCCCAACTAACTCACAAAAAAAAACTCAGATGAGCACTGATAATTTTACCACTAAACGACTTATTCAAAGGTGCTCATATTCACACACCTTTGTCCTTTCACAGGTCGATGTGTATTCCCGCTGCTACCAATACGTGGACGATATCACTCCACTGGTGAAACTGCTGGAGGAGCTCCGTCGCAAATCGACGGAGGAGGTCAGACAACGGGGATACCGTTACATTCTTTAGATCAGCAACACTGTGGGGATTCGGAAGTAAATAGCTGATCGATACCTTTATAGTGTTTCTTATTGAGACTTCTACTTATGATGGTCCATTAGTCAAGTTCATTATTGCTTTTTTAATGACCTTAGTTAGTTATGATCAAATAACTAACTATAAAGACTGATCAACATACTTATAAGCTATTTTCATTCAGATAGTCGACTATGTGTATTGCTGAGTCTATTTTAAGCACCATATGTTTCGTACCACAGCTCGAGCAAAAGAAAGGCACTGTCGGTGGTCCAAAGGTAAGTCTTACATCGGTGTGTCTTCGCCTAGATTATTTTTGTTAGTTACCTTTTACAACCGTAGTTAGCGGTTTGTGTCAAACGTGCGCTATTGCGGATCAGAAGAGTTGTGGTGTTCTCATTCTCTCTGCACTCTGCTCTTGCTCTCGTAGATGACGCATGTATGTACTTGACCTCCATGCCATCCGCGCATAGTAGGCCTATAATTGACCCTCGTATCGTATCTACATAGAGAACGCCTCTGGTCCAGTGAGCTGCATGCCATTCTCGCGGGAACGGAGTAATAGCGAAGAAAGGCTAGCTGATTGCGCTGGACAAGCATGCTAAATTATCAGTGGAGGCTTTGTGTGGACTGCGGAGTCAAAGTAAGTGTAAAGTGTGCGTTAATAGATTCCAATTTTTAGGATTATTATCATAAATTATAGGGGATGCTACAGTCTTGCAAGCGATCCTCTGATTACATCAACATATTTCGCTTCGTTTTTTTTCTTGTATCTTGCTACATCATCATCTTATAAGTACATTAGTGCTTTTAAATAAGGCAGTCTTACTCATGCCTCTGGGTTTCTCTGATACAATAAGCTCAGTCATTGACCTCTCCCGGCGCAGATCCACCCGGACAGCACGGAGCACGTGGCCTCGTTCATCGAGAACCAGGAGGCCGTGATCGCCAAGATTGAGGAGAAGCGCGGAGAGTTCGCTCAGCTGATCAAACGCGGCGAGAAGCTGGCCGGCCAGGCCGACTGTCCCGACTTCCTCAAGGAGCAGGTCAAGGGACTAAGTGAGCTCTTTAAGGACTCCGAGGAGAAGGCCAAGAAGAAGCTGGAGACCCTCAAACGTGAGCATGTGAAAGTGATAAATGCAGCCCGGCTATAGTGTGACGTTTCTCACAAGATGGGCTAGTGTACTACCCTGTTACCCGTATGCAAGTCATGAAGTGCTGTTGAAAAAAATGTTAAGAATGTTTGTGAGTCATTCTAAATGACATTAATGATTCACCTTCAACTTTTTCGGTGGTATGTCTATTCTAACCAGTTTTGATCCTTACCATCCGTTCTCATCTCGTCGGGTCTCAATACCTTTTCGATCTCTCCCAATACAGGTAACGAGACTGCCTGGAAGGAGTTCGAGGACGGCAAGGTGAACATTGTCAACCTGCTCGACCAGGCGGACGAGAAACTGCGCAACATCCGCAAACTGTTCGACCCAAAGGCCGGCGCCGAGGACGTGGCGCTGCGACTGGAGATCGCCGCCAAGACGCGCGAGGCCAACGAGGCCTGTCTGAAGAAACTCATGGGCAACGTGGAAATCATCTGCGGCATTTGTTCCGCCGATAAGAAGGAGGAGGTCCTGAAAACGGTGAGTTGTTCTTGTATTCGGTGACAATGTTTTGCCGGTCCCGTAGCTCAGTTGGTAGAGCGTTGGACTCCGCGTGGTGAGAGCACGCGTTCCCGGTTACAACAGTCCGGGTTCGAAGCGCGACGGGCGCTTGACATTTATGGGCCTCCTGACAGGTATGGTTGCGGTTGGTGGCAGGCCGTAGCCAGGTGAAGTCAGTGAGGGGACCGGCCGTGCGCGGCTATGTGCGCACGTTAAACTTTGGACTCTAAATTCTGCCATAGAACTGGAATTGCGCGATCGGAGGGTAGAGGGCAGGGTCACCGCAACAAGCTTCGCTTAGCGATGGCTCTGTCCTTGTGAATCCTTCCCATCAAAAGGTTCGGACTAAATTTATAAAAAAAAATGTTAATATACATGCTTTTTGCTAAATATGTTGGGGCCATGAAATACATCCGTTCACCCTTGCCAAAATAAAAGCGAATTCACAATCTCATTCGGCTCACAGATAGCTGGATTCGAGGAGCGGAACAAGGTGCTGGATAAGACCGACGAACGCATTGCCAAGCTGAAGAAGTACACCGAGGATCTGCAGGTTTGTTTGCATTTCCCAAGCGTCCGTCTTCCTAAGAACGTCTCCAATGCGATGCACTAAAAGACATCAATTTAACTCATACATACGAATAAATACCTAAGGATGCATCTAAATGCAATAATTGGGTAATTAGTCAATCTTTGACGCATTTTATCAACATCCCCAGGCGTTCGTCGACAAGAAGGACGCGTCGATGGCGTGGCTGCAGCAGGGTGAGGACATGCTGAACGAGCTGCTGAAATTCCCCGGCGAGGATAAGTCAGATGAGAAGCTGCTCATGACTGTGAAGATGCAGAAGAACATGGAGACCCAGCTGAACACCCTGGCCTGGCTGGTCACTGAGTCGGAGCGGCTGCTCGGAGGTAAGGAGGGCCCACACTGAAAACAATTTAACCCAAGGCTTGCGAGTAAACCGGTGTTTTACGGGTACCCCTATCCGCAACCATTTTTAACCACCCTCCCAGGAGTAGTGCTAGGTCCCATTGCGGTGTAGTCGTACTTGCTCTGAGCGGATATAACCGCTGTCAGCGAACAAGTCCGCTGAGAGCAGGGACGACTACACTGCAATGGGACCTTACTGTACTCCTGGGAGGGTGGTTAAAAATGGTTGCGGATAGGGGTACCCACAAAACACCGGTTTACTCGCGGGCCTTGGGTTAAATTGTTTTCAGTGCAGTGTCGTGCTGCCAGTGATTCAGGTGTTGCTGGCGTTTTATTGGGTGCTGAGTGCTAAGTATTCTGGATGTTGCGAGTCTCCAAACTTAGAATCCACAACGTTTAAAAGCTTATGTCTGCGTTTGGTCCAGCTCTGACGTTTTATGTACAGTTTGGCAGATGAGCTCTCATTAATGTTTAAAAGCGGCGCAAACGGAAGGTATGTCGATTGTTGACCTCGTTGACCACTTCTGCAATCTGCATTCTTGCAGGCAAGTCCAACTCGATTGCCGAAGCACACATGTTGGACGTGCAGAAGATCAAGGTGAAGCTGGAGGAGCTGAACCAGAAGCTGACGGACGTGTGCGGTGACATCTCCGAGGACCTCCACCACTGGGCCGATTACCAGGTCAGAACCAAATGGCAACATCACCTTGAACTTGCTGTTTTAAACATCTTACTGAGCCAACCAACCGCTTTAATGCTATATGTGTAGCGTGTTAGCGATGATGCCAGCACCGATGGTGTGTCTTGCTTTGCATTTAGATTTGTTTTTCGCTCTGCAGGCCGAACTGAAGGTGTTCCAGCCGTGGCTGACTCAGTGCGAGGAGAGGATCAAGGGTGGTCTGAAGAAGCCCAACAGCCTCATCGAGGCCCAGGAGATGCAGAAATCTGTCATTGTAAGTTCAGTAAAAGCTTCGGTGGTAAGAAGCATGGACAGAATATGCAGTACAACGATGACAGATTATTCCTACCATAACATAAATCATTTTCGTTTTTTGTGTAGTATGAAATGCATTAATCAGTAAATAAAGAATATCCCACCCAGTAAACTGTTCACGGTAATGCGAGTTTGTCCCCTTACCGAGGATCCCGGCCTAATTCCATCATCCGTGTTGCCTCTACAGGAGTTTGACGCAGACATCAAGTCTCGGCTGGCCAGCCTGGACAAGATGACTGAGACGGTGTCCAAGATGACGCAGCACGACAAGGCGGACCGGGAGATCACCGAGTGCCGCGACCGCCGGCAGGCCGCCGAGACCGTCTGCTGCGAGTGGGTTCAGCGCATGGAGAAGCTGGTCAAACAGTGGGAGGAGCTCAGCAACACGGTAAGTCCACCGACTGGGCCTTGATGAACTGTCCAGAACAGTGCAAAAGAACGACTACCGGCAAGAAGAACGACTACCGGCATGAAAGTGAAGTTTTAGTGTTACTTGCTAAATATAGAATTCAGCCCCGATTAGGGGCATTTCATTATCAGTTTTATAGATGTACGGAAAATTATTACGCTCAGTCACAAATTGAGCATGTAACGTTACCCGTAAAATCCAGCATCTTGTATCTTTCTATAGATCCTTTGTATTTATCTTGTAACCTATAGTCTATAGGTTTTGCACTGTTCTGGACAGTTCATCAAGGCCCATGATTATCAGCGACTTTGCTATCTATCCGATATCGGTGCTAGGTAAACAAAGATTTCATTTCTCCCAGTCGGCTATCCGGCTAATTGATGTTACAATGGGCTCATTGTCCTTTTTATCCGTATACTGCTCGATGTTCAATTGCATAGCTAACATTCACGATCTTTGAGATAAATCCAGAAGAACGTTTTGTATGTTTCCACAGCCACTGTGCTTCCACCGCCTAAATTTCCGAAAGCGACTATTAGCTGACACCAAACTTAGGTACACATTCCAATGAAGGCCGTCTTGTGCTACCGAATGCAATTTATATACCTCTGAATAATCATATAGCCTCTCCTATCACACGCTGCAGATCTGACCATACGTTTCTCCTCGTCTTTCAGGTCACGGAGGTACAGGGCTGGGTGGCCGCCGCCGCCAAGGTGGCCGACGACCCGGAGGCAGACGTGGTGGACGGCACACTCAACAAGCTCAAAACCTACTTCGCCGAGAAACAGAAGCTAGTGCAGGCACTGTGATCCTATCATCCGAGCTGAGGAGTTTTTTCGCTGAAATATTCAATATAAATATTAAATAAAAAGAGAATTGTTCGTTGAATTGTCGCTTTGGCTATAAAGTATAGACAACTGACGGTGCCGACTCATGTGCATTGTGCATAGTAATGTGTATGTAAATTTTGCACCGAAAGCGTAAAGCTTGTTGCTGAGCGTTTTGTGATAGGGCAAATGAATCCCTTGTCGTGTCCCGCTCAATATATCCACTACCCTTTAAATAAATAGACCATCAAGATAACTGTCATCTGTACCGTAGTCTTTCTTCTCTTAGTATTTATTTAAAACGGGCAACAATAAAATAATACACTCAGCCCGCGGCGTTTGATTTTGTTACCAATAAACGCACGCACGACTGTTAGTAAAGCATGTGTTTATTCTCCGATTATCTTTGGTCGACCGAGTTGGCTGCTGAGCCACGACTTTGAGCCGTTCAACGACCGTTTGGCACCGCCGAGATATTGGGGACGTCGTCAATACAGGGTCACATTGCGGCTGCATCCCTCGGATGGTTGGCAGCGTGGAGTCGTGCCAGGGTTAGAGTCGACCTCAAACATCGCACATTGCTGACCTTAGGCCAGCGGGCAGAGACGTGGGGGTATGCTAAGCGCGAATAACACTGGTGGGAGGTGGAAGAAGGACCGGCAAAAATAAAGGGCAGTTTAGTAGGTATATCTTTGAGCAAACGAGCGTTGAGCCACTTCAAATTGATTTAAATAAGAATTAATTTGAAATGCATACGTTAGATACCTATCGTGCCGATATTTGTATTTGTGTTAGCAGATTCCCAATCACACAGTGCCGGACCCGTGCATTGGCACTGGGTGCTACAATAACGATGGAGCGGGCCACAGCTGGTAGGTACACAGATGATGCTACCGGACTTTTAAATTCAGCGCAGCTGCTGAAAATAGTCAGGAAATGCGGAGGAAATGCCAGTACCGCGTCGGCCTCGTCCGCGACAGAAAGCTAGGTCCAATGCTGCTTTGCGCCTATTTATGTAGAGTGTATAGTGGTAAACTTCGTGCGACAGGCTATTGAGCGAAAGTGATCAGGGGCGGCGCCACGGATTTTCGATAGGGGGGGACGGGGACGGGGGCTTGACTGACCGAAAACCCCAGAAGTAGATACTGATCGTGTATGCAAAAAAAAAAAAAAAAAAACGAGGCACGTAACGCTGCGAAACTTGGCAAAGCCCAAAACACATCGAACGGTGCATCCTGTTTCCAAACTTATCCTAGGACACCTTATAAGATCGATCACCTTTTCAAGCATCCTTGCCTCTAAATGAAAATTTGCAGTCTTGTCAACTCAAAGCTGGTTTCCTACAAGCTGCGAATTGCTTAGGTATGAGTAGCAGTGCCAACTTTTCTTATGTTTCGTACTTTCAAATTTGCGATCCTATGTCTGGTCAGATTGATGGCTTCACCATCAAATAGCCATGGAGGAAAAGTGGGAATGTCTTCTGCTCTGACAAGCGCGCCAAAGCTGCAGTAATAATTTCAGAATCATGACATCACCACCTGATCCATATGCTACGGGCAGGGTGCAGGTAATGGCTAGCCGTCAGTGGTCATGTCATCGGTGGTCACTCAAAAGGTCATGCTAGGTCATGGAAGGTCACCAGCCGTTATTTGATCACACTTTTTGATGGATTTTATTTACTTAGAGCTTCGCGGGAACAAACAGCGTATGCACCGTTAAAAATTTGAGTGAAAGGGTCTCAGGTCCGGCGACCTCTGATGTCAGGTGAAATGCCCCAGGGTAGGATTCCGGTCCTTGTTGATTAACTTCGTCAAAAATGGCAGTAGAGCTGTGATGAAGGCACCATTGTGTTCGTCATGATCGAGCTGGCACGACCTGCATCGTCCTCATATTCACCCTCCAATCGTAACAACTACAGCAGGGATTGGCAAATGGCGGGGCAACCCCTTTGGGAGATAATCAAGGTCTCTGGAAACCTCATCCCTCATCTCTTTAGCATTAGTGGCTCTCCTTATGGAACAGGTTTCTTGACTGTTTCACCCCAGAATTCAAAGACTAGTCAAAGTAAACGCACCACGGTGAGCACAAATTGATAAGCTGGTGTTTCTCAATTTTCATGTAGAACCTTTCATGTATCACGTACCTAAAACCCTTTCGTGCACTCATGCAAAAGCAACTGCCATGTTTCAACAGCTTGTAATGACATTTTCACAGCCGCTGACGTAAGAAGGGGAGGGGGCTCGATTAGACCCCCAGCCGCTCGGCCGCCGACCGAACTTAGTTTTGCAGAAAGTTAGTTTGCAGAAAATAGTTTTGCAGAAAAAAACGAGTGCTATGATGCTATCCCCTTGACGAGAGGGAACCGATGCTACCCAGTTATAAGGTCTTGGGCTACTGCGTGATTTTTTGGTCATGCCTGTGATCTATCCGAACATTTCTCCCCACAAATGCTGGGGTTAAATGTCATAGATTTGAATTTTTTCTGTGGTAGAACTGCCATGCTTGAATTTGATTAATTAGGAATGGAAAATATCCATATAGTAACGGAAATCTATGGAATTTCAGTAAACTTGGTTGTGTCGGCAATGGGGTCTGGCAGTGGGGTGGGGAGGTAATAACCCTGCCTGGCGCCCCAAAAGGAGGGGGCACGATCCCCGAGAGCCTGCCGATCACCTTATACCTAACTACAGGCATCACAGCTCCACACCTTTTGCAGATGGCCAGGACCCCCTGAGATACATCCCAACAGCAATCTTTATTCAGAACCTGGCTTGATTAACCAACGATGCATTAAATGCGACGGATAACTCTGCAATGCACTTATCAACTATTGAACGGACCTCGCCGATAGGGGGGTACTGTACCCCCCTAACTTTCGATAGCGGGGGACCTGTCCCCCCCGTCCCCCCCGGTGGCGCCGCCCATGAAAGTGATATATCGGAAAACTCGTTTAGAGAGATGGTACAGTTGAAGGGTTGTGCCTTTGGAAGGAGGTAACTAAAACATCTCTTGAGGTGAAGTGAATAATAATTAATCAGCTTTACTCGCACTTTTGGTATGTACGAGCACAATGCCTTGCGCGGTTTATATAGCCTTGCCCTGCGCTATGTGCTGCTTTCAAAATGCTGAATATCAATGTCGGTCGTTATCGTTCAATGTTGGTCGTTACGCACGCACATGAGGCCCGTGCTTCATATTCTGAGGCAGCTTGTCAGTAACCCTTATCCTTCAGATTAAAGGTAGTGTGCCACCTTTGAAAGATTTCCCGTTTTATTTTTCCTAGGATAAGAAGCTTCTGTTTTTACCTAATATCGCAAAAAAATCAAAAATGGGCCTGGAATAGTGCCTTTTTCGCCTAAAAGTTTATCGGTTTTTAGATATGTATAACAACTGTAGTGGGCTCACCTGCAAACAGGCGTCGGGCAACAATCGCGAATGCGGCGCACTTGTGACAATAAGCAAAGGTCATTATAGTGTTACGACCATACGACGTACGGGAATGAGTTATCAGCTGTCTAATCGTAGACAACACAATGTCGAGCCTTAAACTGTAAGCCTGTATTGGTATTGTTTCTTAAATTTGGCTGTCGAACATTAATTTGTGGTTTGAAATATGATTTTATGTAAAATAATTGATATGAAACAGCCGTCTCTTAAGTTATGACCCCATTACACCACACGCAAGCGGCAGAAATGACAATGATCAGCTGACGCATTTTTCTTGGCCGAAGTCAGAGCGCGCGGCCCGACGCACCACGCGTATTTGGAAATTCCGACCTCGACGAGCATCAGAAGCCACCTAACAGGCGTGTTCGAAACCGCAGGAGATGATGATGAACGGGTTTATCGAAACTTGATTGGATGAGCCTATCGGTAATAGCGATTTTAGTGTGTGCATTTATTGTTCATAGTGGTGTGAAATGTGGTTGGGGTACGACCGACAACCCGTCGGGGCGAATTTCGCACTGGGGTACTCAAAATTTGAAGAATTTAAGACGTTTCCATAAGTTTTGAAGGTATGGATAAGTTCTAAAAATCCGGTTCTCCTTATCCGGGTCATTAACTCCATATGGTCCAAGAAAGCTGGCACACTACCTTTAAGTAATAGCGTCTCCACTAAAGGCAGGTGTTTGTTATAGACAAACTCTTCATGACGTTTCGAATTTTAGGCCTTGCAGTTTTCGTCGAATATATGACAAGCAGATCCGTGATGATAACTTTCCACCTCTTCACAACAAGTGGGACGAGAGGGCGCGGGAGTCCCCGAACCTTACTGATCGCACCCTCTGCTCAGCCACTCAGAGTTCGACAGGCTCATCCGGTTCACTCTCGAAAAAAATATGAACGACCGTAGCGTCACACAAAACTCTGCATCACTTAGGTCGGCCCACAATGACGAAACGGTCGGCGTATCTCGGGCCGCACCTCCGCCCGGAGAGATACTGCTGACTGCCGTATGATCGCGGCATTGTCAACAGTCTGACACGCACTGACCCGTCGAGTGGCTGTCAGTCTGGCACAGTGCGGATCGTGCAGCGCTCATCGATCAGTAGTCCGGCAGCCATCTCACAGCACGGCTAGTGTATCTGTGGATAATTCCACTGTGTTTCTGTGGACTTCTACTCTGTGACCTGCAGCTCCCTCACCCACCCATCTCCGTGTAGTGTCCCACTGTGTACACAGCCCAACATGTCATACGTCCGGCGTGGGTCAGCGGGCTCCAGCTCGTCTGGAGGCTCGCCGGCTTCCCCGGCTAGTGCTGAGGAACCGGCGGCACCTAAAGGAGGCATCAGCACCCTACTGGCGGCCGTGTTCATCACGGGAACGGTGGCCGGCAGTGGGATGTTGGCGCTGGCCAACTCTGTTCGACTCACAGGTGCGTATTTTACGACTGCTGGGGGTGATAGGTAGGAGAGCGGGGATATATTGAGAGGAACGTCGGTCGAGGAACGAGAGAGAGAGAGAGAGAGAGAGAGAGAGAGAGAGAGAGAGAGAGAGAGAGAGAGAGAGAGAGAGAGAGAGAGAGAGAGAGAGAGGGAGAGAGGGAGCGAGAGAGAGATGCATATAAGTAAAAAAGTTAAATCCAGAGGAAACCGCTTTTCTATACCGACGTCGATAATGTCATTGGGAACATTTATACCCTAGAGTTGCAGCGCTGAACTGCTATCGAGTCTTAGAAAACCCATGGAGCCTTCTAACCTGACGATGACCCACGCCCCAGGCTGGATCGGCCTGGTTCTGCTGCTCTATTTTGGCGTCAACTCTGCCTACTGCGGCTTCGTACTCTCACAATGCTGGCTGATCGTCGAGTCGCGCTTCCCAGAGCTGAGTGGTCAGGTTCGAGCGCCCTACCCCGAGATCGCCTTCAGAGCGTTTGGAAAGAAAACAAGGTGAGCAGTAAACAGTAAACACCCTTGTGAAAGCCGATTTGAGTAAGTATTGATATAATGATAAGCTACGAAGTTAGTTAGGTATGTTTAACGTCTAAGGTGTTCCAGTTGCTTGTATTGCACATTGTAAGATTTTATCTTTATACAGATAATCTTTATACAGTTGTATTTTAATTTCATTATACTTGTCTGAAATCCAATAAATTTTCACAGAATACTGGCGTCTGTGGGTATCTTCGTCAACCAGTTTGGCGGCAGCATCGTGTACGTGCTGCTGTCCGCTGAGCTGCTCGAGGGCCTGGTCGGGAAGGACCGCCTCACCTACTGCGTCTGGATCCTGGTGGTGGCCGGCGTGCTGCTGCCGCTCTCCTTCCTCGGATCGCCAAAGGACTTCTGGTATGTAGGACGAAAGAACTTTTGAACTCTGATACGTAACGCCGTTCTATATGGTTTCACTGTATCGGTTGAAACGATAGCAATAGTTATCTCGAAGCCGGCAGCGTACTATATCTGTTACATGCTTCGCTAACTTATGCTTTAAAACTCACATATCGCCATCGAATCCTAACTAATGTGCTGTGTTTCTCAGGTTCATCGGCGTGACGGCCCTGGTTTCCACGATGCTCGCCTGGCTGTGCATCATCATCCACCTGAGCACGCACTACGGAGAGACGGTGGATGACGCTACGCACACGTCGCCTACATTCGAGACGTTCTTCCTGGGCATGTCAAGTCTTTTGTTCTCATTTGGCGGAGCCTCCTCCTTCCCGACAATTCAGAACGACATGGCCGACCGCAAGCAGTTTGGACGGAGCATCACTTACGGATACATAGGTAAGATAACTCTGGCTCTGTATGTAATCGTATCGCATGCATTGACACGTATAATGGGCTAATAAAATTTTAACGCAGTCTGTGCCATGATTATCGCAATCCGCATTTCGCCTATTATTTATATGTTTCGTTGTCACAAATCACGTACCTACCGTCTTCATGATCGACTGCAAGGTGACAGAGCATGACTCTAAGATTTCACCCTCAGCGCTGATCTGCATGTACTTCCCGATGACGCTTCTCGGCTACCTGGCTCTGGGTGATCAGCTGGATGCCGACCTTATCAACTCCCTGAAACCGGACGGCTTCTTCAAGAGCGCCGCCCAGGTGCTGTTCATGATAAACCTGTCGGCTTCTCTGCTCAGCGTCATCAGCCCTGTGTATCAGGAACTCGAGGACAGAATCGGCATACCACTCCGTGAGTTTAGGAGGAAAAGTGTGTGGATGACGCCCTGTAAAATTGTTTGGGATGTAAAATAGCAAGGAAATTCTGGTCTGACGACGAAGAAAGCTGGCCGAGACTTCACTTGTTTATGAAATCGTATCAGGATTGAGCTATATTTCTATCGGTGTTGAGTTACACGGCAGTTCTTTCATTATAGGTATGTTGGTTCCAACACTCGCCTCGTAATCCATTTGTTGATTTATTCATTCGTTCTATAGTTATTCATTGATTATTTCATTCGTTTCAGTTCAATGATTCATTCATTCGCTCCAGTTATTCATTGATCCATTTATTCGCTCGAGTTATTCATTCGTTCCATTCAATCGCTCGCTATTCTTTTATTCGTTCATTCCACTAACTCATTCAGTGGTGTTTCTGGAAAACCATCTGACCAATCTGCTGCGTCTATCTGCAGAGTTCGGCTGGAAGCGGGTGCTATTCCGGACCGGTATGATGGCCATCAATGTGCTGATTGGCGAGACGGTGCCGAGCTTCTCCAAGGTGCTAGACCTGATCGGCGCCAGCGCTCTGACGCTGATGACGTTCATCATGCCGCCTATCCTGTACCTGAGGCTGACCTCACATACCGACGGCGGTCGGTGGCCCAAAATGTGAGTACCTACTTAGTCAGACTATATAGAACATCAACTCAGTATGGCAGGTGGAACCGAAATGACACTTTTACTGCATATACGCAAAGAGGCTGATGAGTGACCACTGAGCACAGGCTGGCGACTACAGACTGTCGGTTACATGTGTACGAATTGGCGGCTTTCTACCAGTTGAATTTATCAGCAAATTCTTTGTCAGATAATATGGCATAAAAACCGCCTATCAAATTAAGCTAGTGGTATCAACCAGCCTCAGGCATTTACTTTTTTGAATTTATCGCTTACATATCTTGACCCCAACCTGATATTTGTTCTCAGTGAGGTGCCATTATGGAAGAAGATCATTCTGGTAGAAATTATTGTGGTAGCCACTCTGTGCGGCGCCGCGTCGACATACGAAGCGGTCAAAGACATCATCGAAGACTCGCTGGAAAGCTCGTGCCTGATCGAAGTCGGCGACTCAGTGGCGTCGGCGCTCTCTTGGAGTTAACGCCACGCTCGCTAAAATCAACAGAAAAATTAAACGCTATCTTTTATGGGCATATAACAACCAGTGGTTCGTACAGAGAAGTTGTGGGAAGGGAATCGAGATTTAACCCAGCGCCCTAATACGTGTGATAATTCGTTGTTACGGTTCAAATGTTTACAGGTGTTATTAATACACATATCATGTGTCATATCCTTGCCTCGTTTGGCCCGCCGCGTTCACCTACTGTGACCGGTTAGAACCGGCTCAGTCTCAGGTAGATGACAGCGTCCTCATTGTGGGGGTCAGTCGGTGACTGACGGCTGATAGGGACGAGGAGGCAGGTCAGCTGGTTACTGCCTACCGCCGCCGCCGGGGACCGATAGAATATACGCGTGGGTCCGTGAGTCAGTCGGTGGTCTGCGCCGGGGAGAGGGAGGCTCGGGATTCGGCACACCACGGGGCCTGGCTGGGTGACGGCAGGCGATTGCTCGAGTGGTGCTATCAGTAGTAATCGCCCGAGCGAAGTGCGTGAGAACGGTAACTACCGACAAAAGAACAGCTCGGTCGTAAATGGTTTCGAACGAGGGTGACAAGTGTGATACAACACCATCATGTAACATGTCTGATTATATTTGGGAATTTGGCCCGCTGGAAAAGCATGATAGCACACAGTTAGATGAGCGGCGAGCCGGCGGGCCGCCTTCCTTCCCTCTCTGGGCCGCTGGTAGCGAGTTCAAAACGGCACGAGACAACGGCGACCGGAGCTATGGCGGCTATCGGCAGAGCTCGTAAGGCAAATCATAACACTGTGTACAAAGTCACCGGCCCCGGCGGCGGCCCCGAGCCGACGCCACCCTACAACAGCCCTACGGGAACTCGCGCCGCCTCGCTCCGATCCAAGGCCACCGACGGCGCCGCCGCCCGGCCGCCGGCAAACGTCGCGCGCGCGCCGCCAACGCGCCGCGGACGCCGCGCCAGCGTCCCTATAGTCGCGTCAAATAACGTCACTCACTCCCGTAGACGAGAAAAGTCATGCAGCGACGCCAGAGAACGGCGCCAAAGAGCGGAGGCTAGATATAGACTGGATGACTGTCAGTAAAATAGGGCAAATCGTTCAAACGGCTAACCGCAGTCACACTCGTAACAGGGCTATCGCCGAGTGAAACAACGGACAGCATCCGCCACTCCACCTGTGGACTTTCCGTAGATTGTTAATTGTGCGATAGGGCATATCGCCAATCATTCTGTATCGAGTCTCTAAAATGCGCCATAGTCCAACAAGGCGTAAATGTCTGCAGCAGCCAACAAGCGCCCTCAACATCGTCGGCACGTTCGATGACTGGACTCGGCGAATATGCGAGCATCAACTCTGATAACGATCCTCTAGCTAATGTCATGGAATGTCTCCACTCTCGTTCTATCCCCGTAGGAATGTCATTCTGCTGGCGTATCATTATTGGATGGCTAGGGCAGGATATTCAACGTCCAAGCTCATAGGGGCCAACGTCAGCAGTGGATAGAATTTAGCTGCCATTCTTTTCAGAGGATTATGCAGACTGTAGAAGGTAAGCCCAGATGAACAAGAGAGCATGAGAAAGCGGGTTCCTTTCACTGGACACCGGAGATCAGGAGGGACTAACTCTACGGACCGTGCGCGTCACCGGACGCGCGCTGACGTCACCGGACCGAACCGTGACGTCATAAGATCACCTCCGCCGCCGAACATCGAGATATTGTGTCGGTACAAAACCAGCGCGCTGCGGCCGCCGCCACCGCTCACGGACTGCACTTGCACGCACGCGACACACATGATCACAAAGTTGATTTGGAACAGCGGGCCCGGCGGTGCGCGCCTGCCGCCGACTCCGGGTCAGTCTCTCTGCATTATGGTTGACCCCGGACGGACGGACGGCGGTGCTCAGAAGAAGCCACCCCCGGCGCCGCCCAGTCGACTGCCCAGGCCGCCCAGACCCTTGGAGAAGCCGCCCAGCACTCCGCCCACCTGTGAAGAGAGCCGGAGAGCAGCGGACGTCAGGGCCAGTCGGCCGCCGGGGCACATATCTAGACAGAAGGCATTGAATATACTCCTGCTGACGTAAGGCCCTGACATTTCATTGGCAAACTAGGCTTAGCTATGCACTGTAGTTGAATGTCGAGCTGTGAACAGGTGTATGAAAATTGTTCGAATAGTTGAGAATAACACTGTCTGGGAAGTCTTTAGGCTGTGAGCTCCACCAGTACGGGATATCGGTCAGCGCCACTCACCTTATTGCCCACCTTGCCCACAACATTGGAAGTGACGTTGGCCACCTTAGCGGCCACGTTTCCGTCCTCGGCCGCCAGCGACTCGCGCACCGAGAGGCTGGGTCCGCGCGCCCGACTGCCGTCCTCCTCGTCCCCTGCGCCGTCCGGGAACTCCCTGGGGTGAACAACGTGGGTGGTTACTGGTAATGCTAGGAGACACCTGGCACAGTCGGCAGTTTATGGTACCCGTGGTATTCGAAGTTATACAAAGAATACGACCTGATTCAAAGGATGTGATTTACCAGGCAGTCACCGTCTGATAAACAATGGAAATTACCTGTTCCAGCTAAAATTCATAGCTAGCGAAGCAATCATCGTTTCATACCTCCTTCACGACCTGGCGTTTCACGCCCAGTGTACATTGCATTAGGCTGCGCCACAGACTTCTCTCTCTATATATAGAGAAATCTGTGGCTGCGCCAATTATCAGGTTGCATCCTACAGCTTCCACGTCACCCTTCCCGTCCACTCACTCTTCGTCTCTGCGGCTGCCCTCGAGCAGTGCGCACGTGGCCTCCTCCGTCTGCATCCGCTGCAGAATTGTCTGGTACGTCTTGCTGTTCAGCTTGTCCTCCGTCACGCCTTGTAGCTCGAAGTCGCTGTACAACTTCTGCAAGGGAGACGCGGCACATGGCGGTTACTTACTGTGAGGTCGTTTGACTTACCGCTTGTCATTTCGATATCAATGCTTATTAATCTATCTTTATCTAATTCATAAACACAACATAATTGATTCCAAATAGCGATATTCGTTGACGGTAGGTATAAGGCAAATGCATTAATCATCAAAATTCCGCCATCCGCTGCTGACGACCTACTAAAACCCCGCCCGATCCCCGTCTATGGATTATAAACTAAATAAATGGCCGACTCCCGGAGCGACTTGCAATCGACATGATTTGTCCGGCTCAGCCGGGGACGGTTGCTATGCGGGTCATGCTGGCGATTAAGCCTCTCTGACAGCCAGTCCGATGTGATTTCTGCCGCTGGCGGGTTGCTGATGGTGGACGATCATAGAAACCACTCAAACAATCGCTGCCCACTTAGGGCCGCAGCTGTAACGCTCAGAAATGTTATGTCTTAACGCTAAACGGTTACTGACCAACAACTGTTTCATCGAAGCCATTGTTTTATATGATACGAAATCTGTGCTGTTAAGAAAACATGCGTACCGTGTAAGAACATGGTATTGCTAAATCGGATAGTGTCATGTGTGATGACAAAACTAAAAAGTGCAACTCACCTTGGATGGATCTTTGTCACGCATGGCCGATGTTGTAAATGCACTTCGGTTGCAGGTGGCTCATATGCATCGACACATGTATTACAACATAAAACGAAAAAAGCGAGCATGCAGTGGCCCGAATGCATGAGTGGGATAATATACACGGCATCAGACACTAAAACATCATATTAAGAAAACTACTAAAGGATTCAACAAATCGAATATACGCTTAGATTGCTAAACAGGGAATCAAGCTAGATAACCCAGGCCACACTGACTAGTATTGCGTAACAATTGGTCATCAGACCTAACAGAAACAAGCATGACTTTAAACCTTATCGCGATAACCTCATAAGTACCACCAAAGCACACTCGCAGTTGCGAAATCAGCCAAAGCAGTGCAACACTATGGCAACTAATCGTGATCTCCAATGCAATCACGATTGCATGAATTGTATAACGGGACTATAGTCTTCTCTTTGCTCTCGTCCTATCGAGACGAGACGGTCATATCACATGTTTATCCGTATAACGAGAAGTCGTCTGCAGCTACTGCGATTATGCCACACAGCATATCTGGTGTCAGCGCCCTCCTGCAACCCGTCCACAACACTTATTATCGTCACATGTGCTACTATCCAATGCTGTTAGAGTGAAAAAGTCTTGGGAATAAACAGCAAACTACTTCATTCTAGCACCATTCCTGCGTCATCTCGCCCTCTTCCCCTCACGAGTTGTGTTCGTCCGTCCCTGCTTGAGTTCCCAAGTCACTCCATCCGCCCCTGTATGATCAGGGGCCGTATTCACGTCGACTTCGTAAGTCCATTTTCTTTCGTAAGTATAATTTGGTATTCACGTCGACACTTCTTAAGTTTTTATCGACGGAGTTCACGTGAATGAAAAAATTTACTTGAGAAGTAGGTCAAACTTAAGAAAATTCTTACGAATATGATCGACGTGAATACGGCCCCAGGTCACTCCAACTGAGTACCCCGGTCACTCCATCTGAGTGCCCCAGGTCACTCCATCCGCCCCTGTATGATGACAGCGCCCTCGCTCACTCCATCTTCCCCTGTATGATGAGTGTCACTCCATCCGTCCCTGTATGATGAGTGCCCTCCGCTCCGTCTCCAGTCTCTCCACGCAGGTCCGGTAGTGAGGGATCTCCACCTGCTCCTCCCGCAGACCGTGCATCTTGTTGTCGGCGCCGAGACACTGCATCGGCGGCGGGTGCGGGCACAGACGGTGTTATACGGTGCGAGCAACAGAGGGCAGGCCATGCGGGCACGGAGGGCGGTCAGGGCTAAAGATAACGACCAGATACGAACAACATGGGTGATTAGCAAGCTGAACAATGCACATTCTAGCGCATGCCATTCGTAAAACGTGGGCAAAGTGAAAAATGTTGGACAAAATGAACAAAAACTAAAAAAAGGATCGTACAAGCTAAGCCAATGTAAAGGTTAAAGACGGTGAGAAACATTGATTATGTGGATAGAACGTAACCACATTTATTAATAGTTGTCACGGTTTAGTTTGAGTAGTTGATTTAAGTTATTATCAAGAAACGGTCGATATCGTTTGAGTGATTATCTTTTTTTGTAATATATGTCCCGTTCACAGGGTTTTAATATTATATGAGTATCCACATCGTACTCTGCTTCTTCCATGGATGGTTAAAACACAACGCATGGTGACATGCGTCGAGCTACAGCGCTATTTAGCATGCATGCTGTCTATCATGTGCGTAAGAAAACGCACTATTGAGCAGGCTAGATCGAAAGCATGGAACAGTGATGCTCATTGCTAACTTACAAACAATGCACAACATACGATATGCAGAGGAAGTAAGAAACAAACATCGATCGCGATCCGTGACTTACCTTGACGATGTGGGCCAGGCACATGACTTGATAGGGGTGCAGGGATCGGTCGAGCCGGTCTGAGAGCCACGTGCACAGCAGCTGGATCTGCTGCGTGTACCAGATCTGAACGGGATGGAGAGGGGCGTCAAAGGTCAGTTGGTGACATCAAGAGGTCAGCAGGTCAGGTCAAGTCCTCAAAGTGGACAGATAGAAGATTCAGTGCATAGTCTGTAGTAAAAAGAGCTAATATTAACGGATGTTTTCGACACCATGTCTTCATTTCCGTTGCAAAACCAATACCTGAAAGGCAGTCTTGCACAACAACACGGCAACAGCGCGAGTTTCTGGAAATTCCGCATTGATATATGGCAAAAATGTAAATGTTGTCAAATCGACGATTTGATGCCAAAAACAAGAAGACCATTTACATAAACAGCCGTCGCGGGAATCTCACTGAAAATTTCATTGGTCGGGAATATGAGAACAGAAGGAGACGAATAACAAAAAAAGCAGATGCTAGCAAAACATTGAATTGCAAGACGGTGGATGAAAAATCGAGCACTGCAAAATGTGGAGCGGCAAACAAGAGCTGCTGCCTAAACTGAAGACTTGATCAGTTTCCTCTCTCCATAGATTAAAGCACGAGCTGTGATACCACTATACGCAGCGAGAGACCGTTTCATAAGTACACCATGGCGATAGGTCCCCGACCCACTAGTGAAGAGCACTGACTCACCTCGAACACATTGAGGATCCAGAGCTCGTCGCTGACCTTCTGACGGATCTGGTCCATACAGTTTCTGGTAAAGGTCACGTACGACTGGCCCAGGTCACGACCCGATCCGGATACGTTCTGCTTGTACTAGAGGAGAGGGGCGTGGGGGTCAATGAGATATTGGTCAGCGCGTCAGAAGGGCAAACTTTGTGACGGGTTTCACCTTTATCTGGTGGTGCCATCAAAGTCGAGCGGTAAAGGATAATGCCAGGAAAAGCGGACTTGGAAGACGGAGCACCACGGATAAGGCCGATAGCTTAGCATTAGCAGTACATCATATACAGGCGGGTTAGTCTGAAAGCATCGTGGCACGGTCGGCTATCAGTTATCACCAAAACCTATCATAGACATGCAGTTTGACATATGGGTAGCAGTATTTCAAGATGGCCATTCTGACAAGCGATAGGTTGCGCAACAAATGAACTAAAGGTGTGTTTAACTTACTCAAAGTTTTTATCTATACATGCTCTTCTCTCTCTCTCTCTCTCTCTCTCTCTCTCTCTCTCTCTCTCTCTCTCTCTCTCTCTCTCTCTCTCTCTCTCTCTCTCTCTCTCTCTCTCTCTCTCTCTCTCTCTCTCTCTCTCTCTCTCTCTCTCTCTCTCTCTCTCTCTCTCTCTCTCTCTCTCTCTCTCTCTCTCTCTCTCTCTCTCTCTCTCTCTCTCTCTCTCTCTCTCTCTCTCTCTCTCTCTCTCTCTCTCTCTCTCTCTCTCTCTCTCTCTCTCTCTCTCTCTCTCTCTCTCTCTCTCTCTCTCTCTCTCTCTCTCTCTCTCTCTCTCTCTCTCTCTCTCTCTCTCTCTCTCTCTCTCTCTCTCTCTCTCTCTCTCTCTCTCTCTCTCTCTCTCTCTCTCTCTCTCTCTCTCTCTCTCCGTGCTGCGCGTTTCCTCACCGTGAAGCTGAGGATGCTGCCGATCAAGCTGCCCTCGTCGTAGCGACCCAGCTTGGCGATGACAGCCTCCAGCACCGAGACCAGCTTGGCCACCAGGCCCGACACCATGCCAGAGAGTGTACGCTCGATCAGGTCGTCGATCTTGGTGTGATACTGGTGCTGCGGGCCGGGGCGGGGGCGGGTGAGCGATCACAGCCGGGGCAGGCCGAGGGCCGGTACACGTAGAGAGATAAGGAGGGCGGCGGTAGGTCGGCAGGGACCATGTCCCAGATGCTGTGTGTCGGCTCTGGTAGGGGGACGATACTGGTCGACATCGGTCGAGACGGGGCCCTATGACCACTAGGCAGAGGTAATAAGCATGGGACCACAGGCGTGTTATATTATGACAGTGCGTGTAAGAATAAAATATCTCTATTACTGCCCGTATCACCACCAGTCCAGCCACCACTAACGCCGCAGCCAACGCCAACGTCCAACACCGACGCTCCACCCACCACTCCACCGTTCCACCCACCAGCACCGTTCCAGCCACCACCCACCGTTCCACCCACCACCCCACCGTTCCACCCACCAGCACCATCCCACCCACCAGCACCGTTCCACCCTCCAGCACCGTTCCACCCACCACCCACCGATCCACCCACCAGCACCGTTCCAGCCACCAGCGATACCGGAGGCGGACCCAGTCAGTCAGATCAATGGTCCGACAGCCGAGGATGAAACACGAGTCGGGTTAAGGAGCAAAAATACGACACCGCCACCGGCTAGCCGGCTCGGCCCTGCTCCGGCTCAGACGGTACTGAGAGCCACCGGCGCAAATTGAGGCTCGGTGATAGAATGACGGGGCTTTATGATGCGTTTGCTCATAGTTTTCAGATGTTATAACATTTACAATTGTTCTCAAATAGGTGTCTGAAGTAACCTGCATGTCGGCAAATTACAATGAGTTACACGAAAGCTGAACAGTAACGAAGGAAATACTTTGCAAATCAAACAACATTTACGTAACTAGCTTTATCGTCAATTTATTATTTTCCCACCACCACCGTACGCGCAGACGATCGTAACCGCACTGACTTACCACATCGACCCCGTCGACGGCGCACAGCTTGAGCGACTGGTTCTTGGCGTCCAGGATGACGTTGATCATGGCGCACATGTCGGTCGGCACGATGTAGTCGGTGGAGACGAAGCCGACGCCCTTCTTCAGCCACTGCTGGTACGCCTGATCGGTCCTGCCGTACGCCGATCGCCCGCGGGCACGATCCGGTCAACGAAAGGTCACCGCCGCCGGCGATCGCGGTACGTATAAAGGTCACTGTCGTGACCGACCCACAGGGACCGAGCTTAGGCAGCGGGTACGCCGCCCGAAACGCGAGAGGTGGCTAGAGTAAAGGTCGACCGAACTGTTTATATAGCAAACACGTGAACGTTTTGAAAGGATACCAGCTGACATTGAGCCAGTAAGGGGACGACTCACGTGACAAGAATAACATGGTCATTGGTCATGCTATCAAAACATTGGGAAAGAGGTCAGACATTTACTCCACATTCACTCGACTACCGCTGGCCACGTTGGTATCTGTCAGCTAAGTGTAAAACACTCGTTTCTCTATGAAGTATCCGGCTCATATCCTGCATTTTGCTGTATGAACAAAACACGTGTCACATTTGTCCTACGTATCATAGAGATCTTATATATGTATATAAGATCTCTATGCTACGTATAACGTTGAAAAAGAGCAGGATTGGAGCTTTTCGCAACCACTAGACCACTGTGCTCCACTGATCTCTCCTGGGATCGACGGGCGCCGTTCACTGACCTTTGTATACAGCTCTCGATCATGTCGCAGGCCATCCTCTTGAGCCTCTGCTCCAGGTGAGAGCCAAACTCGGCGTCGGGCCAGTGCAGGTCTCTGATGAACGCCTGCAGCGCGTCCAGCTTCCAAAACAGGTCCTCCGACGTCGAACAGCCGTTCCTAGGAAGCACAGCGGGACGTACTGGATACTGCGTTTTGTATAACTTTGCGGCTAGGCCGCATTGGTGTAAATGATTGAACTGGATCGTGTATCAGATCGCACCTTTACTGATGTGAGTGCTGATAGCGTGTAGCTCAAAATGGACGTGATGACGATAATCCGTTTAATCATTTCCCGAAAATGGGTGTTGCAATTTTTCGGATGTTAAAATGCGTAAAAGGAATGGCATGATGATAAATTAGTACCCAGATTGGAGTCCACTCTAGTTTTGCTATTCCGATATCAAATGCGACGTTAAAAATCACCTAAGTATTTAAGTCCTCGCCATATTCAATCAGTATGTACATTTCCGAGCACCTACCCTTTGAGCTCCCAGCGCTCGCGCTCGAAGCCCTTGTGGATGGACTGGGCGATTGATGACTCCATGAGGTCCACGTAGCGCACCACTATTGGAGCGAACGTGTCCCGCAGGTGCTGGTGGAATCGACCGTTCTTCAGATTATCTGTTGGACACAGCGTGGAGTCAGAGCGGATGTGCGCAGAGTAGTCAGAATCAGTACAAGGTGAGCTTTTATTATCGGTCGCAGGTCAGCGTTGACCAAAGGCGCTACTGAAGAAAGTCTGGCGAGTAAGAGTCAGCGCTTGGCTCTTACTACGCTGGATGAGGTAGGAGCCAGTGAGTTCAGTTCGGACTGCGTGGATGGTGGTGAGAGTCAGTGCAGAGTTTAACCTCTGCAGGCGACATTGGGGAGAAAAGGTTGACGGAACCATTACTGGGCTGGGAGGTCAGAGGAGACACGTGTTCCGTTCGCACGGTCCCGACCAGCTAATGGTCCGCACCTGCCGGTCTATCGACACTTAGCGGTCACTGGGTACTTAGGTGCGGAGGATGGGGCGGGCACACTCAGGAGACACGCGCACACGACCAAACGGCCGTTAACCTTTTCACGTGCTCTCACAGACGGAAGTACGGGAGGCACGTGACCGAAACCCGCTGGCCAGCGGTGCTCCTAACCGGACGTCGAGTGAATTTATAGGTACGATTTTAGCTTTGCCTCGCCTGAAGATACACACATCTTTGTCGCCCGAAATGGTTGGATTTTTTTACGGTTAAGCAACTGAGGTCGTTTTATCTGCGAGTTCTGGGTCACGGGCGACAAAAATCTCAGTCACTGTTCGGATAAGCTAGCTCAGCACAAGGTTTTCAGTTTTGGTTCTGTCATTCGCGGACGGCGGTACCCACCGTCTGTTCGTAGGTAATCGTTGAGAATCTGGAACAGCGGGAAGGCGTCCCAGGCGTCCGGGGGCAGCTCCGAGAGCACCTGGTCCATGTCGACGGCGAACAGCGACCAGAAGATCTCGGCGTGCTCCACCAGCAGGTCGCTGAACCACGCGAACGCCTGGCGCCGCCGGAGCGCGTTAGACGTTGGCGCACACCAAGGGAGCGAGTCCAGGGGAAAGGGGAGTCGGGCCGCCTGTCCCGCCTCATTTCCAAGGGTGGGGATGACACGGGTCGAGACGAAAGAGCAAGTCCTCCACAGAATGACTAACAATTGATATTTAGGTCTGGGCGAAGCAGTGATTTGGGCACCACGAAACTGGGGTTACAGGATATTAATCGGTTCGAATAAAGACAAAAGCTATCAATTAGTCGTGTAGAAAACAGACAGTTCTCGCCAATAGGTCGCTCTTCGACTTTCATCGTGGTTGTGGGAGTGCATGGCTCCTGTCTGAAAATGCTTCATGTGACATCATGTAGGTAACCGTTAAAATCAACACCATTTTTAATTAGGTGTTGTGAATGTTTATGCCCCGTAGCTTCCCATATCGTCCTCTGGATCCAGCATCGTACGAATAGATATGCCAAATATATAATTATATAAACGTAATAAAATGCAACTGTATGCAAGAATGATTTATTGGAGCAATAATATTTCGAAGCAAGATTTATTCGACATTCTCAGCACTCAATCAGTTTTTTATTGCATGTTTTGTATGGTTGCGAAGGAAACAATAGCGAAAGATTAGGGAAAACAAGAACGTATTTCATGATTATTTTATTTAAAATCATGGTAGGCACTATTTAAAGCATGATTTTTTTTTCGAGCTGGCAAAGCAGCCACTTTATTGGTGTTGATGAGGTTGTTGGTAGGTTTTAAAATCATTAGCTCATGCAATGTTGCCGGTTTATTGTTTTAAATTGGTATCAACGCTGAAAATGGACAAATCTAAATTCATGCGATAACGTCTGAGCATTGCCAAAGCTAGGCAAAATTGCATCTGTTGCGTAAGAGAATTTGTCATTCTTACGAATGAGCGGCCTCGATATGGTGTTCATTCCAGGTTCAACGGCAGCGTAAAACGCTCGAATTCATGCGATATGTAAAAAGTGGGTGGGCTGTCATTTTCTTCCCCGACGTGAGAACTAATAAAGCCGGAAGCCAGTATCTACGAAGCAAAGCGAGCTTCTACTTGTGCAAAGCACGGTCATGCTTACTATCTACAGTAGACCTGAAGACATTATAGGAATCAATATTGGTTGATATTTGTGCATATGTGTAAGCATATAAACCGTGGAAATATCATGCGTAACGTGACAAGCGTTCACTGTTGAATAGAACGTTCACCAGTGGCCAATCAGGGTTCCGTTTGATGGTCCTGTATCCAAAAACCACGCAATTCACACGTGCTCTAGAAGAATGACCGTCAATTCCAACTTTCAAAGCTGATCTAACGAATTAAGTGGATAGGATCATACACTACACGGTGAAAGCGTATCCTAAGAACATCGAAAGGGCAAACCATTGGACAATCCTGCCGTACTCACTTTGTCCTGATCATGTAAAGAGAACGAGCGGTATAGTCAGATAGAGAAAGGCCAGGCTGTGATGCTGCCATGCGATAGCGAAAGTCAGATGGTCGATAGAGAAGATAGAAAAAATTATTGAACAAGCTAGATATCGTGTAAACTTATATGACAAAAGGAGACATTTCTGCTAACAGATTAGTATTAACGTATCAACTATTTACATACACTAAATGAAGATTGTAAGCTTCACAAGACAAACACTAATTGACTTTTCCAAAGTGAGCGCAACTGAGTCATTGCTGTTCAAGAGAGGAAGCAAGAAGAGCCGGCGAGAAACGCGCTGCCTCACTCACCGTTCGAAAGGCCTATAGCACGGTGACGATCAGAGAAGGAGAGACAACAGCCGGTGAGCCAACGAGGAACACATTCATGCTGACAGCGCAGCCGACTACACCGCGCCCCTGCCGCCCCGACCTGGCACCGCACCCGGCCCTGCCTGACCCGGCCCGTCCCGACTACACCGCGCCCCTGCCGCCCCGACCTGGCACCGCACCCGGCCCGTCCCGACTACACCGCGCCCCTGCCGCCCCGACCTGGCACCGCACCCGGCCCTGCCTGACCCGACCCGTCCCCAATACACCGCGCCTCTGCCGCCCCGACCTGGCACCGCACCCGGCCCTGCCTGACCCGGCCCGTCCCGACTACACCGCGCCCCTGCCGCCCCGACCTGGCACCGCATCCGACCCTGCCCGACCCGGCCCGTCCCGACTACACCGCGCCCCTGCCGCCCCGACCTGGCACCGCATCCGACCCTGCCCGACCCGGCCCGTCCCGACTACACCGCGCCCCTGCCGCCCCGACCTGGCACCGCACCCGGCCCGTCCCGACTACACCGCGCCCCTGCCGCCCCGACCTGGCACCGCACCCGGCCCTGCCTGACCCGGCCCGTCCCGACTACACCGCGCCTCTGCCGCCCCGACCTGGCACCGCACCCGCGCGGCCCTGCCTGACCCGGCCCGTCCCGACTACACCGCGCCCCTGCCGCCCCGACCTGGCACCGCATCCGACCCTGCCCGACCCGGCCCGTCCCCAATACACCGCGCCTCTGCCGCCCCGACCTGGCACCGCACCCGGCCCTGCCTGACCCGGCCCGTCCCGACTACACCGCGCCCCTGCCGCCCCGACCTGGCACCGCATCCGACCCTGCCCGACCCGGCCCGTCCCGACTACACCGCGCCCCTGCCGCCCCGACCTGGCACCGCATCCGACCCTGCCTGACCCGGCCCGGCCCATCCAAATCCGACCCGTCCCGACCCGACCCGACCCGTCCTATCCAATCCCGTCTTATCCACACCCGGCCCGTCCTACCCACCCCAACATACATATCTGACCGACCAGCCAGGCTATTGTCGTTAGTCTTTCGCAATTGGCTCAGACAAACGTTTAAGGTGACACACATACACACTGACAGACATTAACAAGGCGCCGGTAGAACGGCATTCAACCATGGGGCTTGTTTCATTGTGTCGCGAAACAATCACGATATATACAGAGATTTTGTGGGCCATCTAGTTTGACAACATTCGTATAGCGGGCTTTAATAATTGATAGGATATGCACGACATATTTGCATATGGATGGCCTCAGTGAGATGTATCAGAAGACGTTACCAGTTCGAGGCTTCATACTTTTTTTACAGGTGACAGTTGGCCAGTAGTTAAAGGAGAAATTCTGAGTACAGTCATATTAAGCGGTGAATTATGAGAAGTTGAGCGATTATGGAGTGGAAAGTGCAAACTAATTGGAAGATACACAATATTCCATGAAGAAGCCAAAAACAAATTAAATCATAGAATGGGCAGTAAACACTAAACAGCTTAGGTTGATAGTCGTGATTGAATTATTTGTTGAACCGTGCTTGTGTGGAGATAAATGTACCATTCAAACACCTAGATGACTCTCGGCTAACATCCAGCAACGGAATTACAATATTTGATAAAGGCTGGTTCGTAAATGACTCGGTAGCTTCGCTAAACCTAACGACCTAAAGTGCATCTTGTAAGAATGTGTATGAGATGAAAAGAGTAAGAAAGGACAAAAGGCAGACAGGCGGTGAAGAAAGGAATGAAAGATTTTGTCTCCATTAATTTGGTGTAAAAATTGCACTCTTATCACCATAAAATAGGATGCATTTTGAGCGAAATGTGGAATGCAATCTTTATGAACGATGACATTTCGTATTCCGTGGTCTGATGGATGGCACCTCGCCTGTGGGCAGCGAGCACGCTCCGTAGAGAACCCACCTCTGAGTACTGTTCGTTGTTCTGCTGCAGCAGGTCGACACACAGGTCGGCCAGATGGGTCAGATCCTCTAACTTCTTACTGGGCGGCACCACCACCTCGCCCGTCAGCTCGTCTGCCAAGGCGCGGTCCGGTCAGATCGACACGCACGTTCTCTTTGTCTTTCACTCATTATCTGTCTGTATGTGTTGTGAGTTTATTGGATTTGTCGCTCGTAACGGCAAGGGGAGCGACCATGTATCAGAGTGTGAGACATGAAAATGGCTCGTTGAACAGAAAGTGTCAATATTTTTCACAATTGTACCCCAATTAACTTTGTTTCAAGAGTGCAATAAATCCAGATTTATATCGAAATTCCCAATCGCCATGTGTTTTTAAAAGTGTTACCGCCTCAGATGAAATTTAAAGTTAGTTGATATTTCAGATAACCGAAACACCCGGTTAATGATTGAACGAGCCAAATCAGGAAATAGAAGAGTTATCAATAGTTTCCAAAAGAATTAATCAGTCGTAAAAAAATAACTGCCTTTCATTAGATCCGCCCATTTTCTCAATAATTCCAAATTACCGATGGCTCAAATTTTGAACGTTGCACTAACTATAATGAAAAGCTGATATCCCAAAGTTCGTTCACCCACTAATCTGTCTTGAAAGTGTAAATGACACCGTGATTACATATGTGGTTTGACAATATCAACATGGTCATGACAACCCTGACATTGAGCCACGTCAAACGTTAATGGCATATGACAGAGGAATTATTGTTTACGGTATAAGACAGCAGAAAAGCACTTTACTACACATGCAGTCAAACATGCAATCATTCACTGTGCTTCCCCAGAACGAATAAAGCGTCGTTTTTCCAAGAATGTCAAACCGATATCAAAGCAACGCTTGGCGGGCTGTATTTTAGACAAAGATGCGCCAATTAAAACAACCGAGGCATCACTCCACAACGTATCTTATTCCTGAAGCTGCTACTTGCTAAAATGCTCCATATATACGAAAATTTCCCTCCCGGTGAATTGTGTATCAAGCGGTTCACAAGCAGTGTCATTCATTGAGTGTAAGCAGGGGCGCCGTCGCGACTGGGCAGGTGTGGGGCCGAACATCGTTTGTCGAGCCATTCATGCAGCACCCAGCGCAGTACATTAAACATGGAATTCCTATGCTTGGTTCCCGTTACATCATCGGCCCGTTCCAGTGTACATAGACAAGACTCATGCAAGCCGATCCATTCAGCGCGATAAAACTAGCAATAGAAAATACTGAAGTATACCAAAGAATGCACGACTCAATTTTGAATGTACACAACCAACAAAATGCTATGCAAAACAAACTACGCATGGAGTATTAATTAAAACGAGGTATCGTCTAAAATGTTAGCTCGATTCGATAATGCATGGAATCGTTGACGTTAAACGACTGACCAGAAGTGAAGAAATCCGACAGAAAATGTTCTATAAAGCAGGATCGGGCGTATGCATATTGCATATGTGTGTAGAACCAAAAATAACAGCGCATTTACAAAACATAATGTTATGTTGCAACCTTTCTATTATGCTACCATGTTGTGTAACTAAGTGCATGCTACACATTCTCTAATCAGTCCCGGGGATTCTCTTCATAAATTACCTGCCACCCCTGATCCGGCATCTGGACAGTGAAAACCGCATAGTTAATGCATACACACACACATTAGACACGCTAAACCACTCTCAGCATTAGCATATTTGACACATCAGGTTATACCCATCTGCCCTCCATTACACACCATTCATTATTCGTCGGCCGTGCACGTAAACAGGACTGTGTTGCAAAAGCTGTGTGAAGCCGTGGCACGCGGCAGGACACCAGCAACACAGAACCCAGATGAGTGATTTTGATGTGCATTAGCATTGACGTGAGGCAATGCATGCGACAAAGGCAACTGATTAGAATAAATGATTAAAAAACCTGACAGAGTACACACAAAGCTCTGTTGGACTTTGAACTTAATCAGCGAAAACGTGCAGCCGCCATGGAGCTGAATCTCATCCATAAAACCATCGTTTACTTCAGTCAACAGCCTTCACATACATATGAGCCTAAATCGCTGCTCTCGACGGCTATCATCATGGCAACAAGAAGCCTGAGAAGCTTCACCGCGACAAACGTCACAGAAGCCTCACGGTAACCGGAGCGGTGGTCCCACACAGACACCCACCTTCTATCCGCGTGTCAGCCGACAGTTTAGTGTAGTTGACCAGCGCGGCGTTCTCCAGGCACTTTTTGATAACGCCGCGCACCTCATCCTGCGAGGGCGGCATCACCATGTCCTTGTGGAGCACGCACTCGAGCAGTGCCAGTGTAGCCTTCAGCGCACCCTCCGGCCGGCCGAACGGGAAGTAAACCCTGCCACACGGCGACGGGGTTGCCGTCAGGCGTGAAATGAATTTAGTAAGATCGTAGGTCAGGTCGAGAGAAAACTACTGAATACCGTGGGGCATGCCAGGCTGCGACTTGCTATCAGTGCATGACAACTGAGATCAGATTTTTACAAGACAATACAGTCAAATCCCATCAGCTGCATTGGTGCCCGAAAGTCTGACCGGATCTTCTTTAGATGATCTGTTCTGTGATACGCAAGTTTCTGAGTGAGACTTTGTAAGCGACTGGTCCGCTCGGCTGTTACTAGGGTCCGTAAGTACGCAGCCCATCAGGAAGCACTCACCTAAAGTTAGCGATCTGGTTCTCGAGCAGCATGTCCAGCTGCTCCTTGATTTCCTGGAACTTGTCCTTCTCCTCGTGGAGGACGCTACCGACGCCGTCCGGTCTGGGGGTAGACCCAGAGGTCACAGAGGGTCACAGAAGGTCATCAGGGGTCACAGGCCAACTTAAGTCCCAATGACGTGCCACTGACAGGACACAGCGCGATGAGATCGACACCAATCGATCAATACCCCAGGAATTAAGGGCTAGAAACAGAAGCCAGAAGAAGCTCTTGCCGAGCTATCGACAATTATCAATAAATCGTCATCCTTGGGCTCAGAAAGTACTCAAAATCTGGCAATAATGTTACCATAGTTTATATTCCCGAAGCACCCATGCCCGACTATCCAGTCGTATCCTATCCTGAAAACATCCCTCCCCAGAAAACATCCTGCTTGAGCGTGGCCAATCATGCTCGATACATGCCAAGGGCCAGTCAACAGCGGTGCAAATAGCTCATAGCGAAGTCTTTCGGCATCCAAACGGCCAATCGCTCTTGCCCTGACACTTATACACTGCGGTGGTCCACAAACCTCTCTTTATATTCGACACACTGCAGTCTCGTTCGAGTGGTGCTAAACCACACCGCATTCAATTCCCACCAATCATACCACTGTCTAGATACTGGCATCACAAATTTCCCCACTGTACTCAACATATTTTTGCTCATCTCCGCTACATCAAATTTCCGTCGAACCCCAAGCATGACCTCCCGCTCAAGACGCACCTAACGCTCATCGCATCGCACAGCGTCTGAATGTCACACATATATCTAACCGTTTAACAGGCCCACGCATCATTAGCGGTATCCCAGCTCCGCAAAGCATTAGCCACATGCCAGCCCATCATATCGTTAGTCGTATCCTACTTATGTATTCGCAACTCCATTCCACTTCTTTGTATCCACACCCCACTTATCCTTATTTCTCAGCCGCATAACATGCTCTATTATCTCACTTCATCAGCATTCGAACATGGTCCCACATCCCAACAAATTACCTTTGGGTCCGTTCCCTTCCTGCAATGTCCACTATCTAGCACGTCTCTTTTTTGTTCGTGCACGTTTCTATACCTCCCCGGCCCAGCCGCACAAAACCGCCCCGTCCCATCTCACCCCACCCGCTCTAACCACCCCAGTCCGGCGCAGTATCGCACACATCCCGGCCGTCTCCCTGCCATCCCGATCGGTTCTGCTCGAACAGCTAGCACTTCATCAGCGCCCCGCCGCAGCTTCTCTCCAATATCGTCCCTCGGGCAGTGCCGCGGGGCGTGCACTCTCGACACGGTCGGGCTGTGACGGGTCGTGTCAGCCGCCGGCGGCCGCTGGGCAGGCCGACAATGGGGCCGACAGGACCGAGTGACGTGTGCCGGTGGGCCGGCCGCCGTGCTAAATGGACGCCGAGGTCGTGGAGGGCGAGGTCGGGAGAGCAGACCGCCCGAGGAGGAGGGAGGGGGAGGGTAGAGGACTGGTGATGTGATGGTGGAATGTGGAGTGGTGAAGTGTGGCGGGAGCGGTGCCACCGACACGCTCAACTCAATCGGAGCGAGTGAGAACGGGAAATGGAGGAAAATTGACGGCAATGGTGAGAGGTGAAGGAGGCGTGACTGGAGTGGTCAATGGTTGACCCTACGGCTGGCAGAAAGGTGGTTCGAATGGGATGGATAAAATACGCACCAAACGTGCCCGTTCATTTGTTTCCCCGTCAACATGCTGTCAATTTGTTGGCCAAATTCTAGCCAATTGTAGTTACGAAGAACACCAGACGGTGACTGGCAAGCTACTCGCAACATGACGCTAGTCGAGAAGAAAAAACTAAAAGCCAGAGCCAGCATGGCGACTCCATTGTCCTGCCCACTCACGCCCAACTGCCACTGGGCACTGACTATATTCCACTATAGCTCAGACAGCCGGTGACCTGTGAGCGGCAATCGTCAGAGGCGTGCGTATAAATAGCCAGCGCTAAGCGATGACCTCTCCCCAGTGTCTACTGTCTGGGTCTGGGAGGCGAGGGGGTCTGACTTCCCCTGGGAGGCGAGGGGGTCTGAGTACCTTTACGCCGGAGATGAGACTGAAGGGACACCGGGAGAAGGAGGATATGCTTTTTTCACGGTAATGGACTTTGTCGCAGCCGGAAATGACCATCACGCAGCTCAGGTACCCGAGGTAAAAAGTCAGACTGGGTAACTGATCAATAACTTCATAAAGACATATCTATGTACACTCAAATATTACGTGCAATAACATACATATTGCATATCCCGCTCAAATAAGATGATAAAACGTTTCACAGTAGCAGTTAACAGCCAAAATAATTCGATGCAATTCAGCTTCAGTCAGGTGAACACTATACTCGTACATACAAATATAACCACATATATCGTACAAAATGCCATAACACATACGTCCATAGGTATATACAATCGTTAAGGAATATATTGAAATACATCGATACTTTATCAAACAACATCCTACAACCATGCCACGTAATACCTACAAAGAGCGTGGAAGAATATAAGAAAACTGTATCATTGTATTATTTTTGTTTTTAAATCTGTAGTTTGATATCTAGCCCTGCCTATAGCCGATGCCGAGCTCCTAAGGAGAGCTGCAGCTAGGCTCAGAAGGCATGCGCATCAAAAGCTTCCAAAAGGTTTTCATATCCAAAGTAGCGGTCGCGCGCCGCCGTGGCGCCAGCCAGAGGGTGATCATATACAGAGGGACACAGCACCGGGCTGACCGCCGCCACACGCAACAAACACGCACGCACACCCATCCACACGCACACACACGTCAAAACTCGCATGCAGAGGTCTCTCTAGATACATCTCGGACTGCAAGAAGACGGCTGGGGGATGGATGGACGCACGCCAAGCCTATGGAGAGACTAAACAAGCTGGGCCGAGCGGCTGAAGTCACCAACCTCACACACACAGGACCAGAACGGACCATACACACACGCACGTCCGACGCACACGCAAACACACACACGCACAGACAGACAGACAGTCAGACAGACGCGCGGTGGAGAAGCGGGGTCGGGTCAGGATCTGTGAGTGTATGTGTTCGAGCGATGGGGGACAGAGTCCAAACTCAAGAGGCCGTCCATGATCGAGAGAGCTCGGCTACTGACCCGATGCTGATGCTCCCATCCTCCTGGACGCTAAGGCAAAATGTAAGTGTAATATGTTAGTGTAGGGCGGACCAGGCGCATGTGGAGGGCAAACCGTGAGAGCACCAAACAAATGTACAAACTCAGGGCGCAAAACGAACATGCACTGTTTGAAAGAAGGGCGCAATGTCAATGGTAAGCTTCATCAACCAATGTATGGCGAATGGCTCAACAGAAGTAAGAGTTTAGGCTGGCTTGGAAAGTTTATTAGGGTACGTTCACTCAGCTAGCGAAAAAGTAATAGCAATCGATATGCAACTTTTGATTGACGGATATCGAGCGAGTACGAGAACTAAGATGTTATAATTTTAGAGCGAATATCCCAGCAAACACATAACGGTGAGCTTACTTTGTAAAAACATAGCGAAAAAGTACGCCATACATTCATAGACTGTCCATTTCTTTTACCTATCCAATTTGTGTGACGGAAATGACTTCAGCTAAAATCGAATTAATGATGTAGGTATATTTGAATCACAATAAAATAGAGGAATCGAAAGAATACCACTATTATTGTTCAAAATCAGTAAACTAAACGATTTCTCATCATGCCCTTTCATGCGTTCTATGGTACAAAAATGTGTATGATAGAAACATTTTACCAACAATGCTGGCAATATGAAGCACTCCCTGATACTCTGGAAGAATTCCCGATTTAGATACTTTTCTAGATTTTCGACATTAAATGTAATTATCCTTTCATTGGAAGCGTCCGCCAATTAGAGATTATAGCAAAAATATCAAAATACTATCACCAACTTTGCGATAAACTGGCAACACATGTTGATAAACAAAGGAATAAGGATCAATAAAAAACAAGCAAACAGCAAACATAATTATCTGACGTACAAAGAATTGCTCGAAATTGTTGTTCAAAAGTAAATCAATTCCCACACATAACAAAACGAAAAAAAAAACTAAAAAATACGGCAACTGAAGGGTCAGCCAGCGCAGCAGCGGGACGGACAGCGAGTGGCCAGGCCCGCCTGCGGGGCCGGCCGGCCGGCGCGCCGAGTCAGTCCGCCGGCCGGGCGATGACACACACGTCGGGACAGGGTACACGGAGGTGACAGCGGCGGGCGCGGCCGCGGCGGTCTGCACCGCGGCGCCCGGGACGGACGGACGGGGAGCGGAGGTCACTCACCTGTTACCGTGCACGTGGCTGGCGCAGAAGGAGAAGCTGCAGTGGATCAGCATGGGGTCGATCATGGTGCCCTTCTCGCTGTGCGCCAGCAGGTCGCGCAAGAAGGCTAGGTGGCGGAAGCAGGTACGCACGCCGTACCGGGCGCAGTACTCGTCCATCACAAACACCTGGCCCGGACTCAGCCAGCCCTGGGAGGCACAAACATGGTCAGGTGTCAGCGCTGCACATGTAGAGGTGGGTGCAACTCTACATATAATGCAGCCCCGTCAACCTTGTAGAACAGCAACGTCAAGACTGAGATGGATACAAACACAGCCAACCATGGAGCTTCAACCAGCATGCCTACAGAAACGGACACGAAAAGAAAACCAGCTACGACTAATTCTGCCAACACAGCCCCATGTGCGATTTTAAAGATTTTCATAACTTAAAAGACGCTTTTAATTCATACACTCAAAACTTTTTTACCACCTCCTGGAGGATTCATTTTTACCGAACCCGCAAGACAAGAGTATATTTAAAGGGTACCTCGCTGCTACCATTATGTGCATGGTAACGGTACGTGGGTAAATTGAAGTTATTCGCCAGCAAAGAGTATTATTACCATGTAAATATCAATATTACTCTTGCAATCCTGAACAGGACGAAAACTCTTTCCTCCTAGGTATTGTGACTCGTGTGCAGGTGGTCGTTCCATGCGTGGATCTTGCTTACCCTCGTGAATATAATATTTGAAAGAGTATCAATCAGCCAATCAAAAACGAGATCGGCCGTTTGAAGGTTGAAGGCCGCGCGCATCTGTCAGTTTTCCGCCGTTAGTCTCCGAGAGAGGGTGTGCGCAGTGTCGGTGTGGCGCGAGGTGGCCGTTGGTGATTGTGCTTGTGTGCTGTTCATCGCCTATAGAGCCTCTGCGGACATTTTATTGTAAGTACCGATGTGATGGAGCATTACGTGCTGTTGAGTGGTGCTAGTTTGATCTGGCTTACAGATCCCGCGCACGGCCACGTGGCAGAGTGTTGTAAGTAGGTACATAAACTTTGTTGTGATGCATTTTGTTGGTGGCTTAGAAAAAGATATATACTGTAGTGATGCAGTTTTATTATCCCACGTAGACGGGCGACCACCCAGGAACGCTGCCGTTCACTTCAAATGTTGTGGGCTGTGCCTTATCCAATTTGAGGGAGCTGAATTCTTATTCATATTCAAGCATTCATTTTGAGTATTCGTATTCAAGTTGCATTCAAGTTGTATCGTGATGTTTGTTTACCGCGTGTGCATCGCTGAACGCGTATGAATAAGTGGAGTCTCACAATGTTCATGGCTGCAGTGAACCCCTCGTAGGGGCATTCCACGTCAAGTGGGACAAAAAAATGACGATTTTGAACCTCACCTCCTCCGATTTTTGCGAAACTTTGTGAACCTTCTCATCTATATGTGGAAAGACAAGAGACATTTTTTTGCCAATATATGACGTCACGTTTCCGAGATACACGTCATCAAACATTGACTTCGGCAAGGCACATTATCATCTTTAAAGCGTCATAACTTTTAAAGTTTTAGACATATCACCACGCGACAAAGTTTGAAATGGCGGGAATAGATCAGGCTTTAATTTGTGGATCACAATATGGACGTCATTAACTAATTAGTGAGCATAATTAAAATTCAAAAAATAAATTTTGAATTTCTGAAAAATGGGTACCCTTCGATTTTGCTGATTTTTGCATATTTTATTCTTCCATACATTAGCTACTTCATATGAAAATTTCAGAATGGGCCGACGTCTACGTAACTGTCTTTTGGACTTCGTAATGTCTGGCACTCGCGCGTTTCGTTTTAGCAACCAAGGAGAGGCGCTACGCGGAGATGGTTCTTTCTACCTTAATCAAACCAAAGCAAACCTAACCTGACCTGACCTAATCTAACACGCGTAAACTTATGTATAGCCCTCACGGCAGTTGCTGGCTGGCCAAATGCCACTTAGATACGAACACTATAAAACAAAAATGAACGCGTGTTAAAACACTTGAGGTTGACCAGCCACGAGCCAGCGACCTATAGATTACGAGGTGGGTTGGGTACACTCGGCACACTAACTACTAAGCCACGAAGATAGCTGGTCATCGCTGAGCTGTAAGCCAGTTTTCTTTTTTAATGATGCAATTGAGCATTCTCCTGGCAGCGCCTCTCTTTGGTTGCAAAAAGGAAATACGCCTGACTCTCCCAGCGCTAGGGGAGAAAGGCCCGGTTTAGTCAAAAAAGGGTATTAAAAAACGGAATTTGAATTGTAGGTGGGGCGGTGGGGAACTTTATCGTGTGCCAATTTCATGGCCCTAGATCAATATCTTCAAGATCAAATGAGGTAAAACGTGATTAAATTTGCTATAGTGAATATTTTGCGTTTATACGCCCATAGCGCTAAGAGTTAATGGCCGATTTCCCTATTTCTTCCTTTATACGACATTTGTAGTGTTATGAGAATCTCTAGCTAATGTAACCATAAATTTGGCAGTTATTGGCCTGCTAAGAGTAAGATGTCGCCGGCAGAGGCGGAGATCGGCCGACGCGGGAAACGTTTTATTCACAGATTGTGTTTGCGCCCTAATAATTCAATTGTTACCTGTTGATTTTCGCATGTAGGTATTTGACCATTAGATTGCCTGTACATTTTTAAGCCTTCACACAAAATTTGACACGAATCGATCATAATCAGCGGTAAGAAGCGCGGTGCAAAGATGAACCGTCCCGCGCCGGCACAGTCTACCATTCAGGCGTTAACGGCCGGCGCCGGCCGCCGAGCCGCTCCGGCAGGAATGTTTAACTTTACACCGCCATTACTAGAAAAGTTGCGGACCGATTTACATATTTCTTGCATGGGAGGATTTGCAATTCGATTCTGGACAGATACTGAAAGTTTGACGCTAATATAATAATTATGGCGTGAGTTATTGGCGATAAACAGGTGGGGTTAGCGAAATCGGCCCCTTCCACCGCCCGTGCTACGTTGCACTTCTTGCTGCTATATCATCCAAAGTTATCTTTGGCCCACTCTAATTTTCTCAGCACCTGTGCCTTACGTGTAGTAGAAGACAATATCTAAATTTGAGCAAAATCGAAGGGTACCCATTTTTCACAAATTACATTTTAAGAAATTAATTCAAAATAAAATAAATTCTACGTCACCAAAAAATGTTAAAATTGTCAAATGTTACTAGCATAACTCCTTATGTACACGTTTCAGTTTGTTTGAAATTAATAGCTGCAAAAATGTTGAAGCTATAGATCTTTCAAGATTGCAGTACACGTCCAATTCTGCTAAAAAAAGCAGAAGTTTAGCAGCTTGTATCTCTGTAGCCCGAGGGCATATGACAAAATCCTTTCACCCTCAGAGGTTTCACCCAATAGGCAATAAGTATACCAAGTTTGAACAAAATCGCAGAGGTGACCGATTTTGGCTGTCCCGGTTGACATGGAATGCCCCCGTATTGTTTGTACGGAATGCCAAATATGTATTGTTGCTCTTGAAGCATGTTTTTTAGTTGATGAGCTCCGGTTAACAGAAGCTTCGCGAAGCTTCTGAAGAGCGTCTGTGGGTCCGTTACCATCCTCTGGGGGGTTTACACTAAAGGAAAGCGTAAACATTACCATGTCACTAAGGGTAAGCCAGAAGAATATGCTCTCTGTAAGGTGGTAAATCACAGAGTAGATGGCATGCTACTCTTTAGAGGAGGGTCACGTTAAAAAGTTACCCTTCCACAGCGTGTAACTTCGAAAATGTTGCCCTCTAGACGAGAGTAAATCAAAAGAGTTTACCATACAGAAGATGGTAAAAAACGTCTGTGTGTCACGTTACCCCTCCCTGACGAGTTTACTCTCCATGAAAGAGTAAAATTTACCATCTGGAGGGTGGTAAAAAACGTCTGTGTGTCAAGCTATCCGTCGAGACCGTTGTGACGCATACCGTACTTTTGACGTTTAAAGTTTTATAGTGTTTCGAGCTAGCCTGAGCTAGGCTGAGTTGTCTCACCTTTCAAGTGATCGGCTGTGATGTATCACATTAGTGTTGCAGTGTACTTGCGTTGTTGTTTCGACAATACAGAGCATACTTATGAAGACAGTGAATGTTGGTTGGTTGTATTATAGGACTGCGTAGAGAATAGGTGTTAGTGTCTGGTATCCGTGTCATTGATGTGTAATGTTGCGCTCACCTTATATTTTTCATTGATAATTTTAAAAAATTAGTGGGGATACAAATCCACTTTTCCGCCTAATTTTTAAATTTTCATGTCAAATAAGGTGCCTCCACGGAGAACACGATACGAGTTTACTCTGTATGGTAGGGTAAACCATTACCTTTGCAATGACTCCTTGCAAGAGTGTAAAATTTACTCCGATGTGAAGGGTCAGTTGGATTTTTTACTATTCTCGTCGGGGTAAACACCCAAGGAGTACAATTATTTTACCCTACTGACGATATTTTAGGGGACGTATTATTCTCGGGACGAGAGTAAATTGAAGAAGTTACCACCTGGGAAGGAGTAAATACAAAGTTTTTACCCTCTCGAGAGTGGTAAAAAACGTCTGTGGACGTCTTACTCTTTCCTGGAGGGTAAACTCCCCAGGAATGAGTATATTTACTCCATGGTGGTGGGTAAAATCAAAGTGTTACCCTTCAGCCAAGAGTAAAACAACGGATTTACCACCTGGGAAGGAGTAAATACAAAGTTTTTACCCTCTGGAGAGTGGTAAAAAACGTCTGTGGACACCTTACTCTTTCCTGGGGGGTAAACTCCCCGGGAAGGAATATATTTACTCCGTGGTGGTGGGTAATACCAAAGTGTTACCCTTAAGTCAAGAGTAAAATAACGTATTTATCCTCTGGAAGTGAATAAATTAGAAGAGTTTACCCCGCGGTACGTGGTAAAAAACGTCTGCGTGCCTCGTACTCCCTCCCAGCGGATTTACTCTCCAGGGGAGAGTAAAAAAGTTTTCAGTGTAGCCAGATCCAATATTCAACTCTACTCAGCCCCCACCGACCACAACCTATACCTTACATCTCCACGGCACACATGCTCACCAGCGAGGCGATGGGCTCGTTGAGCCGGTGGTCCAGAGTGAGCGCCTGCAGGAACTGGAACAGCGAGGCGTGGTCGAACTTGCACGGGTCGGCCGATATAAACTCGTCCATGCCGTGCTTCCGCGCCCGGTCAGCATCTGAAAGCGGTGCGGGGAGAAGGTGTTAGCAGCGTTAGGGAGAGGCAGGGGAAGTAATCGCTGGAAAAAAGGAGGGAGTGTCTAAGCAACGATAAGAAGAATTATCACAGCATCGACAGAAGTTAAATGGAAGAGGGATGGTATCCACTGTCCGGTGTGGATGGTAGGTTATCTCTCGGCGGTGGTAGAGGAACTATTTATGTAAGCAGTGAGAGGGAGAAGTCGTATCACCAGTATCAACACTGGTCAGAAAGCGACATTGCTCATGAGATTGCCAAAAAGCGCTTCATCACGGGGAAAGAACGAGGGTAAGCATACTTGTCACTGACTGATGGGACGTGATGGGGACGGGTGACGGGGGCAGAAGCTGCCGCTGTTGCCGAGTCGTGCGCCGACGATCATTGGTGGGGGTGGATGGGAGGGGAGGGGAGGGGAGGGACGGGGATGGGAGGGGTGGGGGTGAACGGACCCGGTAGTGCGGCAGCGACCGGCGGCGCGCCGAAAGGTCACCCGACAAACTACAGAAAGCCGCACAGCCGCGCAGCATTGAGCTGAGTTGATACAGATTGCTGGCCAGACCTGTATGCGCTCTCGAGTAGAAAGGCATCTTATTAAGAATAATTCATCGAAACTGTATTTGAGTAAGTATGACCAATCTTAATGAAAGAGTACCCGTTTATAAATTATTTCTGCTTGAGAAGCCCGTTTCCTGACATCATGATGAAGGAGCCGTGTTCCTTAGCGCCCTGGACATCAGAAAATCCAATGTCTGATGGATGGATCCTTGCAGTTTGGAGCGTGTTGTGCTCTTCCCCTCCAGCGGTTAACAGAATCGCATTCCTCACCTCCCTGTAGTTTACAAATAGTCGCGTTCCTCACCTCCCTGCAGTTTGGAGAGCGTCGTGTTCTTTCCCTGCGACATGACGGGCGGCGTGGGCTTGTGGCTCTGTCCGGTGGCGCGGTACATGGCCATCACCCACAGGTGACACTCGTTCTCGTCCTCACACGCGAACAGGATGCCGTCACCCTCGCGCACGGCGTTGAAGAAGAATCGTCCGCCCTCCAGGTCTGTGGTTCAGGTTAGATCGGGGCAGGTGAGGTCAGGGGAGGTCAAGTCAATAGTTCAATCAAGCCAGTTCAAATAAGTGTAGAATATACTAGAATATGCATTAGGTTGACTAGACGGGTAAGTCATTGGATAAAAGATGAAAGGTTTATTGCTTACCCATTCCAACCATGAGTTGAGCTGAAAAAGGAGAAAAAGATAGCTCAGTTTATGCATGTAGAACAAACAGCTCAGACCATCAATCAACACATATTACGATTCCTGCTCATGACATAAAACATTGTCACTCAAGTTCATAGTTGTACAACGCAAGCTGACATAAAATCGTTCGGTTGTAACCATTGCTTTTGAAGGTTAGTGCCTTCCTGACAATCAAAATACATTACAACCTTTCGGCGGTTGGTGCATACACGCATGCCAAGTCATTACCTACATCCTGCTTATGCCAGCTTTTGGACTTATGGTTTATTTCAGCAACTTTCTAGAAATATATAACATTACGAGTATAGTAGTAGTACGCAATTTTACCGCTGGTTCAAAATATGGCCGAGGTGAGAAGGGTCAAGTGTTTCACGGGCCACGTCAGTTCCATCGTTGGGCGAGGACCTCCGGCTGGCACCGGGGCATTGAGGCACCACCCTAACTCCTTCGCTGCCTGACGGGAGTCTCGGTAAATCAGGCCCGATGATTTACAAACGACGGCCGCAGCCAGCGGTGCCTGGCCCCAGCGCGGCAGCTGTCTTTGAGGTGAGCAAAAGAATCCATCATGTCCGAACACCACGCCACAAAATGAGAAATATGACCGAACACATCGGCCCGTGCTCTGTCCCGAAGTGGTTTCAGAACGGGACTATTTATATCAGTGCGCGAGAAGCCATTTTCGTACAGGAGCTGCCCTTTTGGCGGACCGTGACACGGATATGGCGTCTGGAGGGAGGCCTCCCAAAACCTTTAGATACGAACATCTCTCGTGCCGTTTGTGCATAAACTTGTGCTGCTAAAAGCTCATGTCTTCCTTTTAGATCAAAGTCAGGGGCCATGACACAAAGTTCCTTTAACTGAGATTGCATTTTGTCCATTTTCAGTTCCTTGATGTTTGACAAAAGCGTAATTAATGTTATCGCTTTTTCTGCGAGGAAAATATCCTGCTTAGTTCATGTTTTATGCCAGAGCAGAGTAAAAACAAGGAGATGGCATGACGTTCATCTTGTCATAAAAAAATCCACTAAATATTTACAATCCAAGCCCACACGCAGACGCGGCGTAGATTTGCCCCCGCCAGTACGTACCGCTGGCTGGCTCCATGTAGTCGACCGTGTAGCCGTCCAGCTGCATCATCTCGGTGGGCTCCGACTTTTTCTCCCGGTAGGTGCACATGGCGAACGTGTACTGTGACACCTGCACCAGCACAAAGTAGCGCCGCTTCCACTTCTTCCAGCACGTCTTGCCCAGACAGTAGAGGTAGCTGCCGACGACAGAATCAGTGAATAGTTAAAACGGTCAGATGGGGAGGGGGCAACAGCAGGAGTGTTGGCATGGTCGATGAAGAGTCGTCTGTCTTGAGTGGTGAAGCCCGCACTCGACGGAACTGAGTGCAGTCTATTTCTGTACTTTTCAGAACAACTTGATTGTAACTATGCTAGATTGTTAATGAGCAGATTACATTACGATGCTTGTAGAAGTTAACAGTTACTTTATCTGTCAAGGCTATTTCTGTCCATTTAATCACGAACTCCTGAAGGCGAATGTAAAAGTAAATGATGCTGGCTCAGGCAAGCAATCTATTTCCCGCGATCGTTTCAGTTATTTCAACTCGACCGCATCCGTATGGTCATTAAACATAAATGCGTCTGCCACTGGCCCCAGCACGTGGACAAATAGTTCGAGTAAAAATAGACAGCTTTTCAAATTCAATCTCCTTTGGTGACAGATAAACTGCATGTAGCCTTTATGTATGTACTATGCAGCAGAGTTGATAAATGCTGATGAACATGTCGCAAGACAACCTATGCTGCAAGGATGTCATGTTTCATGCATGGCGTCTGACATTTTCCACGCAATCTCGGCGGCCGGTGGTGGGCAGCGCTGGCGCGTCCGACCTGTTCTCAAATGTTAATCATATGCACCGCCCGGCGGCTGTGACAGCTCGTTCTGCATGAGTCCTGGTGGCGTCCAATTTTCCGGGCGTCTCGGCGCCTTATCATCGCCTGCCGGCCGCCATCCGCCGCCACCATAATGGGTTCAGGCCCGTCCGGCTCGCCCGCGCCGCGCAGAATGCCTGGTCGGCTGCAGCCCGGCGCGGTATGCTCGGCTACTCGACAGCGTCAGAAGCAGGCCGGTGCAGTACTGACATGCCACGCACTATTGGTACTGAGATTGGTGTAATTGGCATGTGGTTAGTCGGTGGTTTGCATGGGAGAGGAACATGGTTTATGTGGTAGGGATGGGAGCAGTAGCTGGAGAGGAGACCCGGCGGGGCGGCAGGGAGCGACTGAGAGGACAGAGCGAGGGGAGATGAGCAGCACTATAGCGGAGACTGTGTGGGCGGCAGAAACAGTCGGGCGGTGGGTGCGGGGGCGGTGCAGACGGTGAGCTCGTGGACAGGTCGACAGGAGAAGCGCCCCGAGACCCGCCGTCCCAGTCGACACTGAGCGGCGCCGCACCAACTGATGACCGTCGTCACGACAGGCCCGCTCCGCCGCCACACCCGCTAAGTGTTGTCCGCAGCGCCGGTCTACCCACCGAGCCCCGCCGCGACGCCCGCCCGCCCGCCGCCTCGTGACCGATGACCTTTGCGCCGGTAACAGTCCGGGAATTGAAAGTTGCCCGGGCTGCAAGGTGCTGGAAATGCCAGCGGCAGCGCCTACTGAGGGCGGTGCGAGCGAGGCGGCGGTCTCAGCTGGCGTCAGGGCGGCGCCGTTTAGTCAGGGACCAGGAGTGCGACAAAGACAGACCGCCTAAGGTGCAGCAGGAGAATGGGACGGACCCACCAGACACCGTACGGCTTTCCACCGGGAGACGATACTTCCTGACCCACAGCCGACGGGCGAAACTGTTTCCTGTCTTACTATAAACTTGTCTTACTTCCAAAGTTACCTCACATAAAAGGCTGCGGCCGTGGATCATTTCCTAAAAAGCAGGAGCTAGCCCCGCTACGTGCAAACGTTACCGCGTCGGCGGGCACGGATTACGGCTTCAGAGCCGGCTAGCATCCGTCGAGCACCACGCTAAGCCTCGAGACAGATTCAGCACAGGGTAGACCGTGCTGAACCCGACATGTGAGTACGTAACCTCTCAGGAAGCCTGATGTATGCTTGATGTTACAGCGTCAGTCATGTCGGGACTGAAGTTTACCCAGCACTAACTTCTATGGGCTCATATTTGCCCTGGGCAAAGGTTGCCTGCAAGGTTGCCTAGCTGAATCTGTGCGTTTATTGATATTACAATAGCATCGCTTAGACACAATGCGCATCCATAACAAATTTTATCTTATCTATAAAAATACATAGCCACAACAAGAAGAGCAAAAACAAAATATAAAATGTATTGAGAAGATCAACAAATACACGGAACTCTCAATTTTCATGTTAGCAAATCGACGCTACCATCCCATTCACTAATGAAAGAATGAAACTTAAGGGTCCACACTCCACAACTAAGTAGCTTCAAAAGAACACTGGCAATAGTTGAAAAAGAAAAGTGTAAACAAAGAGCAAAAACGATTGCATCCTAGTTGCTTTAACATCCCTGGATATCACTTGCGGCGACAGATCCACTTTGTCACCCAGATATAGGATCGAGACGATGCGATGGAACGAAAAGGTACCAATGTGTTTGGTCCGTTCAAAAGCACCGTCCAATATGTTACATGGCTGTAACAAAATTGTTTTCGCTGGCCAGCCGACAGGAGACAAAGTGGCAGAGCGAGGGGCTAAATGGAGGGTGCTTTACCTCGAGAAAAAGGAGCCCCAGAGCGCTGGACGGCGTGAGACTGCGGTTCGGCGCGTTATCGGCTACTGGATCTGACACGGGCGGTGCCTAAGGCATTGCCCAGACGGGGAGACAAAAGGCACTTGATCGTGCACAGTAGGTACTCACCCTCCATGTTTCATGTTGAGCGGTTTGTCCATTCGACACGCGATCTTGATCTTCAGGTCCTGATCCTGCCCATTTTTCGGCACCGTCATTTTGTGCCACTCCGGCATCTGAAAAAAGAAAAACACAAAAATCAATGAGGAGTAAATAAGATTAACAAGTAAAAAAAAAAAAAACGATGAATAACTCCAAGCAGAGTCAAGTAAGATTCGCATGACCCGCTGCCTTTCCCGTATGCCCGGCTTTCAAACTCGTTTGCGCTACGGATGTAACCATTCCGCTGAAACTCATCCCGTGCTACACCTGACTCCGGCACTCAGAGTGAACACGGCAGCCCGCAGACATCTCAAAGCACCGGCTGCGAGCGTGAGGTCATTCAGGACGTCAACAACATACGTAAAGAAATGACTGTGGGAGGAACGACGTCAATCCCACGGCACAGTCCCGACCACAAACTAGAAATGCCGACCATAACATCCAAGACTAGGAATGATGATTTATATTTAGATGCATACGACATGAAAGGAAGTTGTTGTTAACATTGCAACTTAGAGCTTTCAACAGATTGAAGGGTCTGCGAAGTGTGTCCGCCTGATATGTGATATCATCTTTCGCGGAGCCTTTGATCCCCGTCTCATTTGCAGCCCTTTGAAGATATATAGAGCCATGTCCCAGGAATGTGTACACATTGGTCAACACCTAGGCCCACGTCCACCGTTTTCTGAGACTTCAGACTGCAATCAAATCTACGCGGGGAGATGGGCACTCTGTTGCAATCCGTAGGCTACTCGGATCTGAGGAGACATTTCGACACCCAGATGTTCGCATGGTGCAATATAAGTTGGGCGAAATTCTTAATTTCGCCACTTCAAGCACTTGTGGGAGCTGCCTTTCACCTGTTTTTTTTTCTTTCGTGTCTTTGACAGAGCAGCGTCCTGGATTTACTAACCAAACGGTAAATCGTACGTACCACGTCTTGTTCACACTAGTACCTATACATGCTACCCTCGGTGAGTGGTGCTGTTTCCAAATTTAATTCTAACGATGTTGAGCCACAGCGCAATGCACTACGTCGACAATGAAACGTGTGAGTGTGTGGAGCAGCCTGGAAAATGCCGAAATGAGCACACAGCAACCCCAGGTTGCGAGCGCGGCATACTAATTCAGCGAGAGATTGCTCCCTCGGCCTTGCGGCTGCTTTGGCCTTACCTTGGACGTGAAGGGCGTGGGGTGCAGCACCACCTTGCCCAACTCCTTGTCGTCAAGGGAGAGCATGCCGGCCGCCTCGGTGTAGAGTTTGACTTTGACGGCCGGCAGCGGGTGGGTGGTGGTGAAGTCGCCCTGGGTGTCCCACCTGCCGGCAGAGAGCGCGTCAGTGGGGGCCTGGGTCACTAGCCGTAGTTGTCAGACACCGTGCCGGTAGACAGCACGTTAAAGCTGTGAACTGGCACGGTAGACACGGTGTCCTGGGTCACTAACCTAGCCGTAGCCGTAAGACAGCGTTAACGCCAGCTGATCGACTCAACTGTGAACGTGATTGGTAATTCATACCACCTACGTTCGGTGTTTAACGCCGACGTAACGGTAACTACTGAGCCTACAGTGTCACCCGACGATCATTATGAGGCCCTGACTGTCAACACAATCGACTACTCGGACTGCCAACTGGCAGTAACTGTCACCTCGCTGAATACCGTCCCATGAATCTAGACAACTGACTGCCTCCCGGCCCGTGGAAGGCTGTTTGCCGATGGATACTGACATGGGTTTGGAAGCCTCCGCCTGGTCGGTCTGCAGCTTCTCGCCACCCTCCACCTCCATGGTACAGTAGACGATCTTGCTGGCCGCCAGCGACTTGAGGCCACGCACCTCCATCACCACTACCTGGACAGACGGGCACCGTGAGCGGCGGGTCACCGTGAGTGGCGGATCACCGTGAGCGGCGGGTCACGGGGCCAAACAGAGTACACTTTGTTAGCTGGCGGGTGTTGACTACAGGCTACGATAAAAAGGATGCAAAAATATACAAACAAAAACACAAGCTACATCAGGCTACATCAGACCTCGTACTTACATTTTTAAGCAATAGTTTGAGTTAGGAAAGTTAGGAAACCATTTTTGAAACAACCTTATGAGAAGCTGTGATAGTGAGATGACTGATGAAGCATACCGAACGAACAAAGTATAGGCCCGCGAGATAAGACTCGTCTTTGTCGTCTCTGCATTATCTACATACCTCCAGAGTAAATGAAAGCACCACGTCCATCTTGGAAAGCGTCGTGTCCGCGTCGAGACTGTCGCCCTCCGCCCTAGAAATGGAAGCCTGTGACCTGACGAATCAGATCAGACCGGACGGTCACTGGTGGGGTCGACGGACGCGGGTGGCCGGGGGCATGCAGAGGTAACAGCACGGCGACCGCAGCCAGCGGCAAACGCACACTCTCTGGACTGACTGACAGACTTCTGAGGCTACTGGGAGCACACAGTGACAGCTCAGTCTGACGCTACTGACGACACTCGGCCGGCAAAGAACAGCTATTGGCCAAAATCAGCGCGCGGTCCGGCCAGCTACCTCGAGCGACCAGCCCTTTATGTCTTTAACGACACACACGCACGCACAAGACCGGTAGACGTACTATGTAATTCTCTCTATTGACTAATGTTAAAATGAATTATATGGAAACTCTAGTTCCAGCAGTCAAAGCAAGTGTGCCATTTACAGTGGTGTTCGGGCTACGCCGTGCGCATAAGTGGTTGGCCATAACCCTAAAGCGCGTTCGGCTGCGCTCTGCCCAGCAATATTCAGCACATTCGAAACATGCAACCATGCGATTCCAACAAAACTAAACATTCAGACACACTCGCGGGCATTTTGGGGCGTAAGCCGACACAAGGCACATCGGGCCAGAGAAGAGTGAGTACTGAGCAGGCAACACTGGTGAATTTCAGCTGCCGCATTTGGAAGCGGTGAGCCAGCTCGCACTTAACAGGAACGTAGCAGACCAACTGTGCTATATTTGGTCAATTTATTATCATCTGGTGATTGCAGAAAGGTAATAAGAGTAGAAATGGATATTCTAATTAATTTATGACCACCGTAGAACACTTCCTCAGGTCGGTTATCGCCCTTAGTCGAGGCGGAGTGGCTCAGAAAATGCGAATAAAAAGGAACGGTTATTGTCAGATGAGGATTTCGTTGGCTTTTTATGAAAAATAAACTGATATAAGAATATTGCATTGATAGGAAGAAAGAGAAAGTCAGCGTGCAAGGGATGCAAAAGAAGCATTCCTAGCTAGACCGTTGCCAATGGAACGTACGAACGACTCTTGTTTGTGTCTCGTGTTTATAGGAGTAGGACGTCCAGCTGCGAAATATGTATGTATGTACATAATACATATACGAGGCTCGCTGCCAAATGCTTCGGTATTTTACAGCTCCAGGCAGATACGTAGGCAGGTTGTTATGTTCAGATAACCATTCCGACGCTCTGACATTCCACCATGCCGACATTGCAGCTCCGAGGGACGAGATATGAAGCAGGGGGAGCGAGGCAATATTATAGCAATCGTCAGCGCGGTCTTCGGCGCGCGCAGAGGGCATGCCAACGGGGGCCGGGAACTGGTGCTCCGTGCTGTGTGCCAGGCTGTGAAGGATGAGACTTAGGGGCGCCCGGGAGCTTGAGCACGTGCCAGGAATACAATTCAGCCAGATGTCTAGGACGCAGATACGTTGTAACGTGCCGCACGAAGGAACTAGCTCAACAAGATGCTTTATGTGCTGAGATGCGAGCTTTTGGACATGTCAGATGTCTGAGACGAATCGTTGGATGGATGAATTGTCGTGGTTATAAGCATATAATATAAACTGAAAATGTAGGTAGTGTTAGCGCACAGTTCTTCAAACGTGCTTGAGGCATGACCAAGTTATAATGTCTGTGCCCATTTAGTAAAATTGCTTGCCTTTGAGTTAGTTATGAAGTTAGGATAAAATGACTGGAAGAGGAGCAGAGGACGTCTCTCTGTTCTACGGGATACCTCCAGACAGGAAGTGCGATGCGTTTAATTTCAAAGGATGACATCGACGGTTCTATGCTGTGTTACCGTCCCGTGACCAGGTCGGCTCGCGGCTGCCACATAGCCAGATGGTGTCAGACGACTAGTGTCACACGACCGGTGTCACACAGCTAGTCCGACAGAGTCATCCGGCATTGAGACGCAAGTATCACCCACAGGTGTCATACAGCCGGTCCACCGGTATGGCACTGCCAGTATGACACTGCCAGCACGACACGGCTAGTATGACACGCCCTGTATGACACGGCCGGTATGACACACCTAGCATGACACGCCCTGTATGACACGGCCGGCGACCGCCTCCGCCGCGCTGGCCGACGATCAATGGGGGCCGTGGCCATCGTAGCATCGACGGGTGTCGGCTGAGACGGCCCCCACCGGGCCGAACGACAGCCGCAGAGACCGCAGAGCGGCCGAGGCGGCCCGGTGGGCACCGGGAGGCTTTAGGACGGGAGCGACGACAGGGAGATGGTTGGGACCTCGGAGGAGGCTATCGAGCGTCAGCAGAGGGAGCGAAAGAGGTCTGGGGGAGGATAGAAACTAGAAACCAGAGGCACAGAGCCTCGAAGCTGGCTATCAGAGGAACTGTGTTGGCAGCGGGGCTTTTTTATGCAGGAATATGCTGCAAAAGTGGGCATGTGATGCATGCGGAGCTGTGTTGTATGCTGGCTCTGTGTTGTGTGCTCAGTATGTGTTGTGTGCTGGATCTGTACTGTGTAGTGTATACGGAGCTGTGCTGGGAGCGGGCGTGCTGGGTCCTAGCGGCGCGGAGCGGCGGCTGTGCGCGGGGCTGTGAGCGGCCGTACGGGACAGCCGAGTCGGTGTGGGGCTCGGACGTGCTCGGGCGGTGCGCGCGGCGTGCTCAGGGGCCCCGCCGAGAATACCTGCCTTAGCACTGAGCTACGCCGCCGGCTGCGGGGACACAGAGGCAGGTCAGAGGGGCGGCGCGGCCGGCGCGGCCGGTGGCGGCCACCGATCGGTGATCGATGCCGCGCGGCGCTCCGCCCTGGCCGCCACATGGTTTTTACATGGCCGATCGTTATCCTCAGCGCCCGTATGAATAATGACACGGTCACGGCAGTCAAACGGGCGCGCCAAGTGGCCAACACCTCGCGTGATCTACTGATGTTTTTTCCGTGCTGTTTTCGCTACCCAGTTTTTCATCGGCTTGTTATTGCAACACAAATAAAAGCTCTGTTTTGGGCGCGATAAAACTGTTAAAAACAAACAAGAACTGGATAGCACTAGGAAAAAAGACGTACTCAATATTTAATGTGGCATTGTTACATGTTTGACAAACAATTTGATTATTATTGCCCAAGGCCATCACTTATGTCTGGTAACTATCAACAAAATGGTAAGGGTTATTTATAGTCACAAGGGCGTTCAAATCAATACTCTGCCGGAGAGATAAACTGCCAAGAAGTTACACGAATCAGCAACATAAAAATTAATAAAGGAATTAATTGAAAAGAAGGCAATTTAATATCCTGAAACGCAATTAATGTCATCATCATACAAATGCAACGCAATGGAAATTAAATTCGCACTATCGCGTAGGCGCGTAGCTTACTGACTCTACCGGGCCATTACTCAACTACTTAACACGCAACGGACGCTGGGCACATTTGTTTGCATTAGCGTGCAAAGACCGCGCGACCGTTTCCAGGCCGTTGAAGCAAGGACTGACACGACTAGATACAACAACAATACGAAAGCCAAGGTCGTAAATTAGTCGGGGGACAGGCTGGTGCCTTCAATAACTGGCGCGTCCTATTCAGCGTAAAATGTCGTAAAACGTTATCTGGGTCATTTGATAGATAATCAAGGATTATCTACATTTATGACAAGGATCAGTGCTTAATATTATGCAGCATTTCCCCACAATACCCAAAATCACTCCCAAAACTCCCCTTCCACTCCTGTACCCGAGTTCCTCGAACTTCCACCACTAGTCGCAGTGGTGGTAATATTCACACCACATGGAGCTCAGAACTCCGTCACCGATCCACAACGGCACTTCACACGTCTGTTCCGACATGCACTTCACCCCCACAGAGCCATGCGGCACTGTCCATCATCTGTGCCTTTCCGGTGTCCCGGTGTCTGTATGTCTGTCTGTGTGACGGTGGTGGCCCTCTGCTCGTGTCCCGCCGCCCGTGTCTCCCGCACCTGCGCTTCTAACTTTGAGCCGCCGACCGACCAACTGACCGGCCGGTTGACCGGTTGTCCGACCGACTAACCGACCGACCGACCAGCAGCAGGTCAGCCGACCGATCGAAAGACTGACCGACCGATCAACCGTCCGACCAACCGGCTAGCCGTCCGACCGTCCGACCGACCGACCGACCGACCGACCGACCGACCGACCGACCGACCGACCGGCCGGCCAACCGAACAGCCGACCGACAAAAAGAGAGCATGCCCGGCGGCTGCAGAGACGGCGGGTGAAGACGGCAACAGCTAGAGCCACTGAGAGAGAAGGGGCGACAGTCAGAGAGCGGGAGAGAGAGAGACAGAGGGCGGAGGGAGCGACAGAGCAGGAGGACGCCATGCAGCCCCGGCCCGCAATGTAGCTACGTAGCGCACAGCAGTCGCCTCCAGCAGGGGCAGAAACGCTGGCAATAGGCCAGCACGGAGAGCAGATCGACGTGTCGCGGCCCGCAGCACTGCAGCAGACATGAGAACACGCCGCGCTGCACGTGGCGCGTGGCTTTCCGGCGGGCCGTCACCACTCTGCGAAGGGCACGTGGCGAGGCGGCCGGCCGGCCGGCCGAGCGGCGCCGCACGGTTAGAGCGGGCACGGGCGGGCGGGCGGCGGGACGGTGGACCCCGCCGGACAGACAGCCGCCGGGCCGGGGTACCGAGAGCCGGCAGCCCGAGACCGCAGAGTCAGTGTGGGTAGCCAGAGAGAGCCTAAGGCCGCCAGACAACGCCGCAGATTGACAGTAGCGAGTGTCTAGGGAAAGCAATATGTAGTGTGATTTGGGGCCAGTTTTGTGAGAAAACATCAATGGCGCAAAAAGAAGTATAGCCAATAGAATTATAGCAGTGTTAACAGTATCAGACAATTGACGTACCATTTTGGATTGAAAAAGAAATGTCGGACAATAGCTTACAAAAAGCCCTCTCCTTTTACAACAAATATACCTCGAAACTTCCCCCCCAAAAAAAAAGAAAAGAAAAGAAACTGTCATCTTAACAACGCAAGATTACCTCTGACGATAGAGTTACCTCAAAGGGCCTGGCCACCAAGAACCATCACCAAAAGGCGGCCACATAAGAAGAGGACAGCCAGCTAGTCGTTGTGTCACTAAAGTAAACAACAATATAAAAGATCTACTATACCAATACAGCAGTGATAAAACAACACCGCTAATTCCCACACAATATCACTGGTCAGCGGTTTCTCTCACCGTCGCCCTCCCGCCCCCGCCCTTCCGACAGCCCCTTGACTATCCACCCGTGTTCCCTGTCAGATGCGGCTACCAGTTCTGCCGTCGGCGGCCGGTAACAGCAGGATGTGATCCGGATCGTCGATATTTCCGAGCCATCAAGCGTCGCCCCTCGACAGCTATAGATCCGCCGGGAAACGGCCACCGCTGACGAGCCAGCCAGCCCAGACCATCAGACTGGACGGGCGGCACCTTTTTGGACACTCACTAGCTACCCAATGAGACGAAAACCCCATGTATCCATTTAAAAATAAGGAGAAACACTGGATGTGGACGACTGAAGTTGACATTGATCACCATAGCATATTTGGAAGACAAAATGGAAAGTATTTTGGTGCAGTGGCGCAGCAATCGAGAAGCGAGAAAATGTTTGAAGAACGAATAGAAACTTGTATTTCACAGCTTATGTTCTTTATAAAACGTAGATATTTACATAATTGGTGAATTTCAACCACAAAAAGCTGTGAAACCTTCCACAATAAATCGATTGCTGCGCACTGTCTACCTATTTAAGAATCGAACGTGGGTGCTAATATCGCGCCTTTTCATCGAAGTCGCCATATCGAGAGCTATCTGACGCACGAATTGAAGAGCATGGGAGCATCCAGCTAGCGCAAATAGCCAATGTGCCAATGAAATCGGGTCTTATATAAGATAAATATATCGTCTCTGCGTCATATGAGCTGGCAGTGACACAATTATCGCTTTAGGTAATCCCTCGGATAGCCGTTTTTAGCAAAGTTCTGTGAAATAACATTCATACATGCGTATATCTGTTCTGGTTAGCAGATTGCTGACGTCAATTTGAAGGCGCAGCATGCAATAAGACATGCTACACCAGCCATCTTGATCTGCGCACCATGATCACGCGAAACCCGTGGAACGCACCGGTCAGCGAATCAGACCAGCCGGCGAGGCTCCAGCCGCGGATGCCTGCGGTGGTATACTGACCCGCAGCGCTTTTGTGCACGGCGGTACAGCCTAGCTATGGTTTTGCAGGCGGCTACTGCTTGGCAGCCGAGCTACTGGAGCGGTCTGCTCTCGAAGTTACATGGATGGATGAAGCATCGGGAGTGGAAGAGGGGTAGTGATAAAGAGAGAGAGAGAGAGAGAGAGAGAGAGAGAGAGAGAGAGAGAGAGAGAGAGAAAGAGAGAGAGAGAGAGAGAGAGAGAGAGAGAGAGGGATGGCGACAAAGAGAGCTAGAGAGAAAGGAGGGAAAAAAGGAGGTAGGAAGGAAAAGCGGGAATGGAAGGACTTTGAGAAATAGAATACAAATTAGTGAGACAGAATGAATAGAAGTAAAAATAGATACAAGAGATGTGTTATGGGCATCTCTATAGAAAACAATTAATATTTATTTTCTTCGACTATTTAGCCCAATCGAGAGCACTTCTACATAAAACACCGTACCTTATACCTATGTATTTGTAATTAATTTTCACTGCTAATTTAAAGTGGGCTACTTTGAATTAATTTCCACTGTTGATTTAAAGTGAATTAAAGATTAAATCTAATTTAAACTGCTAATTTAACTAACTAATACTATTTAATTCCCACCATTTAGATATTCACGCACAACGATCGAACAAACAACATAATCTTGAAAGGCAATATCATCTCTAGCGCATTTTCCTTGCTAGTTCTAACAGTTCTGAGACGGACACCAACAATAAATGCATTTCTGGCTGCTATTAGACACAAAGCCTCTCCATAAAACTGATCACAGCAGGCGTCAGGTCCGGCTATTCCGCTCTGCGTTCAGGGCGCCCCGACTATCAGCCACTGGACGGGATCGTCTGAGTCGCGGCACCGGCACCACGCGCAGCTCAGCATGCAGTGAAGAAGCGTCTCTCGGTATACCACGGCACGACGTGACCACACTATGGGGGCCGGGAGGGGAGGGAGGGGAAGCTGGGTAGCGGTGCTGCCTAGAGTGCCGGGCCGAGACACGGCACGTCTATACACTGCGGGCGCTGCACTGAGGGGCGGCGAGGCCGGATCCAGTCCGGGCCGACCGACCGGTACGCCGGAAGGGAGGACAGGACAGGGGCTGGGGCTGTCCGCCGCCGGCCGGGGACTCATGCTCTATCGGGAACACTCAGTGTCGAGGCAGACGCCAGGACCGGGCTCTGGCGGCGGGCGGCGGACGCGCCGGGCAACTTACTTAAACCAGCAGCTCACTGGCTTTGAATCATCTAACAAGCTTTCCTGGGCTAAGGAACCGGAGTGCCCGTTCCAATCGCCCCTGAAGCTGGAGCTGCAATGACGAGAGCGAAGCCGAGTACACTGTGGTGACGGAGCCAGCGACAGAAGCCCAATAGCGCTGTGACGTCATCGATCACCGCGCGTTGACGTCACAAACAGTGATGTCATCACATCGCGTGGTGACGATACAGCGGTGAAGCTCATTAAAGCCGCCTCTGTTCCCACACTATTCCGAGACGACCTCATTTAACTTAGAAAGGTTGTGAGCCTACTTAGTGACGTCAGACGCTCGACGGAAAAGAAAAGATCGTGCTAATGTAGTCACTTATTGTGTCAATGAATGAGAAAGCAAGATAATGACGTGGTGGCGTAAGTTCTCAAATGCCAGCTTAGCTCAATTTAAATTAGCCCTTGTGCGGATAATGTAAACAGCTCTCTTAAAAGCTCAGCTTAAAACTTAGCCCAAGAAAACATCCCGAAACTCTAAAATCACTATGTAGAGAGTCAGTTCAGCATTATTCAAATCTCAGTCTTACAGGATGTATGCCTACGTTGTACTCACAGTTGGGGTATAAAACATTTCGTTTAAAGCAAAGCAGAAGAGTTTGGGTACATTGTACATACAGTAGCCAGAAATGTTTCAAAGCGTTCCAAAGCTGAGCACAAGTGTCCATGGTGCGAGTGAAAGACTCAACACAGAGGCGTTGCAACAGCTACAGTTACTCGTGAGCCGGTCCTGCGATTAGCGCTTGTTCCAGCCCGCGGCAACAACAGTGTTTAGATCACCAGGTCATGTGAGCAAGGTATGGGTGGTGACGTGCTTTACGCGCTGGGTCACGTGATAGATGTTTGCATCTTCAGAGTGTCGTGAATAGCGTGAAACATCAGCGTGTTCGACCTACTATGCGTTAGAAAAGGAGCTACCCCTAATTTGTGAAGCAAGCTGGATATCAAGTGAAACGTAGATTGAGAATTGAGAGGTTAAACTCACCTGTGATTGTACTTCTTTAGCTTCTGAAGGCCGTATTTTGAGTCTGTAGAGCCTTTAGAGACTGGCAAAGATTCCAAATTCACCATCAGCTTATTGATCTCTGATTTTTGCTCCTCGATGTACAGCGATTCCATTTCTTTTAAAACAAACTTTGGCATGAGACGGCGATTCTGGAAAACGAAAGTCCATGTTCAATACGTCAAACAACTGCACTGAAACACATTTGGTGTGTTAAGTTGAAAACAAAGTGAACGAGTCTCCCAAAGTCGGCTGAGTGTCTTCGTTTCTCGGTTGATACACCAAGCATGTATGTAGGTATTTAACTGATTATCACCCTGTCTTGCGTCATACATCCACTCAAATCAGTCCTTGTCCTGATCAGTGACCAAATTTATCCCAGTTAACCTCCCACTCCTAGTCTGAGCATTTCCAGTGCTTCATAGATATAGCCTGCACCCCTGCGTCGCGAACGTACCCGCTCCATTTCTGCCACCTTTTGCATCCGACCGTCCAGCTCGCGCCGGATAGCGGCCGCCTGCTCGTCGGCAGAATCCAGCTGTAAGATACACAGATAAACCGTCAGATACAGTGTCAGGTAATCTACCACATTCGCCGTCAGATACACAGCCAGATACACAGATCAGATGTTGTCAGCTATTCCCACTTTCTCTGTCAGATAAAGCGTCCGGAATTTACGCACGCAAAGCACAATGAGGTGCATAAAATGGATATCTGGAGCTTTTCTAAGGAAGCATGCAACCAGTGATATAAGTTTTCGCAAACGGGTTAGGCGCTGGTTCTGAATTAGGGCCAGACTATACTTCAAATGTGCGTGAGCTGGGACAAATGAAACACACACGGGCTCCGTATGAACGAGCTCGAGTTAACCCGCGCACCGACGGGGGTCTGCGCCAACTTAGTACCGACGCGACGGGGGGGGGGGGGCGGATGACCGCCCCCCCTGAGATCTCGAGAACGAAGCAAGATAGCGACAAGCGGTAAACGGCATCGGATACGCATGGTCAAGATCTACAATTTTTACAAAGGTCATTTTCAGGTCAGGTCAAAGATGACGTCACAGGGGTCGAAAAAGTCAAAATGGCGGCGCTAAATATGGAGAGAGTTTTTCTCGAATAACTTTCGAATTAGTCAAGATAGGAACAAACTAAGGGCATCATCGTGATCCTCTCGTCAATCCGCATCGAATGATATATATGTTGACCTCGAAAGGTCAAGGTCAAAGGTTGACCTCAGGTCACGTGACCTCGAGGTCATCATGTATATCATTCGATGCGTCTTGACGAGCTGAACACAATGAGACCATCCACGCGTCTGTATCTTTTTCCTGTACGGAGTTATTGGCCAAAAACCTTTGGTGACCTTTGATGACGTCACATGACCTCACAGCTGCCCAACAGCAAAACAGACCTCAAGGTAGTGAAGGTTGATCGTATATGAAGTCATGTATGGTATATGGGGCCATTCCGACCCGTTTTAGTGGTAAAAACAGGGAGTTGATTTTTCCCCCATTGACTTATAATGGGGAGGTCGCGAAATTGACCTGACCTTAGGTCACCGATATCAAAATTCCGAGATATACAAATTGTAGCTACTAATGACCTAATAACATCCTGCGACTTTCAAAGGCCTCCGACATCTACTGTAGCTCTGGCACGGTGACAAAGTTGCAAAAAAGTGACTTGAGGTTGGGTCATTCAAAGTGACCTGGTGACCTGACCTTGAAAGGTAGGAGGTTCAAACTTGCACACCATGTGTAAAATTGATAAGGGAATAGTCATACCAAATTTCGCGGCGCTACGCGCCGCGGTTTTCCCGCTATTCGCGAAAAACCTCAGGGGGGGGGCGGATATCCGCCCCCCCCGTCGGTGCGCGGGTTAAAGGAATGGTCTGTCGGGCTCAAACATGCACTGACACGAGCCGGATTCTGCAGATGTGGTGCTCTTCCTAAAATGTTGCGCTTAACAACAGAGCAAGATTATATCAATATTTTCAATTTATATTTTATCTATTCTGAGCATGAATGGTAAAGAGACGCCAACTAAGAAACACATAGCAGATAGCTTGCTATCGCAGGCCATCGTACTCCAGTAACTATCCGAGGATAACTGCTAACGGTGCATCTTTAATGCATAAATATTTCATCGCGCACCTAAATAATAGCACGTCTTCGACTTTTGTTTTCTTGTAAAAAAAATGTTGCCAATAAAAGCAAATATGGTGGATGAAAATTGCGACCGCTTCCAACAAGCTTGCTGAGTTGGCAGCCGATGGCGACGGATGGGATCAGCTGAAGGACGCATCGCTGAGATCAGTAGCCCCGTGTCCTGCCTTTGAGTTTGGCATAGTTATAGAGTATGACGGTACCGAGGAGGTGGTCCGAGAGCCTAGATCAGCAGCCCCGGGTCAGCCAGTACGAGTCAACACCGACCAGCAATCTGAGCCACAAACCCGCGAGCCAGCCCCGTCTGAATATCCGAGCCAGGGAGCCGCGAGCCATCATAGCTCAGCTCTCAGCGGAAAGCGTCGCAGGCCAGCACCGCCCGGAGCTCTGAACCAAGGCCAAGTGAGCAAACATCTCTCGCCGATGCCAACTTCCTGAGCCGTTTCCGGGCCATTTAGGACGCAGCATAAAACAGAGGCTCTCTCAGAGACCATAACAAACGGGCCCGCCGCCAACCGGAACAGACCGGCCCGCCCGAGACAATTCCCAAAGGACAATGCCTAAAAATAAAAAAGTAGTTTCCAAGTTCCATCGTGTGCTGATCCGCACATTAGTCTCTGCTTGTCCTGTTGTTTCTAAAATGTAGTTATTTTACAACAAAGTGGAGTGGGCAATGACTACTGTGAAAAGAAACGTGGAAATTAATGGCTTACAAACAATAAAAATAACAGGCTTATAACACATGACGCTTTGTTAAGTGTGTGGAAACACATAACCATTTCCAAAATGACCATCAGACAACGGTCGCTAGGATATCAATGAAATAAATGTGACGATCACAGTCCCACATCAGCGCATGTGGCGATGAGACATCTAATTGCCCTTGTCTACAGCACCAATCGCTCTCAGATGGACACCAATCGTGGCTGGGACCAGCACGCAGCTAATTACGCTGGTCAGTGGCCAAATGGGGCGTGGGTGCCCGTGTCCGATGGTTCCTGAGCATAGATTATTCAGCTTCGACACCGTGCACGGAGGGGACGCCGATGTCAGAGATGAAGGTAACTTCCCAGAGATATTAAATTCCATCGACTTCAGCAGACCACGAACGACTCTTCGGCAGTCTATTGGCCGGCAGTCAGGCCGGCAGACAGTTGCATTGATCATCAGGTACCCAAGACACATAACAGCCCCCATGACCACTGCCAGGCGTCAGCTTTCCAAAGATTAAGGTCCTAGACAGGACAGTGGAGACTCAGACAGCTCCGCTAATCATTGGCTGTCAGACAGACACAGACCATTTCCCAGACCATTCATCGACTGTCTAACAGGTTCTCAACAGCCCCCAGACCATCGGCTGTCCGCCAGACCCTGGACAGCTTCCCAGACCATTACTGCTAATGTGAAGAGCGACGCCAGAGAGAGGGCCGTATGAACGAGATTGGAACAGGAGTGGCCAGTATTACAACATTCTCGAGATCGGAGCTAGAGTGGCTAGTATTACGCCATTCTCGGGGGCGAAACGACGCTCTGGGAACGGCTAGTCCCGAAATGATGATTGCATGAGCTTAATGTGGCGCTAACACGCAAACTCATCTGTTTTCAAATAGGTGGTGGTGCCCGTACAAAATTATCCCTGAAATGGGATAAACGCATTGGAAGGAGGGATTCCGGAACGATTTGAAGATATATTTCAATATCATTTTACAATATATTTTAATTATTTAAAGGGACCCTCCCACCTTCAAAATGGCATGAAAGTGATGTCACTCGGTTCAGAAAGAGCAAAAACGAATATCTACCAAATTTCATCGAAAAATATTCACCGGTTTTCAAGATATTAGACTTTTACTTTTGTTTACTTTTTGGGATCTCCGCTGTTCCTAGCGACTTTATTTGAAAGTGCGGCATTTGTTGCGCGCAAAGCAGCATATACCACCGCGTGCTACAAAACGTTTTAGTCAAACATTTAACGGACGTTCGAAAGCCTGATGACGTCATCAGATTCCCGTAATGGTTAAGAGATAGGGACCACGCTGGTCCCACCCTGCAAGTAAAGGGAAGAAATTTCTTGAACACCATAAAGCTGCGGGGGGTTGCGACCAGGATAAATGGTGGTTTCTGAGCCTGGCCGCAAACTTGGCTATCTCAACTCAAAACTAATGTTAAGGTGGGAGGGTCCCTTTAACACATATCACCCAAACTGATGTGATTCTTAAAATATCGGACTAATAAATGATAAACTAATGAATGTTTCTAGAAAATTGTACGCCACAAGTTCCGTGAATATTGACAAATGCAAAATAAAATTATGACGGTATGAAAAGGATATGGATGAGATATTGATTTAATCCATGCAATTCATGGAAATGGATTTCATCCATGACAAGGACAAACCGAGCGCTCCTTCACACCTATAGTTTCAGGGATGTTATCAGTGAATTTTACCAGGCAAGTCACGCTTTTTAAAGAAGCAGATCAAATACTTCAGAACATTTATGTACCAGAAGTTAAATGTCAAGACCCATTGACATTTTGATTGATTAGACAACGATCAGAGGCCAGGCGAGACAATTTGTCTGAGATGCTTTGTTGGGACTTCACACCACACAGGCCCCGGACAAAAACGCTTGCCATTACACAATAGCTATCTGGGCTTTCTCTAAACAACGACTGACATATCTTAGCCCGACAGTTTCTGGACATATTCTCTGACAAGCGATGCCTTGCCGCTTTTGTGTCCGACCAATATCCGGGCGTCAGGCCATTTTCCCGGTCAAGTACCGCCAACTTGGGCACAGCCGAGCCGAGCCGAACGAAGCCGGACCGAACTGAACCAGGTCAGATCAGGGCTGGTTGGTACATTTTTGGAAGGCGCTGCGACGCCACACGGGGATGGGGAACTCCTGGATGGTTCCGAGAGAAGGTCAGGCTTGATACGGTGCAGGGGCGGCTACTGCGTGATCTCTGAAAGGCGGTGCTCAGGTGAGATGGGTGGAATTAGGCTGTCAGGAGCCGGAGCTACGGAGAAAGGCAGGTAAGGATGGGAGACAATCTCGTAGTGGTAGGAAGAGCCCGGAAGGACGGAACAGAGGTCTGGATGGTACACATGGGACGGACGCTGGAGGCGGCAGAGACCCGAATTTACGACTCGGGCGGGCAGCAGGGTGGGCGGCAGTGGCTCCGGCACTGTCCAGGTAATCAGTAACCCACTGGGTGCTGAGCTGTTCGTTCCGAGAGGTCCACCCCCTCCCCTGGTCAGTTCAGTGGCCACTGAGGGTCTCACAGTAACTCCCCGAACCATGACGACACTCAGACAGGCGCCACTCCAGCTGAGTCCCAGATTTACCCCAGACACATCTGTCTGAGTGCTCCAATTGAACCAATAACATTGCATTGTTTTCAGCCGCGGGAGCCTGTAGACATGTCCGCTGATGCACAAAAACAGACAGCCCGGCTAAACTAGGGGCAGCTGAGATAAGACTTATCGTGAATGTACAGGGTGGGGCAGCATAATCGGGAATGCTTTTTGGGCTCTGGTCATGAGTAGGCATGGCATTATTTTGATAAATTATATCATGGCAATGAAACGCCCAAAAGTTGTGCATCATCTGACATGACTACATCCATGAGCATGCAACTTCCTGGAAAAGAGCAGCAAAATAGTTCGACGGTGCTCCAAGTGCTTTGCGCGCGCCCATAGACACTAATGTTAAACGAGTAAAACAAGAACATTTTGTTTAAAACAATGCCATTCCACGTAAAGGTTGCTGGACAGGTCAACGTGTTATCACGGACGATAAGGATTGTGTGGGGATACTTAGGACAAAAAGTTAACGTAATCGTCGTAAAATAACTCTTAGCAGAGGACATACAAGATGACTCACTTGAATATAAGGAAGAAGCTCTTGAGCATATTAAAAAGAAACAATGTTCAAAACTTCAGCGACCAAAAATCTTATCACCGACTGGAATACGATAAAAAAGAATGGCATGCCATATAGGGGATTGTATCGAGAATATTGCAGCGGTCATGCAAAGTAAACATCCTGTTGAGGTGATGGACCTATGGGTGGTCTTCAAGGGAGGTGCACGTGGTGCACCCTACTTCATCGAGCCCGGATAAAACGAGCACCTCTGGTAAATACATCCACACTCTGGCAGACTCACGTGGAGTCGTCGGAAGAGAGGATCACTGACGGTCCAGATCACGTCTTACGAGGACTCTGTCCGTGCTGGTACTGCAGTGAGGACGACATGTTATTGTGTAGGGCACCTCCACCTGAGATGAACCAAAAACTTCTGGTCCTTCAACTCCGCCGATTTAAATCCGACCAAATTCTTTATATGGAGCGTTTTTTGGTAGAAGTTTAATGAACAACTTATCATCAGTAAAAACGGTCTTCAGTGCAAGGATACGAAGCTGATGGGCGATCATGGACAAGCAGGAGGCTGCACGTGCATGCGCGTGCTTTTGGACCCGCCTTGAGAAGGTCATCGACGCGAAGGGCGGTCAAATAGGATGAGGGATAGGTAAAAGGTGACCGATTGATGGGATGTTGTTAAAATAGTGCTTGGAGCTATATTTTTAAATTCATGACCAAATAATCCCGTTTGATATTTATTCCCGATTATGCTGCCCCACCCTGTATGTTGTATAAGGTACTTTCTGGCTGACATTACATCATCATAACTTGCGTCATATCACTTGTGTTGCAATATTACCATCGAGGCTGACAAACTATGACCAAAAAAACAGATGTCGAAAATAAAATTGCACCCGAGCTGGCATTTTATGATGCTACAAGCCGCTGAAACGCCGTATCATGATTTACCAGTCATCTTTTTTGTTGCTTTTATAATGCAACGTCTTGGTTTCGCCCTTCGGTCGTATCTCAAGCTAAGTGCTACAATCGGCCGACAGACCTGAATTTATCGAACAATCCTTCGGAATTAATGAAAAATTCATTGAAGCCTCCCCATATCATGGTCTTCCTTATGAATTGAGAGGTCACCGGAAGGACACTAAAAACACCGCAGTCACATGATATAGGCAATGTATGAGCCGTGCCCATCAGTGAGCTGTCTTTTAGCTAATTTCGTCATTTTGTACTGACGATTTGAATTATTCATCAAACTCCCCTATCAGCACCAGTGCCCTCTCCCGTGCTCACCTGCAGTGCGTTGTACAGGAGCTGGTGCTCGAACTTTTTCACGCCGAGGATGTTCTGGAAGATGTCGTAAAGCTGCTCCTTGCTCAGGATCAGCTCGGAGTTGGCGGCGTTCTGCAGTCGGGACGGCTTCCGCTGTTCCTCGTCTCCCGGAACTGCACACAGAAACAAATGAAAACCCTTCGGTACACAAATTCGAACGCTCAGATTTTATCTAAAGGGTTTTCCGTCTTGACGTCGGCTTATTGTCTGTATTCATGTAAATGCTTTTGTTCACTGTTGGCTGATAGTATTTAGCTGTCCTTTCCTTCCTAATTTCATCGCATTAGTCATGGATGACATTCAAACATACTAGCCCACACACAGAAAAATATTAACACCGTTAGCGGTGTAATTGCACAGTACATATCTGAGCACTTGAGGAAAGTTAATTTAGTCCCTTCCCCGCTTAAATTACTCGCGCTTCTAAATGAACACCAGGAAGAAGGTAATAGAACACTGTTAGGAGGGTTGGGTGTTTTACTACATGTAGCAAAACACCCAACCCTCCTAACAGTGTTCTATTACCTTCTTCCTGGTGTTCATTTAGAAGCGCGAGTAATTTAAGCGGGGAATGGACTAAATTAACTTTCCTCAAGTGCTCAGATATGTACTGTGCAATTACACCGCTAACGGTGTTAATATTTTTCTGTGTGCAGAAGGACTAGGCAGATTATAAACGGCAGAGCGAAATGCAAAATGATTTTCTGACTTGTTTCTCTAAGCCTCACTATGGTGCCAAGAAAATACCAACAAACAAGTGCAAATGGCTCCACGTACGTATATACATACATGGATCGGAAATAAACCAATGACCGCATGGACGAAGAACACTATTCCATTTGTGGTTACTGACAAGGGGAAACACCAGTAACCCAAGCACGGGCCAGCTCCTCAGTGTCAATCTATATGTAGATTGCTCTGTGCATAGGATCGGCGTGCTACAGTACATCGCTCGACCTTTGAAACACAGGTCACATCCTCTCATTCATCACCCATTACGGGTTAGTGGTAATCGATTTGCGTATGGCGCAGTGCTCAGCTTGGAGCCCATGGCATGGCAATGGGCACGGGGTACTGGTCAGACAGTTAAACGAAGGTAAGATGATGGTAGCCACGTAGCCATTACATCCAGGTGCTGACCTTCGCACCATTCCCTTAGCGGAGGCCATCGGCAGGCGCCGTTCCCACTCTGTCTCGGGCCAGTCAGTGGAGGGGGGGGGGGGAGGGGAGGGGAGGGGAGGGGAGGGAAGCGGAGGGGGAGGGGAGCTGAGGGGAGGAGGGGCGTTCATTCGGCCATCCGTCCCTGTCACGTCCCCGACTCAGGGTTGTATACCAATCAAGTCGATTGAATTGATTGATTTGATTCAGCGCGTATTTTGAGTTGATTGGATTGAGTCGATTGACTTTTCGAGATGACTGGTTGACTGACTCGTTTGACTTTAGCGACTGGTTGACTGATTTGATTCCCGAAAATTAGAGTGACTCGTATGATTGAGTCGATTGAATGGAAAGTTGAAATAAGTTTTAGTTGACGAAAAATAATGACACCAATTGATGACATCAAAGATCACAAAACTACACTGAAAACTGCTTGTCATCACAACTGCAATATGGAGTAGATGGCCAAATAAAGAACAGGGCCTAAACATGAACAGCCAACTTTGACTTTCAACTGCAATAACTGCTCCAATCCTGTGATAGAACCTGGCGATGCACCTACCTACCTTTCTGCACTCAGCAGGATTTTTTTTTTAATCCAGATGATAAAGTGCAAGGCCCTATATACTAATAAAGTGTGATTAATTACTAATTCACATCTCCACATCTCCTCAGAAACAACCCACTGAACTCTATAAATATCTCACTGAACTCTATAATGAAATATCTGAAACCCCTACAAAAATAACTGAAACAAAAGCGCCGTTTTCGTCTCGCTAATTACGTTTACATTAATAGCTAATTTGCTGCATTGTTTAATTTGCAGCAGAACGTTTGTTGATCCTTTTCTCCTGAGAGCCTAGGCATAACATATTTAATATATTTCATTTTCCTTAAAATATTTTACCGAATATTATTAAGTGGTTTTATTTCAATCGAAATAATAATTAAAACGAAATTGGTGTTGTACAACCGATTTATTTTATGATGATCTACCATACTACATGATAATCAATGACGTCATCTTACCAAAAAATCAAAAGACGAAGAATAAGGATTTATAAAAGCTTAGCATATTTCTTGGCAAAACGTTTTCTTTGTTTTTTTCGCAGTCCACCACAGTGTTGCCAGGTCTAGAGGTAAACCTCCAGATCTAGAGGTTTTAGGGGAGCGTTTCGGGGCTCCTGGAGGTTTTTGAAAAATGCCGGATTCTAGAGGGTTTTCTAGAGGTAATCTGAAAATCCCAGAAAAGACAATTAGCATCAAGGTCTCTTGAGAACTATTTAGGTACTTAATTTCATGTTATTATCTTTAAGTATTGCATGCTTAAACACACTTTTTTTACAGATTGATGGAAACGATAAGCCTACTTTTGGCTTGTTCACTATTGAGGCTCTGGCCGCCGGCTGCAGCTAAAAGTTCTCGATATACCGTGGGCACCAAGGCTATGCAAACCGTGCCCACGGTGGGCACCAAGTCCACCAAGTTATGTTATGTAGACAAATGCAAAGGCATGCGAAGGATGAGTGAATTATCTTGATTGGGGATACAACCGGGTGTTTCCAAGCCCACTGCCAGCTGCTGCCAGCGCGCTGACGTCACACTTTGGGTCTGTTCCAGTCCCACTTCCTAACACATCTAAACTCCTCCAAGGGCAAGATAGAGGAGGTTGGAGCAGGGCCCTCCTTTGATTTGTAGGGGCTAGAGCTGACACTGGAACAGGGAAGCAATCTTGGAGGAGTTTAGAGGTGTTAGGAAGTGCGACTGGAACAGACCCTTTGGTAGTGTTGGAGCAATGGGCTTGATGATGTCATCACGCGCTAGCAGCGGATGGCAGCGTGCTTTGAAACGGCGCCACGGTTTGTGATACGGAGGTAGGTATGGAGGTAGGTATATATACTTTATAATCAGCGGCAATGGAACAGAGGTTTCTAGAGGTTTTTACAACATTTTCTGGAGGTATTGGCATCACTCGACCTGGCAACACTGGTCCACCAACGGCATTTAATTTTCCTTGTTCTTCTTCCTTTGTCCTTAACTTATCCTGTGGTTCCAGAGTCCCTGTCCTTTCCATTTCCTTTTAAATATATTTTTAATGCTCATCCCTATCCCCCAGTCCTAACAGTTTCAAATTGTATTGCAATAAAATGTTTTGAATTCTTCACATATAACCTATCTACCTTCGTTGGTACTGTTGGTAGCCAGTGACACATCTAGGCAGGTAAGTAGGTACCTACCTGCTTTCCTGCTGTCTTCATAAAGCATACCCAATGAAGTTGTCAAATTTATAGCACATTTTCAACACTTCCATATCAATATGGTGTCAGTGTGGCATGTAACCTAGCTAGGTTCATTATGTTCAGGGTTCAATTCAGAAGAGCTCCGCATAACTCACATAAGAGACAGACGGGGGCTTTACATGGGGTGCTCACCATAGTAGATGCTCACCATAGTAGATAGGAAAGAGGCATAGGGAGCGGATGCTCATAGGATGCTGCCTCTTCTCAGTGTCATATGACGGTCATATCTGTTCTTGAATGCGTTGATGCTTGGACTCAGTACCACATGTTCAGGCAGTTGGTTCCACTGGTCCACAACTCTTGAGGAGAAAAATTGATTGCGTCTGTGCAGCCGATGCCTTGGCTTTTGCAGTCTGAGAGCATGTCCGCGTGTCCTTTCCCTGTTTGTACTGGTCTCTAGTTTCAAAAACTCTTCTCCAGCATTCACCTTGTCATGTCCATGGACCAGCTTGTAGACTTCAATCATGTCCCCTCTAACCCTTCGATCTGCCAGTGATGTCAGTTTCAGTTGGTCTAAACGATCTTGGTAAGGGAGATTGGCGAGTTCAGGTACGAGTTTTGTCGCTCTCCTTTGGATCCTTTCCAACCTGTTGACATCCTTTTGGAGAAACGGGGACCAAGCTTGGATGGCATATTCCATGTGAGGGCGTATCAGTGTTCTGTAAATTGGCAGGAACATTTCCTTGTCCATGAAGGTGAATGTCCTCTTCACTCTTCCCAGCATGGAGTTCGCTGCAGCTGCCGCTCTCGTAACCTGCTCTGATACTTTGAGGTCTGGCGTTATTGTGATTCCCAGGTCCTTTTCTTTAATGGTTGAGGTAAGAGTGGTGTCCCCCATTGAGTAGGTGTACAGTGGATTTTTTGTCCCAAAATGCATCACCTTGCATTTGTCTTCATTGAAGGTAAGCAGCCATTTCTTGGTCCACTGTTGCAGCCTGTCAATATCTTCCTGGAGGACAATCTGGTCATCAGGGCTTCTTATCCTTCGGTAAACTTTGGCATCGTCTGCAAAAAGTTTCCCACGTGACTGGAGGCCCTCCAGGAGATCGTCAATGTAGATCAGAAATAGGGTTGGGCCCAGGACACTACCCTGTGGCACTCCACTCCAAACCTCTCTCCATCCTGAGTGGCAACCTTGCACTGCCACCCTCTGCTCACGTCCAATCAAGAAGTCTGTTATCCAGTGCAGAATTTGTCCGTCCAAGCCCATTCTTCGTACCTTAGCAATGAGGTGCTGGTGTGGGACAGTGTCAAATGCCTTGCGGCAGTCAAGGTACAGGGTATCCACGCATTCCCCCTCATCAATAGCATTCTCAACATCATAAAGGTACTCCAACATTTGAGTCAGGCATGATTTGTTTGACCGAAAACCATGCTGCTGTTGGCTAAGCAGGTCGTTTGTCTCAAGATGGTTAACAATCTTCTGCCTAATCAGCTTCTCCATGATCTTACAGGGCACTGAGGTCAAACTAACAGGTCGGTAGTTCAGTGGATCTGATCGGTTCCCCTTTTTGAAGATGGGTGTTACATTTGCCCTCTTCCAGTCCTTAGGCAAGCGACCCGACTCAATTGCAGATGGCCTGATGACTTAGCTGGAATATGGCCAAAATTAAATTGACAACTTTTAGGTAAAAGGTGGTGATTTGGGTTAAGGGGCGTTTGTTGAAGTCAACTACTGGGTTATTTTGCACCCATTAAATGAAACTTCTGCTCCAATTCTACCCATTGAACCTCAATATCATGATCCACCTGTCCATCATTAGGTATCCTTCCTTATTACATAGAAACTTTGAATGGCATGGCAATTTATAATTTTAAATGACAATATTTTTGTTTCTTCTGTAGGTAGGTAGGTAGGTACACCAGACTGCTATGGACACTTTTCCAAGTTGGTGGGGCAAAAAACCTAATGTATATCTTGGTTTGAGTCGTTTGATTGAGTTGATTGATTCCTTTCATTGTCGCGTTTGAGTCGATTGAATCAATTCCCGAAAACTGCTCTGACTTGATTGATTTGATTGGTTTCCCAAATTTGTCGTGATTGAATTGATTGCTATTGATTGAGTCGTATACAACCCTGCCCCGACTCATTATGATTTATTGTGGACATAGATGGACGACTGCAGTCTGCATGGCAGTGCACATACAGGGTGTCCCAGAATTACCCAGACATTTATTTTCTGGCTAAAAGTACGATTGCGCTCGATTCTAATGATATACAAGCATCATACTTTTATAAGATATCCCTTAGCTATCGAGCTTGGGGACTGTGTGCTTTTGGTGACCGGTAACGACTCGAGTCAAGTATTATCCAGAGTCAAGTAAGAGTACTACTTTTCCGTTTTCAGCTTAAGCCACTAATAGGCAACCATGGTGAATCAACTCCCGTTTTCAACTTTGTAAACGGACTTTCGGCATGGTTTTTGCTGGAGAGCTTCAGCAGCTCATCTGCAAGCAGTTAGGATTCAGCAAAGCGCAATTATATCAGCTAACGAAGCCAGAGAGAGCAAGAGGTAAACCTGATTGACAAGCTTGGGCTCGGCCAAAAAGGGCCATGCACCAGTTGTCAAACGGGTGGTTGCTTGTCATGGACAACAAACGTCACTGATCTAGCTAAAAACTAGCTAAACGATAGATCAGGATTATCTAAAGAACATCAGTCTACTTTCCACCACTATCTTCGCAAAATTTTGGAATTTGGGGTCCCTCGCCTGAAAAATATGCGAAAACTACGGGAAAAGCAGAGAAAATCACTACAATTTATCCCAAAAATATAATATATACAACAAAAAATTAAATTGAAGCACACTTTGTGGTCTAACGAAGGTATTCTGTCATTTGAACCGCCCGAAAAGGCGTGTGTGAACGTCAGATGGCTACAACGCCCCAACAGCAGAGACGGCCAGGCACCCGTCGAAAATCAAATTGTGAGACATTTTGAGCCACCGTGCACTCATTGGGCTTGATATGATGACCCAAAGACAACCGTTAGCACAGAGTACTACTGCGGTAATATTCTACCAGTAAAAAAACTGGATGCCGTAAGCCAAATGGCCATGAACGGGTTTGTTTTGGAAACCAAATCTGTTGGAAGCCAGGTCCTGCCATGTTCAGTCATGGAGCTTCTCCACTTCAGATGCAAAAAACGCGGCAAAAGTGGTGTAGGCAGCAATTTTTGTTTTGGGGGATAATGCCTTATGACCTGGGAACACTTTGATGTTAAGTTTATCTTATATGATCGTATTATCCTCCGGCAACAGGTCAAAGAAAACAGGCCTTCACCCAGTTTCGGGAGAGCCGTAAAACAACTGAGACCAGCAATGGCTGGCATTTTCAATCATTGTTGGCTGATCTTGTAACAAGCGCATCTATTGCATGTGCTACTTCACAGCCACCCTAAGTTGACTATATAGGACAATAAAAAGAAAAAAGCGCAATCATGTTTGCCTTATTTTATACGCTAATTAACAATGTCCGGGTAATTCTGGGACACCCTGTAGGGTGCAAGATGGAACGATCAATACGAAACAGCAAAGGGCTGGCATTTTATGACACAACAGGTGCTGTAAATTGTGGGTAAGTGGATTCTGGTCCTCAGCGCAGATCATGAGTACATAGCAAACAGCTTTGAACAAAGCAGCTTTAGATATTGGATTAGAAAACACCTTGAATCGACTGGTCAAACACATCAAACCACAAAGCCACAAGCTGTGTCTTATATTTCGTGAACATCCTTCCAATGACGTAAGTTTAGAACAATGTCATGTGCCAAAGTTTCTCGCTGAGTACGGCCGTATCGCCTGGTGTAAAGCAATCGATATGAGCAATGCGGGAACACCGACAGTGGATGTACCCGAACGGGCCGTTTACCTTTGAGGATGCAGTCGAATTTGGCCATCCAGGATGTGAGCACCGTCTCCTTACTGAGGCCATCGATCTCCGGCAAACACCTGAGCAGAGAGGATTGCGCCGGTAATGCACGGTGTGAATGACACGGCAGCTATAGGTGAAAAATGCTCGAATGCTGGGGTGACTTAGCTGATTGCTCAATAATTTAATAAGATGAATTCCAGTTGCCGCTTTTTCGCCCATAGGTGAATGTCGTTCTAACAACAATACAAATATAAAACGTTCGAGAAAGGAAATCTTAGTGATCGCAAGTCGTTGAAAATCCGATCCAAGCTGGCTGTCTCACCTGACGCGTTTCTCAATCATGTTCTTGAAGATCTCCTTGAGGTCGTGCTGTGAGCAGGCGCCCGACTGGACCATCCTGGCCAGACGCTCCGAGCGCAGTACCGCCTCCGTGAAGCTGTGGATGGCATTCTGGAACGCCTCGTCGGCAACTATCTGCAGCTCTCCACGCAGAAAACTCTGCCGAAAAACAGGGAGGGAGATGGTCAGTCGCAGAAAAGTCTGTTGAAAGACAGGAAAGGTCAGTGGCACAAATCTCTGCCGAAAGACAGGGACGGAAAAAGGTGAGTCGTAGAAAACTGCTGAAAGACAGGGGTGGATAGGTGCGCAGAAAAACAAATTTCGTATTAATAGCGTTCAAAGCGGAATTTGAATTGATACACGAATCGTCAGAATTTAGTATATAAAAATATTGCTTCCAGCTTTCTGCCGATCACGCATTATGTCCATTTTTATAGCGAGTATGCATTTATTGGACCTGTGATCATCTTCAGCACGTTTTCAGATATCAGCTCTTCAATCTTGTCACTGCCCCTTGATTGCAACATTTCAGCCGCTGGTGACCTACTGCGCCGCGCGACACAAAGCCTGCGTTGGTGATGAAGACATATTTCACGCAGTCCACGTTGGACACTCGGCTGCCGCCTGTGGCGACGGCAGTCTGCGAGTATATTACCGTGACGCGCATAGTAACACCGTCGAGGGGGGGACCCCACCTCCACCACCCCCTCTGCCCTCCTCCCCCAGATGGGGTCTCCACGGCCCGGCAGTATACCGGTGGCGTATTCCGAGCGGTCGATACCGTCCAGCCAGGCCGCACTACTCATGGCACCGCCCGGCTAACTGGGTCGCTGATAGTCATGCAGGCGTGCATACTATACGGTCCACGTTAGAGTCCATAATAGACAGACGTGAGACGCAGAGTATGTCTACGCTAGTGCCCAAGTCACTTCAAACTAGTCCCCGCTCAGACATGATCCCACTATTGTCGTGTAGAGTCGACGTTATGATTTAGGTGTGGCCGATAGAGGGAACGCTATTACATAAGCACACACCGACTTATTATTGTGGAAAATTATACCTTAGCGGAAATGGTGAAAAAAAAAAAACAATCAAAGCTACCTATTACAACTTACAAAGAATAAAATAACATCTCAATTTAGCAGAGCTACAAACCGATGGCACAATTAAACATATCCCTATTGCAAGTCGCAAGATACGAACGTTCCGTGTGGAAGACCGCAGCGGGAGGTCTGATTTAGAGGATCAAACGGACCGCGTCCCCGTCTCTGGGGCTCTGCCCCGCGTCCTTGGGTTTATTGATGGAACGCCCCCGGAGGAAGACGAATGGCTCGGTCCGTATTCAGACATGACTGGTCGCGAAACGACCGCTATTTCCACCGACGCTGCTGCAGACATTCCCAGGCCGCCCTTCTCCGTCTTATCTGACTCCTCTCTCCTTCTCTCTCTCCCCCCTCTCTCGTCTCTCTCTCTCTCTCTTCTCTCTCCCTCTCCCTCTCTCTCTCTTTCTCTTCCTCTTTCTCTCTCTCTCTCTCTCTCTCTCTCTCTCTCTCTCTCTCTCTCTCTCTCTCTCTCTCTCTCTCTCTCTCTCTCTCTCTCTCTCTCATCCTATATTTCATGGCTGTCAGAGACGCATGTTCGACGGATTCTGATATCACGAACCGCGTAAAACGTTCAATAATTCATCTTCCAACCTACTACATTACCTCTAGACGACGCAAAACAATCCACCGTGCACCCTCCGGGTCACACTTCAGTAGGTAGCTGTTCCAATGGTTCTGGAATGAGCTCGAATGTTATCGCCCCTCGCCCACGGGCCTGTCAATAACGTCTGACCTTTCACGTGATCCCACGTGAAGTGAGGATGAAATAAACGTGATCCGGGTGGAGAGCCGCGTATTTCACGAGACTTAATTCCAGAAGTATGCATGGCATGGTATGCAATTTCATGCACTATGCATGGTGGATCCGATTAAACATTGCTGCCTTCTTCAGCATTAGCGCGATGTGGCGCAATAGCGGCGAAGCCATTTCAATGGGTAATAAAACCACCATAAGCTACCGAATGGCTATTAACAAAATATGAATTATGCAGCATCGCTTTTGAACTAGCTCAAATTGTTGGCCATAAATACTGACCCCCCTCTCAGCTCTGCAGGACTTGGTATAAAGATGAGTTGAGCGTTCCTGATTACGGAGCGAGCGAAGCGAGCGGAGTCTTACGTAGAATAACGGAAATTTCTGAGTATGAGCGGCCGGCCGGCCGGCCGGCCGGCCGTGCGGACGCTTTTGCGAGGCTTATATCTCAGCAACCACTTGACCGATTTACATGCGGTAATTTTTGTAGGGTAGCTTCATTCCTTCTACCAAGTATTGGACTATTCCCGATGCATGTGGGTGACCCCTTATGCACGTGCCACGTGCAAAACGAAGAGGTGTCACTTTTGTAATTGTTGCAATATTTCGGTAACTACTTGGCCGATTGCGCTGAAAGTTGGCATGTAGGTAGGCACCCACTAGGCACTGCATATCCATGTGCCAGAGTTGGGGTGCCGCTGCACGTGCGCACGTGCAGGGGTCGTTTCCAGATCTCGAGAACGGCTCGACCGATTGCGCTCAAATTTGGTACACAGTTAGGGACCGGTTACTAGGGTGCCGTGCACAAGTCAGTTGGGACCCATTTTGCACGTGCGCACGTGCAGGGTGCCGCTTCCAGATCTCGAGAACGGCTGGGCCGATTGTGCCCAAATTTGGCACATCGCTAGAGACCAGTCAGTAGGGTGCCCTGCACAAGTCAGTTGGAGGTACCCCCTCGAAATTTCGCACGTGCAAGACTCACCCGCTCGCTCGCTCCGTTAGTCGCCCCAAAAGGCGCTATACTGGTAGGTACCAAAACATAGCTCATAGGCACTGTCCGTCATCACGTCACCAAAGTCGTGTTTCGCCAGTCTGCGACAGTACATAATAACATCCCCAGTCAAAACACCGTGCAGCCCGTTGTGTCAGTGGGTCCGACCGTCACTGCTGGAACGTCGCACTGCCGCCGTCACCGGCCCTTCTTAACCCGGGGGAGCACCTCCACCCCCCCCCCCCACCGACCCCGCCCCCCAGTCGCCACTGATCCGCCTCGGTCGACCTTGGACAGGCGCTATTGGTCGGCCGGTCTCATGGGGAGAAAGGGGGAGAGGAGGGGGAGACTCAGGGTCAGACTGAGGGCGGAGCAGCATTGCCGGAGAGAGGAAGGAGGGTGGAGTCGAGCGGCTCGTGGGAGGATGGCTGCACCGCATTGGCTGTGCCAGGAAGAGGAGTGAAGGGAGTTAGTGGAGAGCGGAAGAGTCAAAGCGCTGAAGAAAGAAGACGGAATAAATTATTGTATCGCACTACTGAGGAGAGCGAAGCGGGTCACAAAGCTGAATAGATAAAAGAGAAGTCACACTGATGAATAGAAAGAAGAATGGGCCATAGGGATCAAAGTAGTAAAAAGATTGTGGTAACACACTATGATACCGTAAGTATAATGTGGTCGTAAGCAAGTCGGTGTGTGTACTACACCAATGAATTAACATAAGTGAAAAACAACGATGTTTAAAGGGACCCTCCCACCTTAACATTAGATTTGAGTTGAGATAGCCAAAATGGGGTCCCTGGCTCACAATTACCGGTTTCGGCACTCACAACATCGAGAAATGCCTTAAATCGGAAATATTGAATTTCAAAATTGCAGCATTTTGATTCAGAGGGGCTAATGCTTAGGAATACCCCTCTGAATGTGTGACGTCAGCGCAGATATCTAACGATTTTTAAATGTTTGACTAAAACGTTTTGTAGCACGCGGTGGTATATGCTGCTTTGCGCGCAACAAATGCCGCACTTTCAAATAAAGTCGCTAGGAACAGCGGAGATCCCAAAAAGTAAACAATCGTTAAAGTCTTATATCTTGAAAACCAGTGAATATTTTTCGATGAAATTTGGTAGATATTCGTTTTCGCTCTTTCTGAACCGAGCGACGTCACTTTCATGCCAATTCATTAACTTTTTTGAAGGTGGGAGGGTCCCTTTAAATCACCATCTGTAAAAAACAATTTTCCTTCATATCTTCCCCGGGGATTTGGCGCAGATTCATTTCACGATGTCTCCAGTTCTTTCGCCTCCTTTAATCCTTTTGTTCGTTTGAAACGCAGCAGTCTGGCGGCTTTGTCTCCCCGAGGTCCGGACGGCTCCTCCAATCTCTATCTTCCTGATATAAATGAGAGAGCCAACCGGCCGGCCAGCCGAGGGACCTCTCTTTACGAGCCAGCGGAGCCGGCCAAATAATTGCAGCAGCACACAAACGACACAGGGCCGCCGGGCGACCCACAGTTTGGACTCCGAGCGGCAGGTGCCACTGCGACCAAGGAAGTGGTCAGTAAAGTTTATCTTCCGTCTAATTTTGTTGCTATTGAGAGGAAAGGATGCAGTCAGACACGTCGCTATTAGTGGATAAAGTAATTAATAATTACTTTATCCACTAAAATTAAGTAAAAGAAAAAGAAAGAAGTTGCATTTTTAAATATTGTATTCCAATACATACCATTCGTATTATCTTTCGTGTTGGCTTCTAAAACTGCGTCTATCAGATTCCGAAAAGAAAGAATGGACAATCATCAAATACCTACATCTTAGCATAAATTGGCGAAGAAAAATTGCAGGAACAGTGAACACCCAGGCCTTCGGATTCTTACCGCCTATAATTAACTTGCACTACAATTATTCCAACGCACCCAAAATGTTCCCGAGTTCAGACAATAAGCTGACTGGCATAGCGCGCATATCATAACGTTTTAGCATCCACACCTGTGTTGGAATTAGCTACGCGAAATGAACGCTGTGTAAAGTGGGATCATTAATTAAAATACCGTTCTCCCGACTCTTCATATAGGAGTCGGATTTCTGCGTTTGTCTCAGCCTAAAACGTTCTCTGAGAATGGGCGGCCATATGTAATTTCAGCATTCCAGCCTCAGGCACTGTGAGCTGGATTACAGGGCCAGAAGACGTTCTGCCATTGTTCCCCTGCGTTGCCGTCCGCTGTATGGTTTCGGGCGTTTGATGGAAAGGTGGTGACGCACGTCCCCATTCTTGGAGTGAGGTGTGCTTTAGTGGCCGTCTCAGAGCTCGAGTGACGTCAGTGCTGAAGGGTAGTCCCAGATCCGTTTGGTGGTTCGCCGACTCTGTATGCTGTGAGGTTTCGCTGCTCCGTGCTGGAGGAGCCTGAAATGGCCCGCCGTTTCGCACGATGAAGGCCTTATACTGCTCTGTCTATAGCCGACTACAAGGAGAGGCAAGGAGAGGGTCCTTCACTTCATACGGGTTCGCCATTCAATGCGGTGAGGGTCCGTCGATACAAATTGGGGATCCGCTGGTCTTACTGAAAGGGCCGCCACTCGGTACTGTAAGCTCCAGGGCTCCGAATTGTGAGGGTCCGCCAGTCTCTGTGTACTGTGAAGGTCCTCCGTTCCGCAATGCCGAGTCCATCGGTCGCCTGTACCTACCGTGTCGTCGTCCCCGCAGGACTCGGACCATCGACCGGTCGGCGGAGGGAGGGAGTGGAGGGGAGGGGAGGGAGGAGAGGGGAGGGGCTCATCAGCGCACCGCCTCGGGCGGCTCACCGCTCCTCCGTCCAGCGCGGCGGTGCCCTGGTCGGGCGGGGGAGTGGGGGTACTGGCTGAGTCGGCCTGTTCCCATGTCCTCTATCATAGGTCACAGAAGACAGAAGAGGGCGCCGTATGTCGGGAGAACCGATGGTATGCAAGACACCTGCCTGCAGTATCCACGGCTCATTGCGCGTCTCTCTTCGCTACGCCACATTGTCCCGGTCAAATGCGTGAGGCAGTCGGCAACAATTTTACTTGGAGCGCATACGTGTACGAGCGTTGTGCTCTTTTGCACACATTGCTGACCAAACCTCGCTGCGCATGGTAACAGGGACACTTTGTCATCGGTTAATGGACAGCCTACGACAAAGGTCGAGCGACAAAGACCAGTTCACGGAAGCTAAGCGGTGTGGGCGGCCGAGGCGAGCCCTGTAACCTGCAGATTACGCGGCCTCTCTCTCTGATCTTATGCCACATTTACCCGCTCCGAAACACGGAAGAGTGGCTTTTCGACACCGATGGATAGCTCTTATTCCATGCCATTTTCGCAAAGGCATGCACGTCATGCTCTGCCAGCCGTAATGTCCAGCAGACAGTTGTTCTTGGAAGTGGCCTCTGCCGTGCCCGCCCACACAGTGCAGCCGACGGGGATGCATCCTGTGACGACAGCTTGTCGCAGTGCGGTGGCGTCTCGGTGTGCACTCAGATGGCCGCTGGATAAGTGAAAAGCAGCATGTTGCAACAACGTCTGTAGACAGCAGACATGAATGACTGGGGCTTTCTAGATTGTGAAACAGGACGGTGGATGGGTTCCTAATATGCCGGAAACGAGCTGCCAGAGGCAGCAGAAGTCTGTTTCAGATGCAGTCATCCGAGTTCGGACAAACCTGTTTCTCATTCTGAACCGGCCGTGGTGGCTGAATATTTGAAGAGAGCGTTACGTGCCTCAATCAACTGAATGCCAGTGTTTAGATTCTGAATTGGTTCCGGTGAACAATCAGACTACAAAAGGAACGAGTCCCAAACTCCAAACTTGCTGCCCTTCGTGTGATTTGACAAGCATATAAATTTGAACTGGCTAGAAGGAAATCACTATTTGTCACTGGTTGGCACTTAGCATCGCCATGCCCGCATGAACTCGTCAATCTTTTATAGGTCGCCGCATGCCTAACGCTCATTTTCTATTGTGCAGTATAACGCTGCATATTGTGCAGCTTGCAACAGTGCTAACAGTTGTCAAGCTGTCCGTGCAACACAGAAGACGGGCACACTGACCGCTGCCATAACATTTGTGATTAATGGGGCCATCGCTGATGAAGCGATGATTGCAGCTGGCGAGTGAAAAAATGGCGCGGAGCCGAGCTCACGCAAATAGATATGCATCGTTTTCAATATCATTCCTGACAGTCAACTATAAAAGCGCGATGTAAGTACATATATAACATATGATCATTCCCCCTTTTTCTGTCGGATCTTCCAACAGTCTCGTCGACAGGGCACATTTTGTTCGCCTCACCGTGAGGCGTGACTGGGGAGAGGAATAGGACTGATGGGACAGTTTCACCATTCCCTCCTGCTGGTGACCGACCCCCAGCCTCCCCCCGAATATCGCAGCTTATCCCTCCCTCTCTCTGTCGCTGCCGGAGGCGATGGGTGCTCTCCTGCTAATGTATTCCGCCCTACGGTTGACGATCGGTGTACAAGTAGGGACGATCCTCCTCAGCATGAGTCAGCACGGCAGCTCCGTCCCCGGCATCTCCCTTCGTTTTCCATCACCCATCCTCCCTTTCTCTTCTAAAAAAATCGGTCAGATACATTGCGGAAAGTCAGCTGATATTCAGCGGGGGCACGTAAGCGGAATAGGTAAATGACCTCTGATACCTAAAGTCCTCATGGTTTATCTCTTCAGATAGTCAGTCCAGCTAATACAACTTTAAATACATGCAGCAAAAGATATAATCTTGAACAACGCGCTCTCGGTCTCGGTCACGAAGCACCAGCGCTATTTCTCCTGTCCAGCACCAAGCTAGGATCCGTCCCGTAAATGACATTCACACCTGTGTGCTGTAGTTCATACATACGCAGCCGCTTAGAGGTGCGCTCACACCGCGCCGGAACGACCTTGTCCTCAGAACAGGGTCACCAGAGGGGATCGATTCCCGGGCAGACGCCTTACGCACAGGTGTTGGGGGAACATGGGCGGTCACAGGCAACCATCGGGGTAGGTGGGGACTGGGGAAGACCACTGACCGAGTCCATATGCGATCGCAGGTCGGCATTGCTGGTGGGTGGTCTTCAGGAACAGAAAGGACCGTAAACACACACTTTTCTCGCGTCAATAAAAAATGGTAAAATTGACCTTATGCTCACAATATCGGAGAAATTCATTAGAAATTCATTTTTCCCCCGAAGAAGAACCAAGTTCGAAAATATATTCTGGACCTTTTTTAATGAACTTCTCCGATATTATGAGCAAAAGGTCAATTTTACCATTTTTATTGATTACAATCGTGCTCAAAGAAACGTTGTATCATATACAATTTTCATCGTGTCATGGCAATGGATGGATGCAAATGTGCAGCAGCCAGCACAACACACTTTCTGTCGTTTATCCTCGAATGTTTTGCTTCTCAATCTTCCTCTTCTCTTTTCCCCTCTTGCTTCATTTGTTCTCTCTCTCCTCTCTCTCTCTCTCTCTCTCTCTCTCTCTCTCCTTCCAGGTTTTTCTCATTTCCTTGCGCTCTTCTCTCAGAGTATTTTCCTTGCCGAGTAGCATTTGCCATCCCGGCACCGTTAGCAGCTATTGGCCTGTGCAGCCATGAATGGCCGCCTTCCATCAGCCCTTACTCAGACCCCGTCCTCGATTTATGCAAGCACCAACATCAACCGACGCCATAAGCCCTCAGCGCGGAAAAAGCTCTATCGAGGGACGGCCGCTGATCCGCTGTGACTACACAGACAGCCTCCTGAGCTCACTGATGGTCTCAGCTCAGCACTCTGGCAGTATTAGTATAGTGATGAAGGTAGCTGTCAGCGCCCCGCACCCAACGCATTATTTCTGACCTTACCAGCCACCCACTGCTGAGATTTCATCAGCACAGCCTGCTGTGAGGAGCAGGAAAATGGATACGGTCGCCGGCCAGCACACTTCACTGGCGATTATACGAGGAGTTTGGAAGCGGGCTCATTCCAGGACATGATCTGCATAATAATGTCATCGCCGGGCTGGGCGTCGCGATGGCCGGGGATAATTAGCCAGTGAGGAACACACGAGGCCGGAATATTGCCGGGGATGGCTGACGAGCGACTTAGGGCGGCACGGAGGAGAACTGATGGCCCGGCAAAAACGCGCAGAAGTCTGCGGCAGAATTCAACAACCATCTGTAACAATCTCACAAAATCTGGCACTGCTGTCGAAATTGGATTGGGAACATTCCGAATATGAGGCAGCAGTCAACGAGAGAAATGCATCAAATAAATCAAATGTCCACCGTTCACTGGATTTAATATGTAATTTGGAAAGCCTAGACTGAAATTGATTGGCACATTTATCATCCTAAGAGCTAGAATATACTCCCTAGTCCTTAGATATTAAAACTCTTTGCATTTCAGCATTTGAAACAGCGAGCGAAACAGCGGCGGGGAACAAATCGTAGACAGGTTCTTAAATTTGGTAGCAAGGCTATTTTTTTTTTTTTTTGGCTAGGCTAGGCTATTTTTCACAATTCAAAGTCCAAACCCTCGGGCCGCAGCGCTCCTCGAAAAGCGCTGCCCTCGATATCATTGGTTACCGCCTTTCCAGTGAGTAAGCTTGCTACAAGCTTCACTTTCCTCTTCACTCCCTGTCTCCATGCCATTGTCTATGTGTCAGGCTGAGTCATAAGCGGTATCACATCTGGCTCCACTCTTCACAGCTGCCGTTGTCTCCGCCGCCAGAGCACAGTTGTGCGGAGAATAGACAGCTCTCACCTCCCCTGTCCCCTCGCGCCCTTCACCCGTCCTCCCTCCTCCCCACAGCAGAGCTCTCCCTCCCGGCACCCACCTGGAACCTCCCCTGGATGACCTCCAGCTGCTGTTTGGTGACCTTCTGGTAGCGTTTAGTGAGGTCATTGGGCTGCTTGGCGTTGAACGGATAGGAGATACACCGCAGCACGAACACGTACAGCTGGAGTCGCTTCTTACGCTCCTCCTCCTCACGCTCCTGCTTATCCTGAAACAGGAGTGCACGGTCAGGGTCAGTAACCGGGAGCACGTCAGCAGCGCTCGGAAGCTGCCAAGTGTGTTACGTAATATGAATACCAACAAGGTCAGCAGAAAAATAACAGATTCGACTGAGCTGCACGTTCATTTGTCAAAACATTACCGGGTGCTCATGTAAAACTGAATTAGGGAACTAGAATTTCAAAAAGTCGCCCGCTCCGTAAGAGTTGTCGACACTGTCATTTTTTGCGTCTCGATGAGCACTTAACTTGACCCAAACTCATCTGACTAGCAGGACCTTCGGATTAATCTCATAAGGAAAGCTGCATATCTTTTATTCCTATAATCATTCTTGCCTTTTAGTTCGCTTCACATAAGGTCACAGGGAACGCTCGTGGTCGTAGTGGAATAATGGCGAGACCGTGACCAATGGCACCATCAGGGGCTCTCCGTCAGTCTCGCTGCGACCAATCGCCGACTCCCCACCACCTGCACCGGTCGACCGGGGTGGGGAGAGGAGGAGCCCCCCCCTCCCCCCCGCGGCAGTTCCGCGTCCGTGTTCCAATTTCGCCATATTGTCCGAGGCGGTAGCGGCCTCGTCTCGTGGACGCGCCGGGGCCCCCAATCACCGGCAGTACCTAGCACGGAGCCGAACTGGCGGCTCCCGCGGGGGTTTCACAGCCGGCTGAGTAACGCCGTATGATTTATACGGTTGAACTACGACGATATGACAGCTGATATGTGGGACATCGGTGTTCCAGACCGACTCGAAATAAGGCTCCGCGGTAGTGCTGGAAATATGGGATTCCAGACAGTCGGTGTCCGGAAATAGCTACGGGCTAGACGACATGCGACATATTTCAGGACTCTAATAAAAGATAAGGTAATTGCCATGGAAATAAAAAGGATAGTACCTAAACAACATTTGGATTTATCCCTTGAGCGCAAACCGCAATCGAATCAAGGATATATAAGATGCAATACGTGGATTGTGGTCACATATAGTGTTCGGTGGAAAACATCCTCGCCTTTTTATTGCGTTCCATGACGTCACGCCCTCAGCCCTGCCTTTTTGTGATCGCTGACGTCATCGTGTAGCCAACAACGCCATCGACCGGTAACACACCCTCACCTTGGCGCTTCTGTGGCGGTTTTCTCATGAGATCGTTCTGGGTGACGGTCTTATCACCTACAAATCGGTTTGGTTAGTTTTCTCATCTGGAGATTGGTTTGGTGAGTCTCCTCATCGAAAGATCGGTTTGGTAACGAGTTTCTCACCTAGAGATCGGTTCGGTGACGTTTTTCTCACCTAGAAATCAGTTCGGTGACGGTTTTCTCACCTGGATCCCTGTCCCGTAACGGCTTTCTCACCAGGAGATCGTGCTCGGTGACGGTGTTCTCACCTGAAGATCGTGTTCGGTGACGGTTTTCTCACCTGGAGATCGTGTTCGGTGACGGTTTTCTCACCTGGATATTGTGTTTGGTGACTGTTTTCTCACCTGGATCCCTATCTTGTGACGGTGTTCTCACCTGGAGATCGTGTTCGGTGATGGTTTTCTCACCTGGAGATCGTGTTCGGTGACGGTTTTCTCACCTGGATCCCTTTCCCGTAACGGCTTTCTCACCAGGAGATCGTGTTCGGTGACGGCTTTCTCACCTGGAGATCGTGTTCGGTGACGGTTTTCTCGCTGGCCTGGGACGGTGACGGCGATGTCGGCCTGCCAGGGATGCTGTTGTGTCGGCTCATACTGCCGCTGCCCAGGGTACTGTTGCCGACACTCAGTGTGTCGGCCGAGATACCGCTGGCAGGAGAGATGGACCTGGCGGCAAGGGAGATGACACAGCTGAGATACTTCCAGTGAGGAAGATGGGCACGGGGACGTGGGAGATTGCATAGTTGTAGGTGATCTGTGCGAATGTTCATCAATTATCTTATCGAATGCGCAATAATAACTGCGTCACTGGATCAGAGACTACCTACTTCCGTCGCCACAGGTGTTAAAAGATGTATATTAGATCCTCTTCCCTATTCTTTTTCGTTCTGATAACGTTGTTCTTTTGTCGTAATTCCTAACACCCTGGGGGAGGAAGCAGCGAGACAGAAAAGTCGCCAGAAGGTCCGTCCGTCCGGCCATGTTCGTCGGGGCCGACGCGTCTGCCCCGCCCGGTCGGCGGCAACTTCCGGCTCTAACGACCTCCGCTTCCGCCCGAGAGCACCGGCACACAAACGGTCGACGACATCCCCCCCCCCCCGAGCGGCACTGTTTGCCGACCGACCGCCCGCAGCCCGGGGGAGGGCGCAGCAGACTGAATTTCCGTCGCGTGCCGTGCGCGCTGCAGTGGAGGCGACAAGCGAAAACCGGTTCAACAATGTACTGCTGACTCCTGCTGAGTGGTGGAAAAATGACGGCATAGCGAAAACACCATACCGTGGCCAGGGAACGAAGCAGCATCAAAAGCGATGGCTCGGCGGCACGAGATACGCCGCTGGAGAAGGAGACTGCGCGGTGAGTAGTGCGGGACAGTATACCAGTGCAGGTCTGAAGGCATTGCGGCACAGTCTACCACTCAAGGTATTTCGACCGGGCGGAAGGGACGAGCCACGGCGATAGGATTTTTCCCCTGAAAATGAGGAAAACTGAAGAGAGAAGAGCCGAGACACACTGATAGACTTAAAATCCTTAAATTTGCCTCATAACTTTGGAAAGCCCGCAAAGACCCTGTAACAATGCCTAAATATATCGCAAGAAGCTGATCAATCTTCAGAGAAAGATAAATCAGCTTAACTCAAAGATTTGTTCTCTTAGCTTTACTGAAGTAGATTGAAACAACATATATTGAGTTCCTCCACTATTTATATGTTTCAACTAAATGCTAAACGTAAATTATTCCAACAAATATTGATGAAAACACAGTCACAGAATGGCGCATTAAGTCGCTTGGTTGCTCGGTTGCTGCCAATGTAGTGGGCAGTGGCTAATAAATCGTTTAAACTTAATTATTGCAATTTGAATTATTAGTCCATCCACGTTGTTAGACATTATGAGCACCAAAACAGCGTGACACATAAATTACAAAAATAGATTACAATTTTTAACGACCTATACGAGCTTGCAGTTTAGTATCGTAATTTCGCACACCGGTCAATAGCGCCGTGCTGAACCACGGCCCGAGTATAGGGCGTCTGAAGTTCGTAATAACGCTAGCGGTGGTCGGTTCACTGCCGAGCCGTCGTAAAGCGCGGCACCGACGCACACACGACACCGATTTGGGCCGGTGACGGCAGTGGCGGTGTGCGAGCACCAGCTCATTACCGAAACCAGCGCGGGGAGCTGTCACACAAGAGAAATACGCACAACGCTAATGAAACACTCACGGAGCTCAGCTTGCAGGTTGTTCCCAAAACGCCCAGCCGGTGCTCCAAACGGGTTATCGTACTGAACGCCCCATAGACACCCCGTAGCGCATGGATTATGTATCACCTCACCCCGTCAATGTCAGACAAAAGGACGGGCTTCGGCGCCAGCCATGACGAACGCAGTGGGCCAATATGGGACATATTGGACGACTGGCGCGGATCGATGGCAAGTAGCAACAGCGCTGCCTGGCAGCGACAAATGGGCTTTGCATAGTGTGAGGTTTAAAATATTTTATGGAGTCGATCAAGACTGTAACGTTTTACCAGGCGCCACTTTTTTATTTTAGTTAAAAATTGCCATCGAACTCTCTAAAGATCACAGCATACATTTAACAGAACGCGCGTAACTGGCAACACGCACACCCCTTTGAGTACTCCCACTGTCCGCTCGGTCTGCCCTCAGTGGACGGTGGTCCGCTCAGTCTGCCCGCAGTGGGCGGTGGTCCCTAGGACCGTGGTCCCCCCGGTCCGCCCGCAGTGGGCTGTGGTCCGCTCGGTCCGCCCGCAGGGGGCGGTGTGTCTAGGGTGGTGTTGTAACGCTCGGTCCGCCCGCAGGGGGCTGTGGTCCGCTCAGTCTGCCCGCAGACTGAGGTGGTCCCTCGGACCGTGGTCCCCCCGGTCCGCCCGCAGGGGGCGGTGTGTGTCGTGCGGTGCTGCGCCGCTCTCTCCTGGGACCGCAGTACCAGATCGATGACACTCGGCATGGCGCATTAGCCATATTATGACTGCCGGCGGCGAAAAGAACGCAAGAAAATCCATAAATAGCCGCGCCGACGGCGCAGAATCGTCCCGCCATTAGTGGTCGACGCTATTGCCGGCCACCCGGTTAAGTAGATATCGAGTGCGGACTGCGGGGGCTCCTCAGGGGAGGGGAGATGTGGTCGCTCATGAACCAGGCATTGCTATCATCTTCTCGTCCAACACCGTCACGACCAAGCACCTGCCGATCTATAATCCTAACTCCTTTTAACTCTGTTTCATCCTGAGCTTAGAGCTCCTAGCGTTGCATTCTTGTCGGGTGTCTGCCGATCCTTGACTGCCGACCTATAAGGCCCTGCCCAATGTCCTGCAGTGCCGTCAGCGCGGGAGGGGACCGTCGCGCGGCGTCTGGGACGGCGCCGGTGGCGGTGACGGCTCGCGCGCCGTCGTGACGGCTGTTGGCCGCCGGAAGGGCGTCTTTGTTTGGTGCGGCCGTGCCGGTGCGCCGCCGTCCGACGGTTAATCATACCGATCAATATCCGAGCGGCGAGCCACGGCCGCCGGCCGGGCTGGCCGTCCGCCCCCGCCCCCGCCCCCGCCCCGGCCCCGGGCCGTCACCCACGGTGTTTGCCACTGACCTCAGCCCTTGCCGCAGCCAACAGCAGTGTGAGTGGGGCACCAGGGACGGCGGATAGAGGTCAAAGGGAGCATGAAGAGCATCGCACAGGTCCATCCATAAAGCATGTATCAGAGCATGACTTCTGTAATGCTGAATACCTACACACAGCCCTATACCAAGAAAGCAAGGCCCATTACATTGACCTCGGTATACAGAGGTCTATGATCAGAGGCATTATCAATAACCAATCAATTTACTGGTAATAAAATTCTGTATGTTGGCCAGTGTGTCACTTTAAGTGCCCACACAGTGGCAATTTGTGCTATGTGTTCACACATTTTGAGCCTTCAGAAGCGAGCTTAAAACCAAGAGGCCAGACCCAGGCCCCTGGGATCGGCTGTGGAGTAGACACCGCATATGGATAGATAGCGGCTACGGTCGCCATTCGTAAAACATTTTGCATTTCCATTATCAAGCATTTGATCCTTTAATCCTAGGTCATAGTTACGTCAGTAATCAATAGATTGCAATGATGCGTGAGAAAGCTTGTGACGCACTTGTTTCTCAGACAAAGAAGATGCTAAATGTTCAGTGTTTCAATGACGTCATGCGGATCAAAACTCGGTCCGTTCGCATGCCTGCATTTGAGTCACCGGAGTCGCTCCCACAGTCTTTGCATGCAACCATTCAGTTGGTTGGGAGGATCAGTCGGTAAGAGCAGTTACAGTCAGTGCCTGCCAAGAGGTGGGAGCTGCAGCACCTGCATCACGCGAGGCTCTGATACATGCTTTATGAAAGTCTCGTTTTCACTTATCACAATCGGCCTGTAATTTCTGTAATAATGTGTTATAACAATGCGCTTTTCACGGAACGAGCCCAAACCGCAATAGGGTCCCTGTATCTTTCCCTGGAGACACTTGAGCAGGATTTAAACGGATCGCGACCTTCTAAGTAGAAACATAAGCGATCATGCTACCTCCAAGCAAATGCTCTATTAGTTTGAGTAATCCAATGGAGGCCTTGTCACATACATCACCGATGCGTGACCAATATATGTGCCAGACTATCCATGTCCAGCGTCGGGTCGCCATGGCGTGTTGGACGTGGCGACCTCACCGGTAGCCGGAACCGACCGGTCGCCGCCGGGGCCGGGGTCGGCGCCACTAATTAATTAGCGCGGCCGGCCGGCAGACACGCCGCCACCGGCGTGCACCAATTCGCCGCCACTGGCCGAACCAGGGTCGGCCGACAAACAGCTTATTCATGAGTCGGTCCGGTGTAGGAGGGGGCGGACGGGCCAGGGGCTGTGACCCGGAGCGATCGATTGGACACGCCGCGACCCAGCGGCCCACCGGCGCTGACCCGCTCTGTTGAGACACACTGCTGACTTGCTCACAGGAAGATGAGATGGATTGCTCTCCCGGAGGCTGATGTATAAGCAGGGAGCAGACACTCGTCCCAGTGCCATTACAGCCACAAGCGCTGACGTGGAGGAAGGGACCAGATCGCGGGGGCGGATATACTCCGGGAAGGAGGGCCCTCGGGGAATGATGGATGAGTCGCTGTAAATGGACGGGCGAATGTTGTCCAAATGATGACAGATTCCTAGGGCTTCTAGATCACCCGCCCTGTATTTTGATGAATATTGATGACGCTGCTAAGCAGTGATGATATGATATACGGGTGGAATGATTGGATAGTGAACAAATGCAGGTCGGAGCGTTCCATTCCATCTCGAAGAACATTAATTCATTACGTCTTATTTCCGGGGACAGCTCATCTAGATTTACCATAAGTCTTTTATTTAAAAAATGTTTACGTGTATCATATTATTTAAAAAAATCAAGGTTTGTGCTGTGCCCAATCTTCAAGATTAAATTTAGGAAAGTTGAGAGCTGAATCAGCTAAATTGTCGTTCCTCTAAGGTTGATAAGGCTCCTCTCTGCAGCTGATCAATGGATGTTTGTTTGTTTAAGTCCCTCCTGAAGTCTGACCTATGCCGATTTTACAGAATGAAGTTTGCTTTTTTGGCCAGTCCCTTCGTCTTGACAACTCTCACAACTGTCTGAGCCTAATCTCGCGGGTGATTTCTACAGCGCCTGATGACCGGATCCTGCGTGAGGGCAGCCTTTTGCGGCTGCTGATCCCTCAATTGTGGCTGATCTTTGGCCTCGTCCCGGGGCAGCCGGCTGGCCCTGCCCGGGTCTTTATTGAGCTGTGGCCGACACGTCGGAATACAGAGCGGGCCGCTCTCGCAGCACGCTCGGCATAGTAACTCACGCCCGGCCCCGGTTGGCCACGATAACCCAGAAACATGATAACTCGGAGTCGGCCGGCAGCCAAGCGCGCTAACTCGGGATGAAAAGTGCCGCGATGGGCTAGGGTGGAGGCAGAATTTGTGATTTATCAGTCGAATTTGATACCAGAAAGCCCGCGCGAAAGCAGCATAAAAAGTAGCAAGTGGTACTGGTCAGGAAATAGGAATCCGTCAGATGCCTCCGGAATCCAGAATGTGCTCGTGCATTTTGCAAGGTGCAAATTATGTCAGGACACTCTGAATGTCGCAACGGTTATTAAGGTAAGCAATAATAAAATACCAAAATGTTCAAAGTCCAAACCATTCAAAAACGTTTCCTTTAACTGAATAAGTTTCTTGAGACTGGACAGTTTATGAAAGCAGCAACGCAAAGTACCTGTGTCCATGGGAAACAGGACCCCCACCGGCCGCCATTGGGCGCCGTCACTGACCTGGCGCCCCGACTCAGCGAGTTGGTGTTGGGGGTGACCTCGAGCGCCGAGGCGGCCGTGGCCACCATGGGCTTCTCCTGCTCCTCCTCCTCCTCCTCTTCCTCCTCCGAGGAGCTGGGGTCGATCATCCTGCGGCGACACGGTCAGCTAGGTCAGCGACTCCCGCGGTAAGCGCGAGTCAGCGCAGTCAGCAAGGTCCCCTGATGAGTCACAGTCAGCAGCGTAGATCAGTCAGGGTGCCCAATACGTGCCTAGATCCCGACGCGACACATAACAGAAGAGTCTCCTGGTTATTGATGGTCAATAGGTCGACATATACCTTGTGAGGACAGTGATAATCTACATAAATATCAGTAGCTAAATGTATGCCTGTTAGTATGAGAGCTAGCTCATGTGTAACCAATCTGAATCACCAGAACAGGCTATCAAGCCATTCATGCCCCTATATTTAGCACCTTTGACGCAAATGCCTGAGAAACGCTGTTGTTTTGGTGACGCAAAATATAAGTACATTGAGCATTGATAAAACAAGAGATGGACCATGTGAGCGGAGCTGGTAGGGCTTCTGACTGCTGCGGTTACGGGGAACGGCTCCGGGTCAGAAGAGTTCGCCATGGTTGCCACAGGTCACTGGGGATTACACCGAGCCCAGAGGCCGACTGCCAAATGGTTCAAATACGCAGAGTACGCCTTTATGACAGGCTGGTCCCAACTTTACAGAGGTCCTGGTAGCCATCCAATCATTTCATATTAGCAATAGGCATGCATATGAATGAACGGCCAGCAAACCTTAGAAATGTCACGCGAGGACCATTACCAGTGAAAAATGAAGTTGTAAGGTGTCACTGACTAAAAACGGGAGCAGAAAAACCACTGACCGTTGACGTAAATCATGCCAAAATTCTTTAACTTCATTCGGTCATTCTAAAAATATTGCCGTCTAAGTTGATTTTGCACCAAAGCTGGTTCTACGTAAAACCAACGATTTATCAAAAGCTTGATAAGTCTTTTTCAAGGCCTCCTACTACATTCCATTAATTAATTTGCAATGGTCATAATAGCCGTTTCCACGACGGCCATCTGGTACACATTTGGTGCACACCTGGCACAGATTAGGTGCAGATTTGGTCAAATCAGGTTCAGTCAGTGCCTCTTAGCAGCTATCAGCTAGGGTTGCACTAACTGCTTATATGCCTGCTTTATCATATTATCAGAGAGCATCATCGATCAAAAAACTGATCATCGATCGATCAAAATAAATTCATAAAATGAAGATATTTGCTGTAAAAGAAATTAGATGCAGATTTGGTCAAACCTTTGACAAAAACCCAGTTTTCTGCTTAGCCAACGGTTCATCCAAGATTGAAGCGCCAAACTTTGAAAAGAGTTCAGCAGCGCTGCCGTCTAAAAAAGCTTTCCACGTCAGCGAACTCTACTGATCCCAGTGGTGGGGTTATAACCCACAGCTGATAACATCGCCTGTGGAGCGGAAAACAGCCATCTTGTGGCTGAAACTCGATGGCCAGCGCTGGTTTAGTGTGGTAGAAAAGTGCAGTGGAACTGCAAGTAGGCGTGTGTGTTCATTGGTGACGCAGATTATTTGGGCACTCTATTACGTGGACGCGACAGATCACCCAAATGAATACAGGGCAGGATTTTCGCCTAAGTTGCCGAGGTCCTGCCGTCACTAGCTGAACACGCTCTATGTTGTGTCTTTAAACTGAGCTTCCGGGTTCATATAGATATCAGCAAAGGTGTTCTCAAGCTTCTGGGTAAGGCTGCGCAATACACACCACGTTTGGATAGGTAGCGGCTGCGGTGGCAATTCGCATAGCAGTTTGCATCTCCACTATTACCGCAGTGAATGCAGTACTGAAAGTTTGCTGTGGAAGCCTTATTTGTGACCGCGCCAGCCTCGCCGCCTGGTAGTGTACTAGCATCCAGACGAGATTATTCCTCGTAAGGCGACGGCGGCGGTTGTAAGCGTGCCGTCTGTTGAATGAAGGTCGACGCTGGCCCGGCTCTCTGCCCGGCTTCTAACCGACAGGAGAAGCCCCGGCACCGCTGCCGGCGCCTCGCCGCCGCGCCGCACTGTGGCCACGGCAGGCGCGCCCGCTCGTCCGGCCGTGCTCGGCGCAGTCGTCCACGGACACACTCAGTCGTCGGCCGTCGCGCCGTCTATTTCCGTGGTCGGGCTGACTTGATTTGTTCCAGCGTCGCCGCTCGATATCAGGTCGATGCAGCCGTCCGCCGCCGCCGCTCCGCTGGGGAGGACACGCGCCTGCGAAAACAGCCCGCCCGCCGGCTGGCCGGCCAGCCGTGCCCGGCGGACGAGGCAGGTAACGACAGCGGTCGGCGGCTCTTCGACAGGCGCGACGGTGGTCTGGGGACGGCCCCTAACCCGGAGTTCCTGGAAGCCAGCTCTGAATCAGCCCGTCAGCACCGACCCCGCCTGACGACGGCACATCGGCCGCACCAAGGAGCGTGGCCCGGCTCTCAATCGAGCGTCAAGCAGCCACTTCGGAGGCTTCTTCTCCGACCGATGGCGTGTCAGAGTGGCCGTCGTGGAATTTGATTTAAAATTCGCATCGACTGCAGATCATGATTCAAAGGCTCTAGCTGGCGATTGATTGGGCTGACTCAGCGTGCGTTCGACTGGAGCGCAGCGTCACTAAGCTCAGAGCGGATGGCACGGAGTCAGCCGGAGTCAGCAGGAAACTCTGCGCCCGCTCCCTCACGACATTCCCTCAGTAACACGCCGCTGTCCTGCCTCGGCTCGGCTGGTGCCATCCGCGCCGACCCTGACCCAGAGCCGGTCGGCGGCACCAACGTCAGAGCGTTCTGTTCCCAGAAGAGCGTCTATTCCGCGGCGATATTGCCCGCCGTTATTGACGACACTCGGTGCTGTCATATAGTCCTGCCGGCTGCCATATAGCCGGCCGCCGGCGACAAACAAAGCACCCCGTTTCTCAAACAGAAGGCGGCGACGCGCCCCGCCGCGGTCGTGCTGGCCCGGATTGCATACTGGGGAGATATTGGCCAGGAAAGGAATGTGGCCGGCACACATGGGACGGTCAAAATGCTTCACAAAGGTTCCACGCCACACCCTGATCGGGATAGGTAGGGGTTTAAATGTGTTTTCAAAGTTAATAAATGTAGGTAGCCATCCCAAATGTATGGTAAATGCTTTAAGGAGTTAATATCCAAACTTTTGATACTTCTTATTCGGATAAATGATGAGGCATATTGAGCAATAACGAGGATTAAAACGACAGAAATAAATGGAAATAATTTGTCACAGTGAATTTTAAACTTTAAAGGAACCCTCCCAGTGCATAGTAAATTAACCATAACGGTACAGCTTCTTGGGGTTTCCTCCTTATAAGAAATGAGAGTTGGAGGCAAAGAATGCCAAGGACACCAACCTCCATCAAAAAGAGTTCAAAGAGGGGCTTACCCTGCTGTATGCGACCGCACAGTGCTTCCGCATCCCTTTAATGACAGACTTGCACGGAGTTCCCCGGTGTGACGGCGAAAGCCTCGGCACAGCACAACAAGCTCTGTTCAACTGTCATGTTTGACCTCGCAGCCCGTTCGCTGGATGTTAGCTTGTGCCACCTTGCAGCCGTACTCAAGGTCACCAAATATATCGGCAACTACGAACTTCAGAACTCCGTGTGGACGTAGCTTTCAGGGCGATTGTGGACGGAATGTAGCACAGACCAAGAACAAGTGCAGTGTATCCGCGATTCCGTAGCCGGCAATGTTCGTCGAATTATGTCCAGTAATTAACACTTAACTTCAACTCACAGTACCATTTATAACGATGGATGAAGTGCCAGCTTTATAACTCTATGCAAACTTTTGTGTGATGAATGAATGAGATAAGGTATAAAGGTACTTGACAGTAGAGAGCAGATAAAAGGTAGTTGTATAATTGCACTCTCTTAAAGCAGTTCAGACCAAAAGTACTTGATTAAACCGATAAGAATTGACGTTTGACGCTCCAACAACACGTTCTCGCGCATTACGGATCCATAGTTCACATCCGGTACGGCTATTCGCGAATTAGAGGCAGGTAATGTGCTTATGTGCTTATGACTGACACATACACTACCGATTTTGATCTGCTCACCACGAAAAAAGAGACGAAAATGTCAGTGACTCGACATTTGGTAATTAATCAATATATGCAACGTTCAGGTAGAGAGGGAGGAATGGCGCCGAAAAACACATTTGCTGATTAAGGTGAACTTTTTCCAGCATCGAATGCGGTAAGCAATGCTTTTAGGCAACAACTTTATAGTTACAGACATACATTTGATCAGAAGCTGCTGTTTTGTGGTTGAGTTGTGAATGCAGCGTGGACTGACGCCAAATGCTCAGCTTAGGATTAAAAGCAGCTGGTTTGGAGGAGGCTAACCAGTTACCCCACAGGTATAAAGTTGTGGGAAACGAAGACCGTATGAGGTAGATATTTATTTTTTCCTTCAGACGTTATGTTGAACATTAAACAGGTCTGCTATTTACCCATGTACCCTTTGACTGTCATTCTCCACATCCGGTACAAGGGCATAGGTAAGGTCATATCTTCTTACATTCTATGTGAGCAATGTATTTGTTGACTTTTCAGCCCGTATCGGTAGCCACGCAGCGGCACGCTACGGTATCAGGTCCACCGATAACCCAGAGAGGTGCAAGTTCAGCTCCGCCCAGCCTCGCCTGGCGAGGCCAACACCCACCATCCCCACCCATAGAGACACAGGCGGGCTCAGCCGGGCGGTATACAGGTGCGGCGCGCCTGTCCGTCACCGACGGACCGTCCCACACCTGATCGAACCGCGGGCGCACCGGGCGGCGGGCGACCCCTCCGGGCTCCGTCCCTCACCTGGCTGCGGTGTGGGGTCGGCCGGCTCGCTGGCCGCTCTGCTCCTCCTCCTGCACGGACGGACGGCTCTGTCACACTGACCACCACTGGGACGGAGCTCACACGGCCGGCGCGGCGGTGGGACGCAGCGGGGCCCCGCCGGCTGGCTGCGCGTCTCGCTGACTGGCGCGGCCGCGTCGGCACCGCCGCGCGCGCCGTCGACCCAAGATGGCCGACCGACGCGCCGATCGATGGCCGCCGAGCGCCGGCCTTGGCGGCACCGAGATAAGCGGAGCTGGGCTGCGAATGGGGGTGGCGCTGAGCTGGGCTGAGGCTAAGGCTAAACTGGGGCTGAGATGGGCGTGGGTGGCGCAGGGGCTAAGGCTCGGATCGGCTGCAGCTCTAGCTAGGGCTAGGCCGAACTGGGGCTGGGCTGAGCTGGGACTGAGGCAGGGCTGAGCTGGGACTGAGACAGGGCTGAGCTGGGACTGAGGCAGGGCTGAGCTGGGGGTTGCGCAGGGGCAGGGGCGGACTGAACTTGGAGCATGGGATTGAACTGAGCTGGGACTGGGCTGAGCGGGGGTGCCCTTGGCTGAGGTTGACTATACTCGTATGGGGGGGGGGGGGCTACGGCTATGGTTTTGGCCGATAATATGTAGTCTGGTAGGGCTGTAAAAGGGCTGAGTTAGGGCGGAAATAGGGCCGAACTTAGTTAAGACTCAGCAAGAGCTGGGGTTGGTTTGGTTCGAGGCTAAAGCAGGGCGAGGTGGCTGAGTTCAGCTTCATTAGCTTGACTTGTTATCGATGCACCAGGGACAATATTGTCGGGACTCGGCTTTGGAATGAACCGCGGATCTGTGGATGCTTTCGCTATGCTAAGCTGTAGCTGGGGTTGTAATGGACTAGACTTGGCTGGGGTCGCCTGGCTGTTTTAGGGGCTGGGGTTGAGTGCTGAAAATACTTCCACGTGAAGGCGATACCCTAAATGTTGGCAAAATGGCACCCTCCCCTCCCCTCTCCAATGAATATCCGTATTCGGGTTCGAATGTTTCAAATTATGTTGCGTACGCAATTACTCGTTTTGTAATTGTGTGCCTCGTTGTACGGAACGTATAGGGCACATCAGCAGTTCATTATTCGCAAACATGCATTTTCACCACCACCATTGGTAACTAGAACTAACTTGTATTCAAACAGAACCGCTTATTGCACATTAGCGTGAACGTGTGTCGTATTTTCCCGGAACCATGCATTTCTGAGAAGCGACGAAAGGCTCGAAGAATTCCATGTAAGTACGTGAAAAATCACGCATTTGACGTTGAATTTGCAAACCGCATCCGCCCGGAGCGGGTAGATAAGGCTGACCGATGCCGCTCTTTCGGTCGGGTCAGACGGTTCACACGGCCACTGCATGGCCAGGACTGATTGATGGTCCAATACTCATCACCCGAGTTCACACTATGGGCCGCATTTATAGTTCCCGGCCCGGCCGGCCGCCGAGAGGAGCGCGCTCCCAGTCACTCAGTATTTGCATGATTAGATGGTGGTTCTTATGCATCGGATGATATGGCCAGCACTGAACGGGGAAAGCCGAGTTGTTTGCAAAAATCAGCTATATAGAGGACGGGTGATTCAATTGCATTATTTACATACCTCCTGTTGAGATATAGGCTAAAATAAAACGCCCGGTCAGCCGTACGCATAGGTAGTGGTACATACCCAGGTATGAACATTTATGCTAGGTGATAAGCATTCGAGCGTACGAGGCAGTTTTCTTTGTGATTCCGAAATTAATTTGATCTAATGGGCATATGCCACTTAGCTTCACATCTCTTAATTAATGACTTGTAGATATCAGCGCCTTCCCGTTTCAATCGTAACAATGCCAAGTCAAGCTGTGACCCGTCCACGGGCGTCACTGCCCAGCTCGGTATTGGCGACGCCGTCCGGTCCGAACGAGCAAACCTCTGTCACCGATTTCAGGATGACAGGAGGCGACAGACGGGAGTGGCTACCGTGGCCAGCGCTGGCCCGACGTCACTGGACAGTGTCCGCCGGCCGCGACAGTCAACGGTGACTGGCGACAGTCGGTGGGTTACCCAACAGTCGGCGACAGTGACCGACAATCGACGGCAGTCAGTGATGGTCTGCAACGGTCACTAATTTTGCCGATGGTCACGGGGTCGCAGCAGTCAATATGCGACGTGATATGTGAAGCGGTGCATTGCAGTGTGCAGGTAACGATTGATTTGAGATATTCGGGTACCTACGCGAAAGGCCAGAGCTAAATAAGAAGTGTACTTCTTATTCAATGTGCATATACATTATACACTACACAATGCATGCACTTACGTTCAATCACAATGCACCAATGTAAACATTGTTTTGAGTCGCATCTTGCTGACATGGCAACATAGTTTGAGCTCTTCAAGCGTTATCTAGAATTAATTCAAATATTGGTTAGGTGTCACACTGGCCTCGCCAACCAGCTATTTCAAACATCGGTCATGCACCGGCTTCCAGCAGCTATACCTATTGCAGTTGGAAAGTGACGGCCATCCCTTCGACCAACCAGCTATTTCAAACATCGGTCATGCACCGGCTTCCAGCAGCTATACCTATTGCAGTTGGAAAGTGACGGCCATCCCTTCGACCAAGCTCTCGATTAGTGATAGCCAGCCGATTGCCCAGGCTTTCTCGGAGCAAAAGGTCGATGGTGTAAGTCATAAGGTGTCGAAGATGTGGTCCTGCAGCGGTTCCAGTCCAGTCCATCCAGTGTAACTATGCATGTAAGTTATTCCCCATTCCTTTCATACGCTCATAAACCTCTGTTTGAGAGATAGTCCAGTAAACTTTTGGTCCATCTATAGACAAAAGCAAATTTGAAGTACAAATGTTCCATTGAAGAAAGGAGTATTAAACCCGCAGCTAAGCAATCGGAGAGAGGGAGAGAGAGAGAGAGAGAGAGAGAGAGAGAGAGAGAGAGAGAGAGAGAGAGAGAGAGAGAGAGAGAGAGAGAGAGAGAGAGAGAGAGAGAGAGAGAGAGAGATCCCAACATTCACCGAATGCGAAATGTGAATGCCTGAGCAATGCTCCTGCAAAGCGAAACATTGTATAGAGTATCTGGAAAGATCAATCAGGGAACGCTGCCGGCTTATCAGACATCTGCAAATAACGCATTCAATCAGGGAACGACAGCAAGCCAATCCTATGACGATGCGAATGAGCTATTTCACTCAAACATGCGAGGGGAAATGTGTTTCCAGGAGAGGAGCACATCACGTCGAGATTATCCTGTCTGAGCCGCATATGGTGTAGATTAATTTCCTCTACGACTCCGAGTGCAGATAAAATAAAAACAAAATTTCATATACAGCAAGACAGCAGCAAAAAGGCGAGAGCTAGATACATGTTTCGAGTTTCGATATTACATTCATGTGAGACATCAGCAAACAGATATTTGTTGGACTTTGTCAATGGCTGGATCCAAAAACGTCAATGCCGATAAATCAGTTTTATAAAAGCTAGCTTACAAATATGTTGCCGTGTGCGAGTAGCGTTGAAATTAGGCTGGCAACGAGGACAAGCAGCCGGAAAGACCGGGAAGGTTGGCTCTGCGACTGTTACAACTCACAACAGCCGCGAAACCAGCAACACACACCAGCAGACAGGAAGGCAACAGCACCAGCAGAGCAGTAGTAGGAGCAGCAGCAGTCACAGCCCGCAGGTACAGATGCAGCAGCAGCGGGGAGAGAGCAGGTAACCTTGGAAGGAGCCAGCAGCAGCAGCAGAAGCAGCGGGAGCAGTCCGTAGGCACTAGGCAGGAAGGCAGCAGCAGCAGCAACGAACGGAAGGCATGCGACCAACAGGCAGGTAGGCAGCACCATCACCATCTTTGGCCGCCGCGGCGCCCACCGCTGCCCGAGTCCTCGCCGGCCCGGCCTTGGTGCGGCTGTTATCGGCCGCCGTCCGGCTGATCGCGGCTTAGGAAGACGAAGGAGCGTGGCTCCGTGGCGGCTGATAGCACACAATGACCGGATTTGCACCGACCAACACCGCCAGCCGACCTTATTCTGGAAACGGTGTCCGCGCCGCCACATGCCATCGCGCGCCTGGGGAGACGATAAGTCGCGTCCTCCCACACAACACAGAGCGGCGGCATCCAGCACTGATGCGCAGACCTGCCGCTTTCGCGTCTGGGGTGTCCCGAGGGCGGTCGCCGGCCGGTCCGGCCGGGTCCCGGTCGTCTGATTACCATTGGGGACGTCTGTAGGCGTGTCACGTCATGTCTATCCGAGCAGGGGCCGCTGATCGCTCCCCGGACGGGCGATGTGCCCGGCGCTGAGAATTACAACAGACAAACTCGATGTCGGACACAATAGACGGAGGAGCGTCCTAGCTCGAATGCTGGGTCAGTCTCGATGGGCGGCATGCCTTGCCGTCAGCAATAAGTTGATAAATTGTCCTGCTTGTTTTCTGATATTCCAAGGTCACCACACAATTTGGAGAATTGTTCGAAAACAATGAAATATTGCAGGGACCGACTACCCAAACTAAAGGAGGCAGTTCGCATGTATTATTTGATCCCAAGCATCAATGGTAAAATACAAATCCATCCAGCGTGTTATGCAACCACTACGCAAGTTAGAAATAATGTTGTATGCTTTCATACTCGACAAACGAAGTGCAATGCTTCACCAAAGAACGAGACGTCTCCCCCAATCATTAAAAGTTCCGGTCAGCCTGTATATACCACGACGATTCCATCTATAACTGTCATGACCGTCTGTCGTCACAGAGGAGCCCGATGGAGGCCCGCCCACGCGCCCACTTCCGCGGCCTCTCTCGAGGGCTGTTACGAGAATTGCTCGGGCGTCTCCGCAGCGCAGGTCGAGCCGAGCAGACAAAGCAGCGCGCCGCCGAGAAGCACCTTCCGGGCGCCGCTAAAAGAGGCCCGCTGCCGGCCAAGGTGGGCGATGCTATTTCGCGCTGAGAGATGTTCGAATAGCTGCTGCGCTGCATTCAGTCATGCGTGTCATTTGTGGTGCGGTGGTCGCATCTTGTGGAATGCAATTAAATAAAGTGCGATTATGCATCCACTATCCATAGGAATTTAAAAGCCATCACCATTTAACTCATTTAACCATCACCAGCTAACTCTTTACCAGTTGCGAGGTGGTGACTGAGGTGACCGTCAGCCAGGACGGGGAAATGTGATGGAAAGGATGGGTGCGACCTGTGTGAGCTATAGTCCAATCATCGGGCATATATATGAACCATGGGCGAGTGCATGGTAACCTAAGCTATCGGATAGCGTTCGAACAGATCAGTGTTGTGTGTACCTACGTGAAACGAGCAGACGTGAAGAGAGAAAGCGAACTTCTCCTGAAAAGCGGAACAAATGTATCTCACCAATGACTTACTTATGTAGCGCGCTTGCCTTGAGAAACACTGTCCGTTTCATCTCACTTTAATTGTATAGCAGCCAACAGCTGGCACAGACGCACCCCCTCCCGATATCACCAGAGCACGGCCGTGCCCCCTCCCGATATCAACCGAGCACGGCCGTGCCCCCTCCCGCTAGCATGCCCGCTACCGATGGAGCACCGGAGCGCCACCTCCCGACACCAGTGGGGGTGCTGGAGCGCCACCTCCCGCTACTGATACCGTGCAGTGGCGCTCTCTGGTGGAATGTTGGCTAGCCAATGTAGATGTAGTATACCTAGGGACCGAGGCGACGGTCACTCATAACCGGCCATTTCTGCGTCTCACTTTGGAGCACATCTTCGTCTCAAGCCCACGCTGATTGAACTTCACTACGTCCCCGAGATAAATTTGTTCGCCCAAGAAATTGAAATGATCTCATGACGTCCACACGTTTAAAGGTTTCTTTTAGAGCGTTTCGCATTTCCTGTTCTTCCTTCGCTTGTTGACTTCCTGTACTTACTTTACCCTAATCCTAGCCTGACCTGTTCCTTCCTATGTGCCCTGTCCCGCCTTGAGCTCTCCCCTCTCACCCGTCTTGTGCTTTGCCCTGTACCCTACCCCGCCCTTTCGCCTGTCTTGTGCTCTGCCCTAGCCAAAACGCCACAGACCAAACTTACCGAACACCCATACACCCCATTCTACCTCATCCACGCCTCATCTATACCTCGCTTTGCCTTACACCTACTATCGTGTCGTGACCTTTATACCTACAGGCGGTGCGGATATTTGCCCTGTCCCTGTATTCCTCGATCTACCTATCTGTTTCTATCCATGTCATTTCCCATGCACCCACTGATCTGCACTGCCCTTCCCACTATAGCCTTACCTGACCTGCTTCCACGCAGCATTGATAATAAGTGCAAGATAAGTTGGGCTACGTTGGCATGTTGCGCGTATGTACTCCGTATTAACTATTCTCCTTGCGCTACGCAATAGTACGTTGCGCTCTGTCAGAGGATCGCTATCTTTGTACGTTATTCTACAATTAACTACCACGCAAACGAGGATGTTGCCGAGGGTGGCGCTAATGCAGACAACACAAAAACGTCTGGCGTCAGTTTTTGACCGGGACAGAGGCGCCTGGAGGTGGTATGAACCGGACACAGCCGGCTATAGCCGGCTACATCTGCCCCCGTCCGGCTACTGCCCGACAGAGAAGGTCGCGCAGTGTTGGGGCCGCCTGCACTGGAGCGATAAACACCGACCTGGGGCCTCCCTGAAGGGGATGTTGTGAGCTCCAGAACCCCTAACATTGCTGAACCCTGGGATCTGGGGTACGCGGGTGGCTTGGGGTGCACTGAGTACACGTTTCAAAAGCACATTTTTATGCCGTTTTCGGGGTACGTATCAATGAGAACAGACAGCTTCACGAGGACTTTAAATGCAGCAATCGGTGAGTTGCAACCGAGCCTCAGTATTTCCTCTCTGTAATGCTTTAGCGACGTAGTAGCAGGTCTTACAAGTGTGGTGACTGGTGATACATGAAAAGTGTCTTTACCATTATGAGAACGCAATGTGCTGATGCTTGGTGTTCCTATCATTTCGACAGTTCCCAGCAAGCAATTTCAAAAATTTGACACTTATGATGTTCTTGCTGGGAACTGTCAATTTATTTTTGCCTCGTTCCATAAGCTCATAAAATTGCACCTTCCACTGAAACATCAGCCCATAAAACCGTCGAGGAAAACAAAAGAGTCAAAATAAATAAAAAGGGAAAGATCAGTAAATGTAACAAGGATTCGGCGAAAATCCAATAAATTTAATGGCATGAAAATACCTACCGTGGATCGCGACGATCAATGATCAACGCCAGAAAACAGCGCAGATAAAGCATAGAAAAACTGCGCACCTTTGCGGTAAAGCTTCTCATCGGTTCTTCTATTGGACACAATATTCAACCCCGGGTTTACTTCATACTAACGAGTTTCGGTATGTGCGAATGATGTCACTCGGTTTCGCCTACTTACATCGTAAAGTGTGCCAAGAACGAACAGTACAAAAATGCGACTACATAGGGCGACAGGGTTTCAAACTGTCAACACCATTATCAGAAGCCCACATGATACTGAGCTGTTCGAGCACAGCGAGAGCTATCGGCATATCTCATGAAGGATCAGTGCCTTGCCTTCTACACGACGATTGACCATCTCGTAGTCAGGAATATCTTTCTTTCGGTTTTTCGCCTCTTTCTGCAGAAATAAGGTTACGCACTAGGCGGGCTTCATTGTGCACACTAAAACTTATAATATCGTCATTGGATATTGGTATGTTTCTGCGTCATAGTTAGTTATTGCTTCTGGATAACTGCCGATATATTTGGAAACTATTTCAACAAACTTTTAAGCGGTGCCCGAAACAAACGCGCCAGGGTAACAATGTCGCATGTAACGATTTTATATAATGAATTTCGAAAGATAAGACCATAAACAACTCGTGCGTCGATCTGAACTCAGTGCGCTGGTCGCATACGTCTCTTCTGCGCGACCTTACAGCGCAAGTGTCAAGCACGGGGGTGTGTCTGTGTGTCGAGAGCAGCACCGTGATTGGTCCGTGAATACGGCGCTCGTGCAGCTATATACGTAGCGCACCAGTGCCCCCCGACCAGAGGCCCATTTTGAGCGGACGGCGCAACGAGTTTTGGACAGAAATGCAGTGACGATTGCCGCAGTAGCACCACAGCAGAGCAGCAGCAACAGCCGAAGGAAAAACAACAGGACAGATAGTGTTAGAAGTTGCGGCAGCAGCAGTACAACACTGCATTAGTAGCTGCGGCAGCAGAAAGCATTATAAGCAGCAGCAGCAGCAGCAGCAGCAGCAGCAGTCATGGTTCTCGAGCTCGACCAGTACTCTGACGGGAAGGCGGCGCGTCTGTGGAATCTGTACATCGGAGATCAGTCGGAGCGCACCAGACACTACAAGCAGTTTCTGAAGAGGGAGCTGAACGCCCACAGCTGCGACACCGTGCTCGATGTCGCCTGCGGCACCGGGTGAGAGGGAAACGGGTGAGGGCGGCCACTGGTGAGAGGGAAACGGGTGAGGGCGGCCACTGGGTGAGAGGGGGCATCGTGGGGGAAAAGACAGCAAATTAGAGCGAGCGCTAGCTTAGGGGCAACAGGAAAACTGACCGCTGCAGAAGGAATGCTGGATGAGAAAATGAAACAATAAGGGGAGGCGAAACGTGTGACTTATGTAGGCATCCAGTAAGAGATTGAGCTCGGAGCTCTATAGGAAATAATCATAAATTTGAGCGTTTTTTTTTACCGCACGACAGCATTATTTGCATAACAAAGGCCAAAATTAATAAATAATTTCGACGACATAAAAGTACAATTTTGTCTTTCATGAAGTTTTTCTTGCAAAAAGCGTGCCGGACCCATTCGAGGTCACAAAAAGAAACCAAAAATAGCATAGTAGCTTATTCGCTCCAAGTATATCGTAATATCAGGAGTCTTTTCGACTGACGGTAGCGGCGTTCCCGGCAGGATCGATTCTGTTATGCTGATCGAGGAGGGATTCAGCGTTACCTCGTGCGACTTTTCCGACAAAATGCTCAAATGCGCCTGGAACACCCGCTGGAACCGACGCAAAGAGCCCGCATTCGACAACTGGGGTACGTGCTGCTGGCATTGCAAACCTTGCATTAATCCACAACCAAGAGTGACGTGTAGGATGCAGTGCATGGATTTCGTCTTAGCTCTGGAACTTTCAATATTGAACTGAAAAGTCTGAACAAACATCTTACGTGTTGGTTTTCTCTGTCTTTTTCATTGAGGTTTAGGTATATGTAGATATAAGACTATCTCATTTATTATTTCATTGCGTCCCCCCCCCCCATTCAGTCACCTGCCCCGTCTATCCTACTGCATTGAGGGTTGCGACGCTTCTCTCCCTTCTACCTTGCTAGCAATCGTTATCGTTTTCCCTAGGCCACTCGTGTAGTGTTGTGAAGTTTGGTCAGCGTTGCCCACGCGTCAATACATCTTACGCGTATGCTCACATCATCTCATGTCCCGCAGACATCTACGAGGCCAACTGGCTGACGCTGACCAGTGACCTAGACACGGACAGACAATACGACGCCGTCATCTGTCTGGGAAACTCGTTCGCCCACCTGCCCGACCTCACCGGCAATCAGGATAGTCACCGGTGAGTGGGATAAGGGGTACGCTGGTTGTTGATTATCCGGAGCAATTTTTTGGTAAGACTAAAAATAAATTGGAGCGGTCACGAAAGCAAAGGTCTAATCTAATCGGGTTACAGACCTAGATGGCTTCGCTAGCGAAGATATTGTGTTGTAATTTCGCGTAAATTTAAAATATTCTTCCAGCATGTTCTTAACTTCACAGAGCCGAAGCTACCCAACTTTTTTATAAGCTCCCCAATTTCATCGATAGCATACCTAGCACAGTCTGGCGTCTGTGGTAGTCGGCTTGAGCATCTGATGCCACTTATGTTCTGCTGTACTTCGGGGCTCTCCTGATTGCCAACTACCACTGTTCTCTTTCCCAGACTCGCCCTGCGGAACTTTGCCACTATGGTGAAGCCCGGTGGAATTCTTCTGATCGACCATCGGAACTACGACTACATCCTCGACAACGGTCGGGCTCCGAGCAAGAACATCTACTACAATGTGAGCAGAACGTGACGTCACTTTGTATAGCAATTTCCCCTCAGCTCGATCACTTATATAAGTTTGCTCGAGTTATGAGTTGTGTAGATAAACTGGCAACCGGTTGCGACTTTGTAGGAATTCATTGCCGCTTTCCAGGAGCCTTGCTCATTGCCGATCGTGTTTTAGCGACGTCACGGGACTAGCCCATACATCCATCCATCTGTTGTAGTAATCTTGCATCCATCCATCTGTCTACAGAGTCAGTACGTGTCCGACATCAACACGTCGGTGGTGTACCAGGACGGGTCTCCCTCCAAGGTGATCCTCGACTACGTCATGCGCGATCCCACCGCGTCCACCGACAGCACCCTCTGGCTGGACAACCAGCCGCCGCCAGCGCCGAGCAGAACGGCCATCTCCACCAACCAGAAGGACAAGTAAGGCTTTGGAGTAACCACAGATAGCAGTAGCACTACTGCTATCTGTGGATTAATATATAATATAGTATCGGATGATGTTCGTCTTTGCTATCGTTATTGATGATTGTCGGCACTAACATGCTTCAGCGAGCTGATGACTATGTGCCTCTGTTTGTTTTATTAACGTCGACGACTTCTATGACTCATTGCATGGGTTTGTTTATGCAGTAGGCTTCTATGAGATGTTTAACGTTGGCTTTGTACCAATAACTGATACCATAGCTGATATGACGATTGAGCCCGAGATAAGACGCGGTTCGGCGCCTATAGCTAAACTAGCCTTGCATAAGGCGTGGTTTGGTGTCTCGTTAACCACACTCCTCTGGTCTCCATTTCAGCGAGTTCACGTTGACCTACTACCCGCACCGGGTGGCCAGTTTCCGCGCTCTGCTGGAGGAGGCGTTTGACCACCGCGCCACCGTCACCACCCTGGGCGACTTCCAGCCTCTGGAGCAGGTCCAGGACCCGGCCTTCTACATACATGTCGTGCACAAGTCGGAGGACAGCCCGCAGCCGAACGGCGACCATCCGGAGGAAGCCTGGTCGTCGGTATCTAGCTCCGAGGAGTAGCTGATACAGTGTCCCAGACGACTTTAGAATCATAAGAGACCACGGGCACCAGAGGACGGGTCGATCTCCAGAGGAGTGGTCGTAATTATTTTATGTATATAGATGTGGTGTTATTTTGTGCGTGAGATACTACTGTATCAGTGGATATACGCGTATGTAATTATTTGTAGCAAAGGTCCAGCTCTAGGACCCATTCCTTCACATTCCTCGATAGGGAGTCAGACTCGACGGGCTAGGATATTGGGAAAGGTCTGGCTGTGTCAGATTTTCTGTTAGGGACTGATGCATCGATTGACTTTCATTACTATGAGTATGGTGGCAGTAACTTTTCTGGTGATGTGAATCGCACTATCTCACTTTGAACATGCGCTGTCTTGTGTGATTGGAGTGGTCTCCCGTATTGTTCAGTTGTGCCTGTGGACGTGATATTTCTTCTCCCGGAGATCGGGAAATGGGTTTATTGTTGATATTTATAACTAATGAGTACACTTTGTATATTTATTATGTGTGTAAATAGATCACCAAGATCGTTCTTAACCCGGCAGTTGCTGGGGTATTTCGCCACCCACCGTTTGCTGGGGGGGGGGGGCGTTAAACGCCCCCAGCCGATAACTCGAAAACCAATAGGCGCAGCGAAACGCACGAGGCGGCAAACGAAAGAACGCGACGAGACGCTTCAGATGAGTACTTTTTTAAAGTTGACTTTTGAGGTCACAGGTCGGGTCAAGGTCAGGTCAAACACCTGAAATCGGGCTTTCAGTAGCATGGACTTTAGGACTTCGCAATGGGCGCCTCTCGTCATAAACTCTGTCAAAACGGTGCACAATCCATCATATAAGGCCTACAAGAGTGTCAGCTCCATATATGGGTCAGTCAAGCATAGGTCAGGCCGTCAGGGTCAAGGTCAGGTCAACCGGGTAGGCACATACCCCCGAAAATCAAAACTGATATTCGCAGCCTGTGACACATGTTTTATGGGTAATTTGGGGCCAAGAACACGATGATGACATTCATTTTATCATATGTGTACGTGTTTGGCTCAAAAAGTTCAATTTCAGAAATGCATGCATCATGGTCGTGAAGTAGTCACGAGAAATAGCCAAGATTCAGTTCAAGATTTTGGAAAATGCCGAACGATAATCAATAATCGAAGATAGCCATTTGATTGTGCATGGTACTAGCAGTCCAATGGCGTTTACGGCATGTCTGTATGTCTATTATGTGATTTTATATGATTTTTTGAACATATCCCGTTTCTGGTCGAAAACTCAGAAATCATGACGTCACTAAAACCTCGATATCTCAAAAATTTTCCGACCGATTTTTTTTTTTGAAACTTTGTCACAATAAACTTCAATCAATTCCCTACAGGCACCCAAAATTTGGCGCGCCGTTTTTGGCCCGGCGAAAAAGTGGGGGCGTTTAACGCCCCCCCCCCCCCCCCAGCAACTCGCGGGAGAGTGTGCAGTCGTTGCAGAATATTAGAGTACCTCTATAAATACCAAGTTATGCAGTAAGACGTACATACATAGAAAGATCAATGGAAAAGCCGAACCAGGAAATAAATGAAACGCGCCTGACGCTCGCCTGATATTCTTGCATTGTCTATAAAGGTAATAAAATGATGCGATATAATAAACCACAACATGACTTTTAGAACTTGAAGTTGTAGAAAGAGGTCGATGTAGATAAGAGTGACCACACACCATCCGTCGTCTTAACTTACTGGACTAAGCGCAGTCAACGCGGGACAGCTCGCAGCCTATGAAAGGAGCCTGGAGAACACTTAAACTTAAGTCTGTCCCAGACTTACGGAAACTGAGTAAGACAAAAAAGAAATTATTACCGTGTATTTATTTGATAACGGTGGATTGACATTCTCCCGCCACGCCTATGCGGCGTCTCCGTTGGGCGGCCGTCCGGCTCCGGCCGTTCAGGGGCAGCCGGCCGGCTTGGTGCCCTGGTACTCGCGGCAGACGACCGTCAGCAGGTCGCTGATGATCTCGTTCTGCGGGTGCTGGCTGCCGTTGACCTCGACGGTGGGCACGCCGCGCAGAGGCGGGTCCGCGGCGTCGGTGATGTCGCGCAGACGGAGCATCTCGGCGTCCATGGCCGGGTCGACGGCGCAGCTCTCCAGCGCCGCGCCGTCCAGTCCCGTCTGGGCCGCGCACCCCTGCGTGTCCTGGCCGTTTGACTCCATGCACACGATGAAGTCGATGGCGACCGAGTTGGAGGGGGCCATCTTGAGCGCGCAGGCGTGTACCACGTTGAAGTAGCACTCCTGCTCGCCGTGCTGGCAGCTGATGGTGACGGAGCCGTCCGGCTGGTCGACGGAGCGCGCGTTGCCCCAGGGCAGGAAGGTCACGTCCATGATCTCGGGCACCGCCTGCCAGGCCTCGCTGAACGAGCCGACGATGAAGTCGCGGCAGTACGGACACAGCGACTCGTAGTAGAGGGTCACCGAGACCGGGTCAGCGGCCACAGCCGGCGAGGCCAGCACCGACAGCAGCAGTAGAGCGGCGGGAACCATGGTGGCGACGACTGGGAGAGCCGTGACACTGAGGGCCGACGGCCTCACACCGCGCTTTAAGCCCCGAGGTTCACGGCGGACAGGCGCCACTCCCTGACAGACACGTGTGAACGAAGTGCGCGCTGGCAGCTGACGGCAGGTCACAATGGCACAGATACTGGCGACACACGGGACCGGACAGCCATCCTAACTGCGTCACTGCTATAACTACAGGACACTTCGCTCTGAAAAAGACACTGAACAATGACACCGGTACTCAATGTCACTACTTGTGTGCGTGAATGAATGTGAGTGTTTGCGAGTGCAGTTCGTAAACACATCGGCGGGGACCGCGGGGGAGTGGGTGCGCACTGCGTATGAGAGGAATGTTTGGCGGATGTGATATTTGAAGTAACTATGCAATATGCATGTATGAGTGACGGGAGCGGTGCCTCGATATATGCATGCAGTGCTTTTGCATCGCCCTGCATATCCTGTTAATGAACCTGTTTTGGAGCAATACATGATGGTGGTGATGATAAGTTACCTATGTACACCAGTGTGGAAAAGCGTGCTGTTAAAGAAGGAATACCGGTCAGCGCGGACCACTAATGTGGTGTCCACCAACATAATATTTGTTACATAATTTACATGATTATGTTAATTATGTAATTGAGATGTGTTTTGGTTTCCCAGTTAAAAGGACCCTCCTACCTTCAAAAAACTTTATAAATTGACATAAAAGTTATGTACCTTGATTCAAAAAGAGCGAAAAATGAATGGCTACCTAATTCCACCAACAAATGTTCACCGTTTTTATTATTTTACACTTCATTTTTTTTTTTTTGGCGACCTCCGCTGTTCCTATGACGCCATTTGGAAGCAAAAATTTAGTAATTTAGAAGTGCGACAGATGTTGCGCGCAAGGGGTTACATACTACCATAGCAAAGCAACCATTGTCTTAAACCAAGGTTCTAGTATAAGATTTAAAAATAGCTAAATCTGCACTGACATCACAAAGTCTAAGAGGTATTCAAATGCATAAGCCCCTTAGAATCCGAGAACTGCAAACTTTAAAATTAAGTATCTCCGAATTAAAGCACATCTCGATGTTGTGGGCGCCCGAACCGGTAATTGCAGGTCAGGGACCCCAAGTTGGCTATCTCAAATCAGAACTGGAACATTTTAAAATTGAGCACAAGCTATAGTAGTTACCCCATATGAAACATTAATTGGACGAGTGAAAGGTGATGTGCTTAATCGACATGTACCTACTTGCAAAATTAAGGTTCCACGACTGAATGATCAAGCACCTTCCTCAACTCAAAGTAAGCGAACACTACGATACTTTTAACGGGGCGTAGGCAGTAGGTTATAATACATTAATTTTCAAAGGCGAAAAAATGCGTTAGGTTTCAAAGCAGCTAACGAATTAACATTACCCAAGTTTGGCATCTTAGAAGCCAGTACTTTGACCAATATCTTTGTTGTAAGTTCGACGTGCGGACGCGAGATTACTAGTTGTTTGCCCAGGTGCCGTTTCCTTTGTGAGTGTATGAGAACGACCGGATGCGGTCGCCAGTCGGTGCTGTGGGTGGTGCCAGCTGCCACGTGCCTTGTGCAAATTGTGCCCGTCATGCCGAACTTGAAGTCACATTTTGTGTCGTTCATTCGCCCATGACTGTTCAGATTTCCCGGTTCCACAAGCTGAGAGTAGAGTGTTTTACGTCTTGCATAAAAACATGACCGTGTGGCGCTACTATTACAAAGATAGAAGAAATACTTTAACATATAGTTCCATGCACTAGCGTTTACAATAAAGAGTGCTATACCATAATGACTCTTCGAAACATATCTTCTTTACAAGCCAAATTTTAAAACAGCATCAATATCTGTCTACTCTGCTGACGCAAAAAAAAAACAATGATACCATTTAATTTTCGAAACTCATTTTTCCACTGAACCTATGATAATAAGGCCCGCCTAAGTGTACTATCACGTTCATTCTACAACAGTATCCGATGCATTACTTCCCTTTTCTCAGTGCAAAATAAGCAGTAGGTTATCGCAAATACTTCGTGTGAGAAGTATGTACTGCTTTGCAGTTGGCAGAACCGTATAGATATTGATGGTTAAGCTCCCATTATTGTGCTTAGACACTTCACTTTCACATACAGTCATGAATGAGGCACGAATGCCAATACAGTCACGAATGCCCATGCGAGCTTTATTGGCTATCTGCATTTACGTCAGTTTGATCCATTCACAATTCGTTAAAGTAATGGTCCACAATTTAACATAATCCTAAACGGCTAAACCCATCATAGTATACAACATAAACACAGCCATTTAACGTTAATATCACAAGCAGTTGGGGAAAAGTACGAGCCGGTCAATGCTTCGCGGAGCAGCTAGTCCAGCATCCAGGGCTCGCGCTTCACCTTGACACAGTCGTCGCCGTAGTTGGGTAGTGGGTCGCGCTGGCAGGTCTTGTCCACCATGTAGGCGGCCTGGAACTCGCGAGCGCCGAAGAGCAGGCAGCGCTTCGGGCCGATCAGGTCCTGCGAGGACTCGCCGTTCATGTCGCCGCAGATGCCGCACAAGCGGTTGCGGAGGAACATGGGCTCCAGCATCAGCTTGACGGCTGGACCGACGATGCGGAGGCGCGCCTGGTACTGGGGCAGCTCCACTTCCAGTAGCTCTCCGGACCACTTCAGGATGCGCGCCTCGGGAATCTTGTCGGCAGTCTCGCTCTCGATGACGACCAGCTCGCCGACAGGTAGCCGATGTCCGTCGTCGTTGTTGACGCGCATGATGTACTCGACCCCGGAGGGCGTGAGTTCAATGATGCGGGACTTTGTGATAATACGGACAGCACGACGAGATGCAATCTCCTTGAGCAGCACCGCCAGATTCGTGTTCTCTGAGCAGTCACTGGCGATAAGATGCCAGCATGAGCTGTTCATCTTGACTGGTAGGACAACGTTGTCAAAGGTTTTGATGAAACGCTCGTCAATCACGCACTTGTGCATATTGTTGCCCATCATTTTACGATTGCGAGTCTGCCAGCTGTCTTCGTATGCATTGATGCCTTCGTTGCTATTCAGGAACGGCAAAAATGGGAGAGAAAGTCCAAAGTTATTGCGGTTGTTGTAAACACCATTAGTTTTCCAGTTCAAAGTCTCCGTGGGACGAATTCCCTTGACACGGAACTCCTCGTCAGAAGTATCAACAAGCAACGCCCAGCTCTTACTGTACGGCTCGAATTCGAGTTCTACTCGCCGCTGGTTATTGTTACTCAGCTTCGATGGCTTCGTCGCACTGGAGAGATGAGACAGCCGGATCGAGTTCATCAGGAAACCGGAGAGGGCATCAGCCCATGACGAGATACCATTCTTCAAGTCATTGATCTTTTTAACAGCCTGACCACCGAGAAGGGCAGTGGAAGACTGCGGCTTGTCTATGTTTGTGTTCATGTCAAGATTCACACGAACTCGATTAAGGCGAGATGCCTTGATCTTGGCCATCTCACAGATTGGAGCATTCTCAAATCCCTTGTTTCGCATGTCCGTGCACTCGCGAATGACACGATTTGTGGCAGCCCAGGTCTTGTATATATCCGACTGGTGCAGGAACCCTTCAATCGTAGCAAGGCGAGACTTTGTGTCATTGACTCCGATGCTTGCTGTTAGCTCGAAAGGAGCGTGCATATTGGAAGCCAGCATTTCATTGAGATTCTGGTGCACACGCGGCCAAGCAACGTGTCCGTTAACAATCAGCTCAAGGCTCGTGGGCATCTCTGAGGTCGGCGTCATGATCCAGCGGGCATCCACCTTCTTGTTCAAGCGGCTGGCGTCTTCCACCATCAGCAACTCCATGATCATACGACGTTCCTTGAGGCCCATTGTGCTGATAACAGCAGTATAGCCAACGGCATCTCCCGTTTGAATGTCTCGCAGCACACGCCGCGAGCGCTCCATTACCTCACGGCGAGCCTCCTTCTCAGCAGCGGCGTGCTTCTGACCGCGGTACTGCATCTTGTCTCCCAGCCACTCGATGCGCTCCTCTGGCTCGGCATCTGGGTCATTTATCGTCTTCAGGGTGTGGTGACGACCAAAGGTATCCTTGGCAAATGAGATGATCATTTGCTGGGTAGAAGCTTCAGCTGTGTTTAGATGTAAGCTGATAAGGTTGTAGCGCATCGTTGGTAGAAGCGTGAACATGTTACCTAGCTTGCTGGTGGCGCTCATCTTGCGGAACAGGTCGTACATACTGCTGAAGTCGTCTTCGCTCTTGTAAGTTACGGCCATGTCGATGCCAAACAGCTCCTTTCCGAACCGACTTTCCAGGGTCGTCGTTGTGCGGGCATGCATCGGCTTCGTGTCGGGATGTTGGAGCATGGTATCAGTTGTCTGAGTCAGAGCCCAAGCGGATGTGAACGGTTTGGTCTCCATCCGGACGAGATTGATATCGTTAGGAGCGTTGATCAGCCTTGCCAATATCTCAACACGTTTGCTTTGGGACTCCCATCGAGTGCTCGCGGTGATCGGGAAGCTCATCATGATGTTGTGGCTGACACCAGCAGACATCATTCTCATCGAGAAGGGATTCAAAGCTCCAACCAGTGACATCATTTTCACGTTGATGAATGGCTGCAGCTGTTTGGCGTTGAGAGTAAACAATCGATTGCCGTCAGCGAACTTCATGGTCTCCAAGTCGATATCACCGCGAATGGATAGAACGGCTGGCGCACTTCGCATGATCATCATAGGTACTCCGATATCAGTAGGAAGTCCGATCACGTGATTCAACAGATTCATGATCTTTTGGAAGTTTCTAAACTCGTATTTGGTGAGAGTTTCATCATCACGGAGCTTCTTGAGATGATGTTGGATAGCTCCTTGGTCGAAAGTCAGAACTCGTTCCAAAGAACCCATAATATTCGCATGGAGCCAAACAAGCAATGGTTCGTTTTTTTCGCTTTACAAGCTTCAACAGTTTCTTTATGTCTGCCACTTCGCTGAGAGCAGCCTGCAAAGGTTCAGATCCTTTGTTGAAACGACTGATGCTCGTCTGGCTATCAGGATTCATTATGAAGTCAATTACGTTTTGAAGTCCGATAAATTCGGTGCTCATCTGGAGCGGGTAGAAAATCATGCTGTTGTAGCTTCTCACGGTACCGCGATACGTGAAGGACGAAATGTCAAAAGGAGAGCTGTTGACAACAGTGAACAGCTCGGCGGTAGCCATCATCAGATCAATTTGGCTGCGAACAAACGTGTTGCGACTGTAGAAGTCACTGTGAATCATCGGCCGAGTCAGACGATACACCACCCGGGCCTTCTCGCGAATCTCGAACAGCCACGGAACGTTGAGGTCAGTCATGTTAGCCGCCTCCTCCAGGAAACTTGAGATAAAGTTGGAAATCTGCTGATCACTTTCCACCCAGGTATATATAGCCAAAGTCTGGTAAGTAGCCAGTGGCGCATTGAGCACCATCAAAACGGTAGTAGCTGCAATGCGCACCTCATAGAACTCGTTCCGATTGAACACGATCGGCTTGACAACTTCCTCCACAAGGACAGGATTGATCTCACGGAACTTCATCATAGCGTATATGGCAGCATCCCGCACGTGAACGTCCTCAGTCGTCTTGCTGGCAACCTCCGCCAATGTCATCAGTACGGTAGGATGCTGTAAAATTGACAAGGCTTTTAGCGCGACCATCTTCTCTCGAACACTTGCATCTTGATTCAGACGGCTAGTAAACAACGGAATCCATTTCTTTACAAGCTGCGGCGTTTCAGGGTTGCAGAATTTTTTGAACATGGTGATGGGGAAAGCGTTGCTAGCGGTGGCTGGTCGAATGCAAGCGACGTTAATGACAGTAGCGAGCGCCAGCATGGTGTTCTGTCGAAGATGTTCGTCGTTTTCTGCGATGCCGTTTTGAAGCATATTGAACAGCTCTTGTACGATTTCAACCGTAGGCGTCTTAATGTGCATTGGAATGAACATTACGAGAGTTGCGGCTTCAGCACCAACCACTTCTTTGCTTTCAACCCATTTCTTCACCATCATTATGCTGGGATTGGTGCCTGTCATGGCAATTGCCTCACGAAACAGCTTCTTCATCACATCGATGTTACGGTTCTGAATGGTCGAAATCTGCCCATAGATCTCATCCATGTCTGACAGTGACATTACGTTTAGGAGCGACGTCAGAGCATTCAACATACCAGGCATGTCTCGCACGTTCGGATCCGGGACCTGATCGAAGCTGAAGTCAAGGGCGACCAAAACCTCCAGCACTTGTTGCTTCAGATCTTGAGCAGGAATCTTCTTCAGAATTTCATGCAGAGGCACGATCGGCCTGGCCATGTTGAACGCCGGGGCATCGGTCAAAGTCGGCTTGGCCATGAACTGGCTTTCTGGTGTGGTGCTCTCGCGAGTCGTCACACTCCAGCTGATAAGTTTCAGGCTGCACGGCTGCGGAGGCTCGGGGAACGGCGATGTGATTGGCCTGCTGTCTTCTAGGAGCATCTTCTGATAGGTGTTGGCCATCAACTGCTCGGCCACCCACTGGAACGGATACACCATATGAATGCTGGATGCATCTACTGCCTCAATCTCGAATGCCTTGCGGTCGCCGCGAACCAGGTAGCGGACCGTCGTGGTGGTATTGGCCTGAGTGTTGAAGCAGTCGGTGACGTTCTCGCGGCAGGAGGCAGGTGCCGGGCTCATGTGCTGGAAGATGGGGCGACGCTTGCACTTGTCATGGAAGACGTTCTTGGTGATGACAAAGCGCGGCTTTTTTAGCTCTTTTGGGACGCTCTGCTCCGTCCAGAGCCAATCGCCGTACACGCTGACATCAAATGTTTTGATGGTCTCCAGCTGGATCTGCGGCTCCAGGATGGGCGTCACCGTGTAGCCCGTGAGGCAGAGGCCGCCGATCGACTGCTCCTCGGCCTCGAAGTACAGCGGCTGCTTGGTGTCCTCAAAGAATTTGCCAGACGGAAACTCTGCGATGACCTCTTTGTTCATGTTCATCTGCCAGCGCTGTACGATCGCCTTCTTCATGTTAACAATGTTCTCCGGCTCTTCGCCACCCACAATCAGCTCAGTGATCATACCTTTCTCGATTTTGACGATGAAGGGCAGCTCCAGCAGCTGCCGCAGCTCGGTGACCGGCTGCCAGCTGAGCGGGATCGTCTGGTGCCAGGGCAGCTCCACCTGTTTGTTTCGCAGCTCGCCCACGTCGGTGTCCTGCAGCTTGAACTGGAGCACGTTCGGGGTGGTCGCCTGCACGAGCAGCGAGCCGCGCAGGCCCATTGCCGAGTACTGTGCGGAGATCTCCGGGATGCCCGTCAGCACCTTCGCCACGAACCGGTACTGGTACTGGGTGCCCGGCTTGAAGCCATAGTTGTTGGCCGAGGCTGCCGCCGCTGTGGAAAAAGAAAGGTCATGAGTCGTCACTCTTTCAGATAAGCTACGCTGAATTATTCAACATGAGTTCACCACAAAGCGTAATAATAATTATTTCGCCTATACTAACATAGCATATTCACATGAAAACTAGGCATAAAAGATGATAAAAGCCTTTTCAAATAAACCATTCACAAAAATGAAGCGAAAGACAATGGTTTTACACCGATAACGTGGAATATTATAATGGGAAAGCCATAAATGAAAAGGCAGACAGTAATTGCAAGCAACATTCATCGAAAACATAAAAACATTTTTCTTCATTACGAGAATCTTAATGTGCGAATGGTTGACAAGTACGCAATGACTGAAAATAAACGGTCAATAATATTGCTGTTAATTCAATCACCAGGAACATCAGATTCAGTGATCAGGAATAATGATTTGTTTTACTCGATGTCCATGAATATCTAACGAATTCAACAAAACATAAATTGATATGAAACATTGACACTTATAGGTGAAATACCTAAATTCAACAGAAACACATGAAATAAGGTACAGATATTTAGGAAAACATTCCACAAACAAAACATAGTCAGCAAACATGATTAAACAGAATCGGGGAAGTAATGCAGCCATCATAAATGTGAAAGATACAATCAAAATGTAAAGGTCCTCACAAGTCCCACAGAGGGGGGAGAGAAAGGGAGAAAGAGGGGTAGAGAAAGAGGGAGAGAGAAAGAAAAAAAGGAAGGAAGAAAGAAAAAAGAAAGAAAGAAAGAAACAAAGAAAGAGATAGACATAGAGAGAGAGAGAGAGAGAGACAGAGAGAGAGAGAGAGAGAAAGAGAGAGAGAGAGAGAGAGAGAGAGGGAGAGAGAGACAGAGAGAGAGAGAGAGAAAGAGAGTGAGAGACAGAGAGAGAGAGAGAGAGAGAGAGAGAGAGAGAGAGAGAGAGAGAGAGAGAGAGAGAGAGAGAGAGAGAGAGAGAGAGAGAGGAGTAGAAGAAACAGAGGTAGAAACAGCGTCACTTACCAGCGAGCAGCAGCAGGGCGGCAGTGGCCTTCATGACCGGAGCGTCGTTCAAACACACACAACCGGGTGACGACTAACCGGCTTATATCCACCGCTGTGTAGGTATACAACGCCGCACACTGGAGCACAAAAACGCCCACCCTCCGCCCGTGTTCACTGTCCGGTCAGAACGGTCACCGTCCGTCTCCCGGAGACAGACGCACCGGTTACCAACGCCCTTGGTGTCACTGCCTGGCCTGTGCCGTCAGCCATGCGAAGCCACACTTTTTGTAAGACACTTGAGGCGTCTAAATGTTAGTTTACTTCAGCTGATGACAAGTGATCTTCGGAACGTGGGTCTTTGGTGGTGGTACGGTAGGTACTGCATGAGCATGCAGTACAGCCCTCAGCAGACTGCGTGGTAGGTATTCTTTTTCCGACAAAACTGATAATAATTCAAAAGTCATGTTATCAGTCGGTCGAAACTCACTGCAAATAGATGCGCCATGCTCCACTCCTTCGATAGGGCCTATCAATAAACAAAGCATACGCCTTGTGTGGCAATAAAATGTAAAAGTTCGTTTTGGGGACAAATATAAACTTTTGGGTTTTGTTGCCAAACTGGATGGAAAATGCATACGGTGATAATGCCAATCTAAGCTGCGGAGTCTCGCGCATCTTGCTGCTACGATTTCCGGTTGGCCGATATCATAGCATTCGCGTTATTCTTGTTTTTGTCGAAAAAAGAATACCTACCACGCAGTCTGCAGAGGGCTGTACCTTCGTTACCAAGGGAGCTGTAGCCTTTGATGATGAAGAAGCTCACGTTTACATGGTACAAAGCTGAAAACCAATTTTTGACACCACATAAATTAAAGTAGCTTTTAGATGCACGACTTTTGTTGAAATTTTTAAGGTCAACTAGATTTCGTGCAATATAATGACGTGCATGCGTTGCTGTGTCATCTGAATGGTTTGATCGCTGATGCGATTTGGGATTTGTGAATACAACTAAATGTATTTATTCTACATAAATATTCTGATCAATCCATAGACCATTGATGGCCATGAGTTGACCTCCGTTTCCCTCCCCGATGTCTGGACTGGCGTGTTCATTCCACCTCGACCTCTACCCGCCAACTTTATACTGTATTATGTCCAACGTTGTGTCACCACACCCTCAGATCAGCAATCAACTGTCGGCGGACTATCTGATTGTCCCTCCCCCCCCCCCCATCCCGTGCTCAAGGTTGTGAGTTACCGCTTCCTAGCCTCACTACACCAACGAAAGCGTATGACTAGTTCCGCCAGTAGTACCTACATAAATGAACGCGAAAATGCATAAACAAACTACATATTTATCACATACACAGACCTATTAACGTTTTACATGCAAAATGAATGAATGCATGCATGCACGTTGCATATATGTAACCCGTTTCTGTCCATCAAAGCATAAGTAGCTGCCGAGAAGATGCCGTCCTCGACGCTGTTAATTTTACTGACCAGAGAATAGATGCTGGTGATGTTGCGTCACTAACGTCGATAGATCTGAGCAAGGCTTTTGACAGCGTCGACCACTCGATACTTTTAACAAAGTTTGGGTGGTACGGCATCTCCCCAAGGTGGTTCAGCAGCTACCTTTCCGGCCGCTCCCAACTCGTCCGCGGAGGAATTCCTCAGCGGCCCTCCCTCTCTCACATGGAGTCCCTCAGGGCTCCATTATCGGCCCAATCCTCTTCCTTATCTTTGTCAACGACCTATGCTGTTTCCTACCCCATGATCATCTCCTATCCTACGCGGATGATACCCAAATCCTTGACTCAGCACCTCCCAATCCCAATGATCTCCAAGTGCTGAAGTCTCGGGGCAAGGAAAACATTAGGGATCTTAAGCACTGGTTTGACTCAAACAGTCTCAAAATGAACTCTGACAAAACCTCCTTTATTCTTATCGGCACTCAAAATTCGATCGACCGTACTTCCGGGTTTGTACTCGACGTCGGTGACATTTGCATTCGACCACAGAGAGAAATTAAAATGTTAGGTGTTCTCGACCAAACCCTGAGCTGGGAGTCCCACATATCCTCCATTGTCCAGCGAACCAACTCAATCCTCATATCCCTCTACAAAATCCGTCACCACCTATCACCTGAAATCCTAAGCATCCTTGTGCAGGCTCACGTTTTCCCACACCTGTGGTACTGCTCATCAGTCTGGGGCGGTGCCTACAACTACAGCCTGGACCGACTCCAAAAAGTCCTGCATTTTGCCGCTCGACTCGTATCTGGCCTTCGCCGGCACGACCACATTACCTCAACTCTCCACGCACTCGGTTGGCCCACCATCAGGAGCGTTGCCGCGCGGTGCGACGCGGTAAATGTGTACCGGGCTCTACACGTGCCGGCTGCCCCAGAGTCGCTGAGGACAATTATCGGGGTTACATGAGCACAGTAAATACGTATTTAGCCGCTAATTCGAATTAGGAACGCATTACCGACTCATGTAGCCACCTGCTAGTACGAATCGGCGATCCGATCCGCGGTTACATGAGCAAAGCAAATACGTATCACGATCGGATTCACCGCTAATGCGAATCAGGAGCGTACTACCGACTCATGTATCCACCTGCTAATACGAATCGGCGGTCCGAACAAAATCCGCTGAGAAAGAGGCTTAGAAGCGAATAGGACCAAGATACGTATTACAGGAACTATTTCTTCGCAAAAAGAAACATTAAAATGCAAAATAATAGGTATTTTTTTCATTTTCTTCTTTTGAAATAATATTTTGAAAAATATGTCGGTATTTTGCCAAGTTTTCAACAATAAATATAGTGAAAACCAAATAGTAAATATCCACATAATTTCAGTTGAAACATTTTTCTGACAGCACTACAGACGAATCAAGAGAGGCAATTGCCCAATGAGTCAAAGCAAGACAACTTTATGTTCAACTTTTTTTTGTTAAGTTAATTGAGAATGTTTTGAGCAGATTAAATGCAAAAAAGACATAAGATAATGAATTTTTAATTTAGTCACCTCTATTGCTACGGAAGTGCGCCACATTTGTATGCTATTCCGTTTGTAATGCGCATCGGGCCGAGAGCCAAACTAGATCCGTTTGACGTCACTGATACGAATTTGCTCATGTAGTCGGTGCACTGAATGCGTTCTTGGGGAGCTGATGCGAATTAGCGTAGTGCGTATTTGGAACGGATCGCTCATGTAACCGAAACGTCCGAGGCACACGATTCGGGCCGTATTTCACAAGAACTATTCTTTGCTGACTGGAAGCTTGACTGGAAGCGTCAAAATGCAAAATACTTAACAATTTTTTTATTGGCTGCTTCGTAGAAAATAGCAAAAAAATGTTGGTATTTTGGTTTAGTCTTTGCATGTGAAATAAAATGAATGAAATATTTTGAAAGATAATTTTTTCTGACCACCCTGCTGTCGCTGCATGGCGAATCAGTGCCCACTGACTTAAAACAAGAGAACTTTGTTTTCATTTTTTGATTTCATGTTAATTTTAAATGTTTTTGAGCCTGTCAAATGATATAAGTATTTAAAATTTAGCTCAGTCGTCCCGGTAAATGCCGCAACTGCGCCATGACTGTACGCTAATCCTATTCCGTTTGTGATGCGAATTACCGGCCGTCGAGGAGTCAGCCCGGGTGAGCCAAACAAGATCCGTTTGACGTAGATAAAACGAATTAGTCTCTAACCGGTGCCGTAGATCCGTTTGTGGGGAGCTGATGCGCATTAGCGTAGTGCGTATTTGGAACGGATCGCTCATGTAACCCCGGTAAATGTTTGTCCAGCGTAGCGCTGTTTCCGAGCGTGTCACGCGCGCCACCGCCGCGGGAGCGGCTGTGCCGCAGCCGCCTCGTTTCCGTATGGCGGTGACACGGCGGCTCTTCCCTCATAGAGCCGCCGTGTCATGGAACGCGCTGCCGCGGGAAGTGACGAGCTCGGCGTCCCGGGCGCCACTGGGGCGCCATTTTTGTCCCGGCTGACGCTGCTGTTTTATACAGACCTGTGAGTTTTACTGTTTTATTATGCCGTGTAATGTAGCTGTCTTTATTAATGTAACTGACTAGGCCGTAATAGCCACTGAATGGTGGATAAGCCTTATAATAAATGACAAATGACAAATGACAAATGACAAGTAGCGCGTTTCGGCTCCTAGAAAAAACTCGATATACTAAGCACATATGTATATCCCGGGATGGGTTGAAGATTTACCATCCATATTCCATCCCCCGTCCAGATAAACACAGCAGTTCGTAGTCGTTTGCTGCCATAAATAAACTGTCCTACAGCTGACCTTATTCAATAGAAAAACACAATTCTAACGAATAGTGTTTGTCTAATGAAGAAACAACCTGCGGTTAACCCGCACCGGGCCGGTGCTCGGCGCCACCTGCGCCGTGCTTGGGAGGTGTCAGGTGTATAAATCCTCCCTCTTAATTGGCTCCTGGGCCATGTATAGGGGCACGCAATAAGTGGCATTAGAAAGAGCATCAAAAACCATGACAAAAATGATTCAGTCATTTTTAAAGTTAGGGCAAAGGTCAGGTCACCAGAGCTCATCAAAGGTCAAGTTTTGTTTAGTTCAACATTTTTAGAGAAACTGGCGCATTACTCGGGAGCCAATAGAGCTACACCGCCGCGGAATGGTGCCTTCGATAGCTCTTTTAACGCTCATTCTGCGATAAGCTCCCGGATTTGACCTAAGATCGACATTTTTTTAATGACAATTTTACGAGAGATGTTTTTTAGTGAAGACTTTTGACTCAAGAGAGTCACGACATTTATTTTACCAGCAGTAGGTTGTTACTATCGTCGAGCCGCATTGAATGGATAAGAATTCAGTACATTAAAAGGCATAGATAAAATGAATTAGGTGTTACCTATGTATAAGGTTATTTAGAAAATTTGATTCCAGGTCAATGTCATGAGCTGACTGGAAAAGGTCATGTTGCATATCAGCCGATCTGTAGCGTCCACCTGAACATATCCAAGGTGATTTCATCACTCTATCGTGTCTCTATCAAAAGTTATTGCCGAAGAACTGCTGAAGACCTTTCATGACCTGAGATGAGCTGAGGGGGACATAACGGGTCACGGGGGCTATTTTCCGATCCAGTGTGTCATGTTAACATGTACCCTGATGTTTGCGAGTGTTTAGAGTGACGTTCGTAAAAAAGAGGCGTCTTTTGATTTTCTCCCATCGACTTAATTCCGAGATATAGGGGCACATAGTTATGAATACCTACTGTTACTCTTATCAACCGCTGAAAGTTTCAAGACGATCGTTCAGTCGGTGTAGCCATTGCGGGAATACGAACTTTTTTCTGAGGTGAGGTTACTTGATGTGACCTGATGACCTGACCTTGAGCGACCTGGGTCTGAAATTTTGACAGCACATGCTGAAGAGATTCATGAGATTATTTACGTGTGACGGCATTAGCGTCGCCACGGGGGGCAAGCGGGGCAGCTTGCCCCCCCAACCTCGGACCGGGCACCCCCTGAGATCGATGCAGATCCGATGAGATTTTGGAGTCGGGAAAAAATGGGGGTACCTTTTGGAGAATGCCTGTGAGGTCACACTCGGTAGGAGCGTGCATGTTCAAACCAGAGTCGGAGTCGCAGTCGCCAAAATCTTCAAGACTCCGACTCCAGACTCGGAAATACCAATGCTGTGATTCATTCCGTGTTCCTAGTTGGTTTTTTATCACATTTTATAGCTGAATTTCATAAGTTTTGGAGTGCTGACACATAATTTTCGTTCAAAGCGTGACACGAAATCTTCTCGGTCTTTCTCAATTCTCGTCAAATGTCTGCGACAGGTTCAAGTACCGTTCAAGTGCCGCAGGGCTCATCAGCTTGCTTCTCACACAGGCTCCTAAGGAGCTCCACTGAGCTCTAAGAAGCTTTCAGACGGCCCAAACCGGCCTCTGAGGGCCTCACTGGTGTCCATATTCTCTAAGGGCCCATACAGGGATCTATGAGGACCTTATACATACGTAGACCTCTGAAGGGCCACACGAATCTTTTAGGATGCCTTCGAAAATTTCTGAGAACCTTAACTGGCTTCTTGATAGTTCAGCCGAAGTTTTGAGGCGACAGACTTTGCTAACCCCAAGCCGGCATCTGAGGGGTCACAACTCACGTGTCCTGAGGGCCGCAACACATGTTTCTTATGTCCCTACGTAGGGTCTTAAGGGATTCGACACAGACCCCGATGGCTCACACTGTTATCCGAGGGCTCCAGGCTCACCCCGGGGCCTAGTCTTTTAGCGCCCGCCACCCACACTGGCTTCTGAGGGCCCCAACTTGGGATCAGAAAGCCCTAAAGCACCACAATCCACATACACGTAAATATTTGGGGTGACCCAAGCCGATCTCCGGGATCCTAATCAGGCTTCTGAGAGTCCACATTGACCGAGTGGCCTAAAATGGCTTGGAAGTCCCAAGCCTATCTTTAAAGTGATCCCTTGCCGCTATGCCGCTATGCCGTTAAACTTTTTTTGTTCGCGTTTGCAGCGCTTCCTTTCACACGAAAAACGAGAAACTTTTTGTTCACTCTCGAGTGAACAAAACACTTCCTCTCACTGGAGCAAAGATGAATCAGTTCCGATTCACACTTTCGACATTCACGCTCCGCCGAATGCCCAACTTAGCTACTATCGGCGGCTGGGTTAAGCCCTATGCATTTCATGTAAAACCTCTGTGTGCATGCGTGAATGGAGGTTTAAGCAGGGTGATCCGATTAAATGGAGCGTTTTTCACCTTTTTTTCTGGGTGATGATTACGAGCGACGTGCGTCTGCACAGGGGCCCTCTGCAGTGCGTCGGCAATGGCAGCTACTGTTATTCTACCGGTCGTTTTTGTTCAGAAATTTCAAACTTTCGAATTTTTCTGTAAAAAAAAATTACATGTCATAGCTAGAAAGAAAACTTTGTCACCATTGGATTCCTCGCACCATTGCGCGTCAAATGATATGTAAAACGAGTGAGTACCGACATGGGATAGGCAAGATTTACCACAAAAGTTTATTTTGCCCCCCCCCCCCCAACCGAAAATCTCTGGCGACGCCAATGTGTGACGGTATATGGGTCTGTTTATGTATAGGTACCACTTGTGTGCAGTGTGCACTATGCAATTGGTATACCTACTGAATGTAGATAGGCATGTGTTATCCCGCGCCCGCTGGGGGGGGGGGAGAATCTGCACCCCCCCCCCCCTCCTGTTTTTCGCCAATAACGTCTAAACGCGTTACGCCAGCGACGTCAAATTTTCAGTACCTCATCATACATCAATTTAAGACATTTCCTAAAAATTTGAGCGAAATCCGTCGGAAAAATGAGAAAATGACGTTTTAGTGACGTCATGTCCGCCATTTTCGCCTAAAAACGGCAAAATTTCAAACGCCGCTAACATCTTCATTTTTAAGGGAATCAAGACGTAACAAAAAAAGGTTATACGTGATTCTACTTTATCTATCAAATGGCTATCTCTGTTTTTTGACAATTTTGGATTTTGGCTCAATTTTTTTAAACTGACTTTTTGGGGAAAATAATTATAAAATCCAAAATTTTGAGTGTATCGAAAAACAACGGAATATGTGTTAGAGAAGTCATGTATTTGCACCCACATACCAATTTTTAGAAGAATTGGTTCAAAAATGTGGGAGTTATTCAAAATTTTATGACGTCAAGACACACAATTTTTGAAAAATGATTTTTTGGAAGTTCTAGACCTCGTACGGAAACAAAAATAGCACCATTCGATTTTCCGTGAAAAACTGCATCAGAGTGACACCTTTTTAGGCCTTAACAGCCAAATTCAAAATTTGACCTTATTTGACCTGACCTTGACCTGTACCTGAAATTCAACCAGATGTGGTCCATATCACTTATTGCGTGTGCCTATTCAATTCTATGAATGAAATGACCCATAAAATATGTGTCGCACATGCCCTTTTCTATATTTCGTTTTTGGTGACCTGACCTGACCTTGATCTTGACCTTTGCATGATATTGTAAGCAACGAATATTGTCTTGGCAGCCTTAGAACACGTTTTGGGCAATCAGTGTCAATATATTCTTCGGAAACTACGGTGCAAGGCCGATACTGTAGAAACTTGCATTTTGTACCCTTGACCTGACCTTGACCTGACCTCTGACCTACTTAAGCAAAACAATTTTGGCTCTTAAGATCCGCCTTGTTGAGAGCTTTCGATTGCCGTTTTCCCCGTCTTTCTATGACCATCGGTTCGGAAGCTAGACAGGGGGGGGGCAGAATCTGCCCCCATCCCCAGCAGAGCGCGTATGGCTGAATAGCCCTGCGGGGCGCGGGTTATGTCTCGCGTCCCCATCGTTTTACTTGGGCAGTGTGAGCCGTGAATGGTAAATGTTAAAAAGCTATTATGCGCGCCAAACTTATATTCAACCAATATCAAAATATTGCTCTGACATGTATATCATGTCCAAGAAAAACTACATTTTAGTTCAGGAAACTTGACGGGGGAGCACACAGGTAAGTAATTCATCAGTGTATGTGCGACTGCAGGCACCGGGAAGTCTAGAACCAATCTGGATGCATAGTCGATGGAGAAACAAAATCCGCGGGGCAGCATGCACGGCCGTGTTGTGATCGCATGCACGACCGAATCGCGCTCTGCATCACGTTGTACGATTGCTAAGAATAGCGTCAATGCACCAATATAATCTCGCACTTTGGGACCGTATCGCTGGGTGCCACGGTCCGATAGTCCGACCCGTTCACCCGCTGTGACGTGGCAGCACCTGGACAAAGGTGGGCTCTCTGGGCGTGGCGACCACGGCGCCGGGGTCGAGCGGTAGCGGCGGTGGCGGCGTGCCGGCGGCCGGCGTCAGCGTGCTGCCGCGCAGAACGGCCACCAGCGCCAGTTTAGCCTCGAACAGCGCGAACCGCTGCGCCAGACAGCCGCGCGGCCCGCTGCCGAACGGCAGGTAGACGCCGGCACGGCGCCGCTCCTTCTCCTCCGGCAGGAAGCGGTCCGGGTCAAACCGCAGCGGCTCCGGGTAGTACTCCGGGTCGCGGTGCAGCGAAAGCACCGGCATGATGACCAGCGTGCCGGGTGGAATGGTCAGCTCAGTGCCCGGCAGCGTATACTCACGCACGCACTGCCGCTCAATCCGCATAAAGGGCGGGTACAGACGCAGCGTCTCGCTGACCACCAGGTCCATGTAATGCATCTCAGAGAGCGCGTCGAACGTGAGGTGGCCGCCGTGACGAGCCAGCACCTGGTCGATCTCGTGCTGTGCGCGCTGCTGCACCTCGGCGTTGGTGGCCAGCGCGTAGCCGGCGCAGGTCAGCAGACTGGCGGTGGTGTCGTAGCCGCCGACCAGAAACATGACCGCCTGGGTAGCAATCAGCGAGTCGCTGATAGCCCGCTCGCCCGTGCCGCTCTTGATCTCGAGCAGCAACTGGAGGTAGTCGCGCCGGCCGGAGCCGTGCTCCGCCCGGTGCGCGATTGTGCGCATCACCACGCGCTGGAAAAAGGCGCCCGCCGGCTCGGCCCGGTCCGGCAACAGGTTCCCGATACGACGCGGAAAAATGGAGAGCACCAGCAGCCGGAACATGTCGTAGCCGCTCAGCGGTTTGAAGAACTGCGACGCGTACCTGGTGAACTCGCTGTTCGGGTCACCGAACGAGTTGCAGTCGACTCCGAAGCCACAGGCAGCGATGTTGTCCATGGTGAAACGGCCAAATGCGTCCTTCAATTCTACCTTTCCGTCCCGGGCCATTGTTTCGCGCACATAGTCACTGAGATTGTTGGCCGTCTCCAGGCAGAGCTGATGCATGGCTCGCAGTTTGCTGGATGAGAAGGCGGGTGACATGGCTACACGTAGCGCTTTCCATCGACGCCCACTCAAAGAAACTAGCATTTCCTCCATGCACTTGCTGAGCACCAGGTCTCGCCGATCAGTGAAGTGTTCAAAGTCCTTGATGGTGATTGCGCAAATCAGCTCGGGGTCTCCGACGTAGAGCGCCGGCTGGCGAAACTCAAACAGGCCGCAGTAGCGCTTTCCACCGAAATCCTCGTAGAGCGCACGCTCGACGGAGTGAAAGTCGCGTGGGTTCGGGATCCCGTGTCCATTGGGGAACTTGGGCGGCGGACCGGACACGCCGCGGGAGGACCAGAAGTCGTAGTTGCGCGTCATCCACCAGTAGAGGAGCGCCGCCGCTCCGCCGAGGACGGTGACCAGCACGGCCGCCGGCCACCACAGCCATCCGAGCAGCGACACCGACATCACTCCACGGATACTCACTCACACACCGAATGTCACCACAGCCCACCCGCAGTGACCCGCTCGGCCGCGGCGACCGGCGGCGCCGCTGCGTCGCCACTGATCAGAGTTGCCGAGTCAGCACTCCCCCCCCCCACCCCCGCCTCCTCCGCTCTCCTAGCTGGGGGCGGGGCCGGGCGTCGTTGACATCAAGTGTCTCGGCGGCTAAACTCGCTCAACAGTGAGTGGCAGCGGGCACAGCCCCCACTCGCCATGGGTGAACTCGGCGCTACGGACGACAGCTCGCCATAGATGACCTTGGAGCTGAGACGGACGGTGTGAGAGACACGATAGCTCGCCATTGGTGACCTTGGTGCTGGGACGGACGGCGTGTCTTCTGCTACGCAGCTCAGTTGTCCGTCCGTTATCGAATCAATACATTGAGGCATTCATTCGATATGCACGAATGAGATTTACCGAATTTGACCTGCCCTTCGTTTATAACGCATTATAAAACTCGTACCGAATGAATGACCAAGCAATCATACACAAGTCTATATTTTTCCGGTCCCATGGCAATCGGCCAAGATTGGTGTACGGCCACGGGTCCGCACATCAGAGTGGCCCGTTTGTCCCACTGGCCGGCTCAATTTGCTTTTATCAGTTGGTTTGTATTGTTGAGGTTATGAGTTCCGATGGCGGAGCTCGGAATGCACGCCGAATATGTTTGTTTATAAAAAACCGATTACAATCCGAGGTTCGAAAGTACGATCGACTACTGTCATCTCAGATGGCAGCATATAAGTATTTAGCGGTAAAACAAATCCTAATCATGCTATATCTAAAAACGATGAGAGCACTGAGCCAATAACCTACCACTTTGATTATTTATTGGGGCTTTAGGGCGCGTCGACTAAATGGTCATTTTGCGCCCTATAATGTCACTTCCTATTCATCAAAATACCGTTATATCGGTACTATCTTACTCGTATATCAGTGATCAAGGGCATGAAAACGAGAAGATTCATACCTATCCAAAGCAATAATCTAGTAAGAATACCTACATTTACAGCTATTCAGTCAGTATCCAACTTTCTGCCTATAAGAAATAATTCCATAAATGCATCCCTAAGACAAGTTTTTGCCCATTCCATTAGCATTTTGTACCATTGAGAGCATGTGTGCGCAGTTCGCTGACGTTTCGTTGAGCTCTGCCGGCCCGGTCAACGGTCAGCTGGCTGACCCGACTCGGGGGAGTGACGCCGGCAGCGGTCAGTCGGCGCCGGGAGCCGGGAGCACGGCTTGGCAGCCGTTCAGAATGGTAAATGCCTCGCCATGATAAACAGTACATGGCTACAACAGCACAGGCAAATAACAGGCGGATCCAGGTGGCTCAGATAATCGGTCAGGTTTCATTAACTCTAATTTAACATTAGAAAGAATGTAATAGAAATAGGGAAAACCATAAACCTTTAGCCGACGTAGGAGGTAGGCAATCAACAATTTACTTTACACTACACATAGTGGAGCAAAAGGCATTACTCTGTAAGAATCTTGGGCATTACCAAAATTACCTAATTGCTGGTCATCTAATCCAGTCTATCAAATACCTAAACAAGTTAAAATCCATTGAATAAAGGTCTGCAACGAAGGCTGGTCCTGCTCAATTTACAAGCTTTATCAAGTTCGAAACACTGAACAATGTCCATCTGTCATCTGGATCTGCCTTTAAACACATGCGCAAAAATAGAGCTAACGATATAGCGGAACGGACTGACTGACCATTTGGGATCCCGGATCCGAAGCGCTCCAGCTCCCTCGTAGAAGATTGAGATTCTGAAACGAGAAGCAGTGGTGTCTTTTAAAGTTTCTCCTTCCCAGCGGATGATCCTCACCAAAGACTCTCACTTACTGAAGTTATAAAGGCAAGCTCACTCATCTCACTCACAAATAGCTCAGTACCTAACTCACCCGGTCAGTCGAACTAGCTCAACGATCGCGGTCTTTCAGTTCCACAAAAAAGTTCACTTCAAAAAGTTCAATTTGACTTATCACGTCCAGTCTCAGGCACGTAGCCAGGATTTTGCTCAGGGAGGGCCACAGGTCGCGGCGGCCAAGTGTCGTACCCCCTCAAAAAAAGAAAATTACTCGGATTTGGCCCACTATTTTTCGGGGTGTGGTGCAGCTTTCGTTATTTATTTTTATTTTCATTAAATCTTATTTTATTTTTCGCCTTCAGGAGGGAGCGGGGGTCATGGGCGGCCCCGTGTTCCCCCCCTTGGCTACGTCCCTGTCCAGTGTCCACTGCACTGTCGCGAGCCTCTTGGCACCAACACCGCAGTCCGCACTAATCACAATTCACTTCAACTCACAAAACACATCGCCGAAATCACCACCCGTAGAAATTCACGAGTTTAACATGACTCGACCGGACAGCGACCTACCGCACCGAACATTCCCTGACTTGGTCCCTGACATCTCGGGGGCCATATTTCCCGCCCACAGTCCATTGATGCTTAGTTCATAAATTTACCGCTAGGGCGACAGCCTTTGGCGAGGAAGAGATGAACCGTGCATCGCAATGAAATAATTTTATGCTAGAATAAACAAGCTATTTAAATATTGCCATCGTAGCACTGCTATCAATCTTCAGTACTTCGTTTCCTTTAAATCCAACCTTAGTTACATTCATGTCCTCGGGTTGCCTGGAAACGTCTCCCGTCAAGAAGCAGAAACGTTTATTGCTGCGGGGGTGAGGCTCAGGGGAGGGGAAGAGGGAGGGACTATCCTGGGGTAGTCCAAAAGGCCATATTAATATAAGTAGGGTAATCAGGCCCAGATGTCTTCAAAGACAGGGGCCCAAACCGGCCACTTCTTTGGCCCCCCATAATGGTTTCCGAGCTGGGGCATTCCACGATAGATCGTACCACCTTTTTCCAATTTGACACCCTCATCTCTCGGAATTTGACGAGAATTGGTCTCAGGGGTAATCAGGGGCTCTGAATCCTCCTGTAACAATTTCAGGCTTATCAGATAAGTATTTTTGAGTTATGGTGTATAACATTTTTTGGATCTTGCTTTGCAGCGCTAAGTTTGGCGGGCTGTAACTCTAAGACGATTATTCAAATGCCAAATGTTTATAACATTGAACTTGCAATGAAACAGAGATTAATATGTATTTTTGAAATTTCGAAAAATACGCTATTTTTGATATATGACATATCGAGTTTTCTTTCATTTGTATTTTTTGGACTTTGGGACCAAATTTTTTTGAATTTTTATTTCTTTAAAAAAATATTTGGCTCATTGTTAAGAAGTATGCAAAAAATTAGGAAGGTGTTCTTTCTATAAATGTATTTATTTTACGTCACGATAACGGTTTCGAATAGTGATTTCGGGAGGGGAGCTTACAAATGGCGTGGTAAAGCTGCCTAGTGACATCACGGGTTGCTGAAATTTCAATTCAAGGCTGAGTCATCTGAAAAAGTGAAAAGAGGGTTCATTCAACCCTCTTTCCTATAAGCGCGAGGGTGAAAAAGGCTGCTTGGTTCTGACATTGTTTTGGACGCCAATGACCATAGCTGTCCGAGATGAAAGGTACAGGACGCATACATGGTGTCTTCCAGAGGTCTCACACCTTGTATATCTGGGATTTTTTCAAGGTTACATGAGGTCAGGTCGGTCACGTGACATCACTGTTATAAATCAATGGGGAAATATAAAAACTGTTATTTTGGCGCCGAGAATGATCTAAAACTATCCCACGTACATGGTATCGTGATTTCATGCACTCCTTGCAAAGTCCAATGCTTTACTTTTGCATTGTTAACCTTGCGTGACGTCATTTATGACGTCACTAGGGTCGTACGAGTTTTTCGTCAATACCTCCCGATCAAATGGAGCTAGAGAGTCGGGAAAGCCACCAATGGACTCGCGAAGACCTTCCGAATCGAATGATATGCCATATGATACCCTTTGCCAAGCTTCGTGACCTGAGGGGCTCTGACCTGACCTTGACCCGAGGTCAACTACTTAAGTTGACCTCACCCTAGCAAAAAGTATACCATTCGATGCACCTGAGCTAGGCGAACACAATGATGCGAAAATCGCGGCTCTGCGGCCATTTTTTGCGAAGTTATTTACTAAAAACCGAACCCGTAACTTCAGTCACGTGACCTGACCTCAGACGCTACCGGTTAACCTGAGACCTTAAAATCGGGTACCAATCGCTGCGACTTGTAACGGCACACACGCTCGTTTTTTCCGCGAGGCTCTAGCTCTATTAGAAGCGAAACGGCGTGCTGGGGTCGTATCAACCCCTCCGAAACCCATTTTGTTTGCGGGAAAATGAGGAACTTATAGAAAGAACACCTATCTAATTTTTTGCATGTCGATTTACAATGACATGAAGATTATTTTGAAAAAATAAAAATGTGAAAAATTTTGGTCCCAAAAGTCATTAGAGGCAAATGAAAAAAGATTAAGGTTTTTGCTCAACAATGAAATTTTTTCTTTGGAATTTTTAAATAGTAATATTAATTTTTGATTCATCGCAAGCTTAGTGTCGTTTACTTTTTGTTGGTTGCTTAACCCGTTCTTGAGTTATAGGCCATCAAACTCACCGTTACATACCGAAGTTAAAAAAAGTAATGCAATATAACTCAAAAAGTTTTGATCTGAGAAGTCTGATATTTTGCCAGGCGTCTTTGGGGCCTATGATTACCCCTAGGACCGATTTTCATTAAAATCTGAGAGATGAGGGTGACGGGCCTGGTACGATCTATCGTGGAATGCCCCAGCTGTATCGACATCGAGCATCTCCTCTGAAAAGAACCCCGTCGTAAGCTAAATCCACGCCAGGGCGACTCTCTCCCCCTCTAAATTCGCATCTGGACCTATAGTGACACGCGGTAAGAGGCGTTCGAAGGGGGAAAAGTCATGATAAAAACGTTCTTCGGGGAGGTCTCTGAAAGGTCATCAAAGGTCGACTTTTTCGAATTTTGTACATACCTTCTTCGAGTAGTTGGTTTTTAGGAATGAAGTGTAATTTTTTATTTCAGATGCATGTCTGTCATGTCATCTATTGTGAAGTGCGGTCCAGAGGAGATTTTAAGGGGAAAAGTTCGGTTTGAAA